GCCAGTGGATGCCTTGTATCTTTCGCAGGCACTTAGTACTTGTACATACATTATCCGTATAACCTGCAGTTGTAGCTACTATAGATTTACACTGGATATTTTAAACATATTTTCTCTCGACGTAACCTAGCACTCAGAGGCGTATCCAGGTTTTCGTTGCAGGGGGAGCGAAAAGAGCAAAAAAAGGCGCCGAATTTTTAACACGTTATATATATATATATATATATATATATATATATATATATATATATATATATATATATATATATATATATATATATAATTACTAGCCGTATGTCATTACTTCGCTATGATGTGAAATAAATTGAAAGTAGCACTCTGAAAAATAAGAAAAAAACACACAATGTAGGCCGACAAAACAAAAATTATATCAATCTAAACAAAAAAAAATACACACACTACAACCAAAAACAATGAACGTAACACAATCTGTTTTGTAATTCTTGTAAAAAAAATTTCTCACATAATAATTCCTGGGAAATTATTTAAGACAAGTGAAATATGGGAAATAATCACTCTCTTAATATAAATATGTATATATCTACACATTTAATTATAAATGTCAAAACAAATAAATAATTACTTTAAAATAAAATGAAATTGTTTAACACTATTCGTGTTTACAAAATGTTTTTGTCTATAATCATAATTTAATATATGTTCCTCATAAATGCTAAAGTATTACAGCATAATAACAGTTTTTAAAATCATAGTTGGTATAAAACCACGCTTTTCAATAGAGTAGAAAAACACTCGGAATTACAGCCTACATTATCTAAACATTGGTCTTTTAGTTCAGATGATGTTTTTTAATTAACTACTGCTTCTTAGTGTTCTTTAAAGATCATTTTTAACATAGTGATAGGTATGGGTTAGATCACTGTATTGATCACACGCCTTTTTTACTTTCTCGTATATACGAAGTATAGAGAAAGTCTTGTAATCGTGCAAAAAAAAAAAAATCGAGATTTTTACAAATCTCGACGTTTTACACCTCACTGATACGGAAAAACATAATTTTGCAATCTTGTCCGTATGTCTGTGTGTCTGTCTGTGTGTCTGTGTGTCTGTGTGTCTGTCTGTCCGTGTGTAAACACGATAACTTGAGTACCGTTACAGCTACGTTGATGAAATTTCATATATAAGTATTTTATCAAAATCGTAGATCCGTATCAACTTTTGAGCGATTTCCGATAACCGGAAGTGGTACTTTTCCTACTTTGAATTTTTCAAAAGCCTATAACTTGAGTACTATTTCAGATAGATAAATGAAATTTCAAATGTAAGTAAAAGATCTAATTCTCTACCTTCTGTTAAATTTTGAGTAATTTCCGTTGACTGGAAGTAGTAATTTACGCTACTTCCGATTTCTCAAAAAACTAATGTAAATTTTAAAAGTACTAATAATATTGCGCACCATTATGCGCTTTTTTATTTGGCGTTCACTTGGTGTGCAATTAATTTGTCTACGAGATTTTATTCTATTTTTAAAACTTTAAGTATTTAAAATGGATTAAAAATCATGTCTATAGCCCGAGTTCCCATCCCCTGTTATTTTATATAAGAATATTCGAGAAAGTTTAGGGGAGATCACTCCCGGTTTATTACTAGTAATTTCAAAAACAATATTCACAGAGTTTTACGTTTAAAAAGCTAATTTTCTGGCGGCATGGTACTTTGGTACATTATTACGCGTTTTTCTACATGTACTTAACAGATCAGTTTGGGGTGAGTTGGGGAGGGGGGGTGGGTTCAACTTCATTCACCACTGTCCGGTCACTTTAGGTCAATTATCCAACCCAGTGTAAAACTAGGTGTGACATTAATGTCGCTCTACACAATTGTGGTGTGGTGAGGTGTGTGTGTGGGGGGGGGGGGGAGATAACCAACTCAGTGAACATAGCGTTTATAGATGACTGTTCTAAACATACATATATATTACACAAATATATATTACAGAAATAGATTTAAATAAGTAGCAGTGGTATTATGTCAATATTTGTTTACAGAGGGGTCCATGGGGGAGGGGGGTTGTAACTGTTTCATATAATTTGTAATCGTAATCACTATCGCCCAAACTGTAAGAATACTACTACTTCATCGTGATGACGTTTTTGACCTTGTCAAAATTTCCCCACCACTACGCAGTTTGCTCATCAGTAAATTTAAATAGAGGTGCCACATCAGTTGTATTTGTTTCTGTATTGTATTTTTTTAAAATTAATCATACGATTCAAACTGTATATATAAAGTAATTATGTGTGAAGTTTTATGTATAACATTTTCTAATTCAATTATTCGTAAGCAAATACATTATACAGTTGCCTTAAACTTAACACCTCTCTTGCCAAGCGGTACTACAATAGAGGTTTTTTAAACATTGCAATGCATCGTAATGGTTATTTTTAGAATGGCAAACTGATGCAGCTGTTAATACGTGTTGTAAACGTAGACACTACTAGACTAGTACAATAATGCTTTATTGCTGCATGAAAAGAAGTCTTGTGATTTACATAGATGTGCCGACCAAAAATATTTTTTAACAAATTGTTTAAAACTTTGAGTTTAAAAAGTTTCCAAAAAGGCGCCACTTTGCTGAAAATGGCCAGAGGGGGAGCGGCCGCTCCCCCTGCTCCCCCCCTGCGTACGCTACTGCCTAGCACCCAAACCAAAAGCTGGAAATTTTTCGTCAGTCTTATTGATGGTATTATCATGAACATGATTTATTTCAGACATTTTTCTCGGGGAGGGGGGGGGGGGCACTTGAAACTCCTTATCACCGGGTATGAGCTCATTTTGATTTACTTGGTCGAATCTGGAGGACATTTAACGATTTGGATGGAGGGTGGTTTTATAAAGTGGTGGGTGATGGGTGGTTTTATAAAGTTGTGGGTGATGGGTGGTTTTATAAAGTTGTGGGTGATGGGTGGTTTTATAAAGCGGTGGGTGATGGGTGGTTTTATAAAGTTGTGGGTGATGGGTGGTTTTATAAAGTGGTGGGTGATGGGTGGTTTTATAAAGTTGTGGGTGATGGGTGGTTTTGTAAAGTGGTGGGTGATGGGTGGTTTTGTAAAGTGGTGGGTGATGGGTGGTTTTATAAAGTTGTGGGTGATGGGTGGTTTTATAAAGTTGTGGGTGATGGGTGGTTTTATAAAGTGGTGGGTGATGGGTGGTTTTATAAAGTGGTGGGTGATGGGTGGTTTTATAAAGTGGTGGGTGATGGGTGGTTTTATAAAGTGGTGGGTGATGGGTGGTTTTATAAAGTTGTGGGTGATGGGTGGTTTTATAAAGTGGTGGGTGATGGGTGGTTTTATAAAGTGGTGGGTGATGGGTGGTTTTGTAAAGTGGTGGGTGATGGGTGGTTTTATAAAGTGGTGGGTGATGGGTGGTTTTGTAAAGTGGTGGGTGATGGGTGGTTTTATAAAGTGGTGGGTGATGGGTGGTTTTATAAAGTGGTGGGTGATGGGTGGTTTTGTAAGGTGGTAGGTTGTTAGTGGAAAGTAGCTTTAGAAGCTGGTAGGTCGTGTGTGGAGGGTGGCTTTATAAAATGGTGTGTGCGGGTGGCTTTACAAGATGGTGGGTTAGGGAGGGGTGGCTTTATATCGTGGTTGGTTATTGTCGGAGAGTGGCTTTATAAAATGATGTGTGGAGGGTGGCTTTACAAGATGGTGGGTTAGGGAGGGGTGGCTTTATATCGTGGTTGGTTATTGTCGGAGAGTGGCTTTATAAATTAAAATGATGTGTGGAGGGTGGCTTTACAAGATGGCGGGTTAGGGAGGTGTAGCTTTATATAGTGGTTGGTTATTGTCGGAGAGTGCCTTTATAAATTAAAATGATGTGTGGAGGGTAGCTTTATAAGATGGTGGCTTTATAAGATGGTGGGTTAGGGAGGTGTGGCTTTATATAGTGGTTGGTTATTGTCGGAGAGTGGCTTTATAAAATGATGTGTGGAGGGTGGCTTTATAAGATGTTGGGTTAGGGAGGTGTGGCTTTATATAGTGGTTGGTTATTGTCGGAGAGTGCCTTTATAAATTAAAATGATGTGTGGAGGGTAGCTTTATAAGATGGTGGCTTTATAAGATGGTGGGTTAGGGAGGTGTGGCTTTATATAGTGGTTGGTTATTGTCGGAGAGTGGCTTTATAAAATGATGTGTGGAGGGTGGCTTTATAAGATGTTGGGTTAGGGAGGTGTGGCTTTATATAGTGGTTGGTTATTGTCGGAGAGTGGCTTTATAAATTAAAATGATGTGTGGAGGGTGGCTTTATAAGATGTTGAGTTAGGGAGGTGTGGCTTTATATAGTGGTTGGTTATTGTCGGAGAGTGGCTTTATAAATTAAAATGATGTGTGGAGGGTGGTTTTATAAGATGTTGGGTTAGGGAGGTGTAGCTTTATATAGTGGTTGGTTATTGTCGGAGAGTGGCTTTATAAAATGATGTGTGGAGGGTGAATTGAGGGACAGCCGCCTCACCCGCCCTCCTTGCTAGACCTCTCTTGAAACCGTTACAGGCGATTTTTTCTTCAGGTGGGGTTGGCTGGTAGAGTAGTTTTTTTTTCGACTTTGCGGTAGGGGGTATAGAGTGAATTTAGAAACAAATGTCTAACCCTTAAGTAATTTGAATTTTGTGACGTCATTTCTGTCAGTCGTGTTGTTTTCTGTTACGACAAATGATGAGTGGGGATGGTGGGTGATAAAAAACAACAATTAGCCTAAATTACGTGACTACTAATGCAACTCAACCTTAAACTATTTGGCCGACCGTCAATATTTGATCATAGATGGATCATCTAGCAAAAATGATTGACCCGCCCTTGCCCCTTTTTAGTAAGTTGATTCATTCTATAATTCGTTATTAATTATTAAAATTAAGGATATCGAAATGGTACAAAGTCAAGATGACAAATCGTGGTTTTAAAGAAAATTATGTAAACACGGTTATCTTCTCTTGTTTTCCTAGGGACCGCTACTCTGTTTCAGTCTTTTACACTACACACAGTGAGTTAGTGAACAAATTTCTTTACAAAAGATCAGAATTAGAAGTAAAATTAGATTTTAAAACCCTTTTATTTGATAATGGCTTTGATTATTTGATATGTTTTGGTAAGTTTAATTACTTGATATATTTATAATTCATCTTTAACCTTTATGTAGTTTAATGATTAATGTAGAGTCTTGGTCTTGAGTCAAAAATTATTTTCTTCGACACCAGTCACCAAGTCAAACAACACAAAACAAACATGTTTAATTTTATTTTTTATGTCATTTTTATGATCATTTTACTATTTTTACAAACTAAGCATAAAACACTAAAAAAAACTAAAACAAACAAAACTCCATTAACTCACATTCACAACCACTGTGACAACACTACAGTAAAAATGTAAAAACAAGTTTTAACAAGCATCAAATTTAAGATTAGGTATGAAAGTATTGAAAGTATGGGTAAAACTCCATCTTAGCGTACTTTATTTGCCACTTCACATTCACCACCAGTTGAGCGTATTTTATTATTAATACAACCAAAACACACAAACACGTTAGAAAAACACTAGGATTAGATCTAGATATAGAGTCTAGAGTCTCAAGATCTACTTTTTTTGATGAATGTGGTTTGTAATTAGAAAAGGTATAAAAAAAAACATAAAAAGCATTAGGACAGTTCCAATTGAATAGCGTGAAAAAAATCCCTACATGGTCGACTGTGAGTTCACGTTGACTTTAATTATCAGCATACGTCTTGAACATACATAGATCTACATAGTCATAGCATATTCAATATTCCAAATTTGGATTTTTCTAAAATTTTGACAAAAGTAAGTTATCAAAAATGAAAACAAAAATTCATAAAGAAATAAGCCCAATGTTTTCCTAACGTTTTTGTGTGATTCGGTTGTGTTTATAATAAAATATGCCCAACTGTTTTTGTGTGTTTCGGTTGTGTTTATAATAAAATACGCCCAACTGGAGTTGAACATGAAGCTGGAAATAAAATACACTAAAATGGAGTTTTACCAAAAGAATGATTTGTGTAGCAGAGTTTCTTCCAGGCATCTCTTCGGGGGGTGGGGGGTGGTGGCATAGCCCCCCTCCCCGAACGTAATAGAATTTATATAGAAAACATACTTTTACCAGTGTTGTTCTCTCCTCCCCCCCCCCCCCCGGAGAAAAAAAGTCTGGAAGAATCACTGGTATATAGATCTAGTACTATGTCGTATGTTGACACTGACAGTTGAGTGTTATGATGTAGACTACACATGTACATTATGCTGTCATGTACATACATAGATTTAGACTAGACTAGATTTAGTAATCCAGATCTATGACTATGGGAGACTTTTGGACTTGTACCTAGATCTAGGTCCTTTGACTCACAGTTTCACACATGCTGAGCATTTGAAGTTTGAAGCTTGCGTGCCTGTGCATTGGATATTGAAATTGGGAAAACTGGAATGTCCCAATAAGAATAAGATATAAGAAAAAGTTCAATCTAGAAAGAAGTTACTTAATACTTAGGCCTATAAATACATTCAATATGCTATACATTTTGTACATTCATTTGGTTCATAAGTATTTTTTTAAACATGTGATTTGATTTTAACAAGCTTTTATTCATTTAACAACACTACTCAAATTTTCTTCAAGTTATTTTTCCATTTGCACGTCTACTTTTTTAAAAAATTGTACATAGGCCTAGAATCTATAGGCCTATAAAATAAACTACATTAGGCCTGATTTTATTATTTTAGATTTTTCTGGTATTAATAAAATATGAAATTAAAATTGCTGTTACTATTCTTCCTTTAAGTCAAGTAATTAGCATAAGACACTCTCAAACACTAGTTTCCATATGGGAGGAGGGAGAGGGCGACGGTAAAGTGGAATTTGTTTTGTTTGACTTGGGGAAAATTTATTTTGTCAGTATAAAAATGACATGACACAATGTTAAATTAAATCAAATAATAAGTAAAAGCTCATATAACAATATTTACAATACCAGTTGTCCTTATTTAGCTAAAGAGTAAGATACATTTCAGTCTAAGTGAAAACAAGATTTAGCAAGCCCGGTAGTGTTTTGGTTCATCAAAGAGATAACTATAAAATAAACAAAGCATAAACATAAAACAGGTGTAGACATGTGTGATAACACCTGTTTGTTAGCAAAAGTAGTATGTGTTATGTAAGGTGTAAGAATATTTGTGTTGCTATATAATTTGCATGCTTTAAAAATTAATGTTTTTGAACTTTTTTAAATGGAGTGTTTGGAAAGTTTATAGTTTTAATGTTTCATTGCTGTATTTGATGAGGGATAATAGATGATTTGTATTTATCTACACCTTAATGTGTATATATATAGATTCTATCTCTGGTTAAGGGATAGAACCTTGACAATATTTGACACAAGTCCAGTTCACAGGCCCTACGTGTAGAAATAGTTATTTAACATTGTCTGTTTTGTGTTTTTTAATTACTGATGATAAATTATTTTCTATGAACAGGGTACAGTGTTTGAATTCGGTATAAAAATGGATTATTCAGAAAAGCTTGAAGATGAAATTTTTGATGCTATTTGTGGTGACTTGGGCCTAGGAGAGAGCACAAGAAGTAGCTGTTATTTAAATTTTGAGAATGTTAAGCATGGCCACAACAGTAATGTATATTCACACCCTGACAGTAAGGGCCAATATGGTTCTTTAGAACAGCAATCAAATTCTAAAACATTTAACATGCAGCACAGCCACACACTACAGGATACTGGTCAGAGAAATGGGACAAACACGCAGCTTAATGTAAGTTCTGAAGATTTTCCAAGCTATGCTGATGTGCCTTATGGGACTTCACTTAGGCAACAAAAACTACTTTATGAAGTTCAAATAGAGAAACTCCGTAAACAGTTTGCTGCAAGCCAAAATGAAGATTCTATTAAAAATTCAAAATCAAATAAAGGTGAGGGCAATATTGTTGTTGTTACAGACAGATCACTTGTTACCTAAGTTAATTTAGTTCATTGAAAGAGGTTTTACAATGCTTATGCATTTATGATTTTATCACAAGTTACTTTGTTTGCTGGAATATTTTTTGTTTTGTTTCAGATTCCAAGAATAAAAATTCATTTAAAATGAGTGGCAAGGAAATAGAGATGAAACTGAATGTTGCTCTACAAGTAAGCATTACTCTGATCTCATCTTTAGTATCTTCTTTAACTTCTTAATTTACAGTTTACTCCTATCTCTTTCAAGTATTAAATGATCGCATGATTTTTTTTAAAAATTGAGTTCCATAAATAGATTAAAAATGTTCATTGCCAAAATTACTCCAAGAACTGTTGCTGACAACAGATTTGATTAAAAACATGTTTCTGTAATTGTTTATGATATATCAGTCATTGTGTTGGATGCACTGTAATGCTCATTACATCCCATTCATTATCTGGTAATCATCCTGAAAGTGTTCCATGTGTCATTTGTTGGTAGATCTTTTTAGGTTTACATTATATCTATTTTATTCTTTTTTTTTCTTTTCGATATAATATTTTTAGTAAGTGTCTAATGATTAAATTAAATATATATATAGGCCTATATGTGTGTATATATATATATATATATATATATATATATATATATATATATATGTATATATATATATATATATATATATATATATATATATATATATATATATATATATATATATATATATGTATATGTATATATATATATATGTATGTATGTGTGTATATATGTATGTGTGTATATATATATATATATATATATCTTAATATATAAAAGCCTATGTGCGCACTTCTCTTTCTCTGTTCGCAACATTTTTTAGATGATGTAATCAGTATGTTCAGCGATATATGGAGAACTTAAATATATAGACTTTTGTTGAAAATAGTATGTTGGATGTTTTAAATGTATAAACTAAATTTTATTTAAAGAAGGAAAATAAAAAGAAAAGCATATTCAAATGTACAAACACATGTTTAATCATGCAACCGGAAAAGTGTTTATAGTTGTGCCGAGAATGCATAAAACAATGATGTCACATGTTTAAACTACGGAAAATGCACAAAACTAATGGCATCATCTTCCAATTTTAGAATATGAAGAAATGAAGTATTTCATTCAAATTTGGTTTAGATCTATAGATCTACTTATCAAGACAGACGCTTTGAAATGTATACAATTTTCTCGGCCAAAAGTAATACAAATTTCTTTTAAAAAGCTACATTACCATTGAACAGCAGGGTCTTTAACTGAATCATTTAAGTCTCTTAATCAGTGTGTGCATGGTGTTGTGTTGACTAATATGTATATAATTTGGTTTTTCTAATAGGTATTGGTAGCCTATGTTATTTTAAACGTGTCAGATTTTTAGCTATTTAGTTATTTCTTTGCTCTGTCACTAATATGTGTAGTAATGCACATTGCACTTTGACCAATAACTAATTTTATAAAATATTTGTCTCAAACAAGTATAACATTAAAATATGTAGGCCTATAATACACATGTAACTGGTACTGACAGCTGGTATATATATATATATATATAAGGTTTGGCTAGGCTGCAAATAGTAGTAACTATATTATCTATATTATATAGTTAATTGTTTTAACTGCTATAACCAAGATGTAAGTAATTCTAGACAGATGTTGTCAACATAAAATTGGGCTTAAGCTAAGTTCAATAAATAAATTCATCGACTCTGATCTATGTCTTAAAAGTAATCTATCCAAGAACAGATGTGATACTAGTTGTATAATACTTCTCATTCTCAGTGAGGTCACATTATTAGATGCATTTATTTATTGTGATTATAGAGCACTAATTTTAGATAGGAGAAATTAATTAAATAAGATACATTTTCCTAATAATGTTTCAATGGTTGAACTAATCATACATATGGTCACCTTCTTCTTAGATCATTTTTATTTCAAAATCCCATTTTTTATTCAGGCACCTTTTTAGATCATCATACTTATTTTAGTATTATATTTCCCTTTCAGGCACCCTTTTTAAGACAATCATTATTTCATCATCCTATCTCCCATTTTGGTACCTGCAGTTTAGATTATCTAAATCATCATTCATTTATTTATTAAACTAATACCTAATTTTTATTATCATTTTAAAGCTTTCTTTTGTATCATATTTCATTAACTAATCATGTTCTTGAGTATTCAACAATTTTTCAAATTTTAAAAATTGTATTTAGAATTTAGGAAGCATACCCTACTTCAATTATCTCTAGCTACAAGCTAACCCTGAGTGAAATAGACCCCAACAAGTATAGATTAATTTAGGGGTAAACTAAAAACACACACACTCACACACACAGCCAACACATACATTATTTCAATTTTATACATTTTATAAATGAATATTAGGTTATTATAGTTTTGAATTCATTTGTTTGAATTTCTTTGACCTTAAAAAAACAACAAGATAAGCACACAGTGGGCAAGCAGCTTAGGTATACTCATAGTAAATTTTTCTAGTAAATATCCATCTATCTCTTCCTGCATTATTGATTGACCTACATAGGGTTTGTGTGTAGGATTTGCTAACACCAGTGTGGTATAGAGCTGAATTACTATATAATAACCAAGCTTTCACTGCTTATCAAAACAAGCTTTAAAGCTCACACTCAGTATTATGTTACTAATGTAATGAGCTGAGTTTTTGTAAGTTGAATGTTTCATCTTTTAAAACCTTCTGGTAGATGAAATTTTACATATTTAGTTCTTATGATTTCAAAGTTTCTTCTGTGTGTAGATTGCTAGCCATTACCTAAAAATGCTTTTTTTAATTCAAAAACTTATTTTTTATTATTATGTACAATTCTACTTTACATTTGGAAAAAAATAAACTTTTTTATTTATAGTTAGTTGATTATTCTGTTCATATCGTAAGTAAATAAATAATAGCTGATTGTTGAATACAATGCATAGTATTTATCCATACTTTACTATAAGTAAATCAACTGTGTTAAATATAGTATGCCTATAGATATTGCCTGGGAGAATAGACATATGGTGAAAACAAATCTTTTTGTCACTTGAAATGAGATAAAAAGACTTCAGACACAATTGTTCAGTTGTAGGTGAAATAATATTTTGAACAGTTGCATAAAACATTCTAATTGTTTACAGCTTTGAAAGTATTCATCTGTATTTTAAAAACTTTTGGATAAAGCTTTCTAATTTAATTTACTGGAATATGTAAGGTCTTGTAAAATGAGTGCATGGCTATTAAACACATTGTTACTATGCAAAACAGACACAGACATCAAGAGCTGCTGGTGTGCTCCTGAACTGAAAATTAATGTAGTTTTGCACAGATGTTGTTAAATAGGCTTTGAGTGTTCAGTACAGTGTATGGTGGTAGTGTGGATAGATGTCTGGATCAAGTGTAGAAAGTTTTAAGTCAGTTATTTTGTTAAGTTAGCCATTTCTGCTGGTAGTGTAGATATATCCCTGGATCAAGTATAGAAAGTTTTAAGTCAGTTATTGTGTTCAGTTAGTAATTTCTGCTGGTATTGTGGATATATCCCATCAAGTATAGAAAGTTTTAAGTCAGTTATTGTGTTCAGTTAGTAATTTCTGCTGGTATTGTGGATATATCCCATCAAGTATAGAAAGTTTTAAGTCAGTTATTGTGTTCAGTTATTAATTTCTGCTGGTAGTGTAGATATATCCCTGGATCAAGTGTAGAAAGTTTTAAGTCAGTTATTGTATTCAGTTTAGCAGTGTCTACTGGTAGTTTAGATAAGTCTCTGGTTCAGATATATATTGAGTCCTAAATTACCTGTTGCCTTGTATCATGCTGCCATACTTTTGTAGTAGAACTTATTTTTTCTTCTAAGAAATAGTGGGTTTTTTCAGTGTGAATTTTATGTTTATGAAGATTTTTATTTTTTTTACTTAGTTATACCATCTTTTTGTTGTAGGAAATGGATGAATTAAAAATAGAATTGGATGCCTGTCGTAAAAGACTTGATGCAAAATACAAAGCTGTGGCTATACTCAAGCAGCAGGTACAGCTAGATTTTTTTTTAAAAAACATTGATTTTACAAGAATAAACTTTTTAAAGTCTTGTATATTAACAATACACCAGTATTTTATTTACATGAAACAAAATAATCATTTACAAATGCTTTTTTTATACTCCATTTTAAAATATGAACACATTATGATACTTAACATTATTTAACACTATTAATTTTTATTTAAAACTATTCATTATAAAGGCAGAACTAGCAGATACAGAATTAAAAAATACGGAAAGGAAAGCTACTGAAACAAGCAGGAAACTAGAACAGGTCTGTACATCGCAACCATTTTAACTTCAACCAAGCCTCAAATATTTAATTAATTTTTTTTAATAGAAATAAGGTTTGTTTGAGTGTATTTTTCTTTAAAAATGTCATTTAATGTCTAAAAAAATCTAAACAGAATAAAATTTAAAAAGCTCCCCAAGTTTAAATATTGATTTCCTTTTTTTTTTGTTTTAGCATGATTTAGACCAGCATGTTTCAACTGTTAGTAATAATTTTATACTAATTTCCCATTTTCTTTGGCATCATACATCTTTTACTGTTCAACTACTATTTGATGTTTACTTTATTCTTACTGCTTCAGTAGTGCGATGAAAATATCTTTAAACATCCGTTTGATTTTAAAACAAACTTTTACAATTATTACATTTTATGTTTACTAATTGTTAGGAATAGGTCCTAACAATTAACTTTATTTTGGAAAAGAATTCCATCTAGCTTTTTTATTTCTTCATTTTATTTTTAAAAAATGTATTCAGTAAACAGTGAATATTTTACAATTTAATGAGGTAGTTTATAATCTAAAATCAATTAATTTTCATTAATTTATAAAGATTGTCTTGAACATAAAATTACAATTGAATTACAATTATATCTAAGCAACTGTATTAATAGATGTAATTATTTTTAACCCTTCCTAAACTTAAAATTGTTTGAGAAAAGTGGCAAATATGTATATAATATTCTTACGTTAGACTAGAAATATATTAAAATTAAAAAGGTCGAATATAACACAAACACTCCTTTCATTTGAGTGATTAACATAACCAATGACTTTTGGATATAGCAGATATGTATTTTCTTTTGTTTAGTTGTTATTACTTTTTGCATGATGAAATTTCACTGCATGTTGTAGGAATTGAGTAAGCTGCAGTTTGAATTGGAATGGCGTGAATCTTCATTCATAGATAGCCAACAAACCTGGGCTGAAAGATTTGATAGGTAAGATCTTTGGCTACATTCATTTTGTATTCATTTTTTTTTAATAGTTGGGAAATTTTCAAAATGATGAAATTTTTAATGTTGAAATTATATTTTTTTAAAACAGAAAATAAATTGAATGTTTAGTTAGTTCCTTTTGTTTTATAGAGAATAATTGGATTGATATATTGCTCAACCATAATTTAGAAAAGAGAAAATATTTTTTTGTAATTTTAGTTACATAAATAAAACACTAAATAAATTAATCAATTGGATGTTAACATAAGGAAATTTAAAAATTAAGTTTTCAATTACAATTTCTAGTTAATATTGTTTTCATTCTTAGTTGATTAGTAAAACCATTTCTGTTGGATTTGTTACATGTAGCTTAAAAACAGAGTAAAACACATTTTTGTTATATTAAAAAAAAGTTATAATTTTTTTTCTCTTTTCTTAGAAACACCAATTAAAAACATAGTAATGAAGGTGTGACAAAATATCTTTTAATCAAAATCATTCATATTTCATTGGCTAATTTGCTATTTTACAGTTTTAAAAAAAAACATAATTATTGTTTAAAATCTTTTTTTTTTTTTTTTTTGCAGTGGCCTATATTTTTTGTAAAAGAAGTTATCCAAAATATTTTGTTTGTTTTTATACATCATGCTATGTTTAAACGTAAACAATTTTTTTCATTTTGTAATAAGGATTGCTATTAAGTACAGTCAAAGTGTAATAGCATATGCTTCTGTTTATCTGTGTTTACTAGTCATTACCTATCTCCAAGTGAACAGGTGTCAACCTGTTGTTGGTGTTAACTCATTGGCATCAGCTGGTAGAAACAATTACAAAATAGGGCATTGTTAGAATAGACAAAATATTCTCAATCAACTAGTCACGTTTTAAAAAACTTGTTTATCCATGAACATTTTATCCCTTTTATTAAAGAGGGAAATTCTGTTTAAATTTTTTTTTTCTTAATGCATTATTTTAAAAAATTATATTAAAATAGTTTTTCTTTTTAAAATAGGGTTATGTCCCATTTGTAATGTATTCATGAATGATAACTCATAGATATGTGCATCTTGAAAATCAGTAACATTGCATAGTATAAACAATATAATTATTTGCTTCTTGTTTGTTTGTTTTTGTGTGTGTATATAACAGACAAATCTGTAATTAACCCTGAGATATATTATTGAACTCCTAACCAAAATGAAAATGTCCCTATAAAGCTGTCCATTAGCCCAAAGAACCAGTACACAACATCTGACCAGCATGACCAATACCATTTGCAGATGACTTGTGTTATTTTGATCTGTTGCTATTGTTAACCAGATTTAGATTTCATTTGTTTTTATATAATGCATTTTGTTTTAGCACTACAGTTCACCTGTTAATTGATTATGTAGACACTATAAAGTTGTCACATCGAGGAATATGCTTTAAGCTTAGCAGAGTCTAAAATATGTTTATTTTGGTATACATTAGCTTTTGACCTTAAGCATCTGGTCATTTGTCGAAATCATTTTAAAAAAATGATTGAATGAAATTAATCTATTTTAAGAATTTTAATTTCTTCTAAAGCTTTAAATTATTAATAATGGACAAAATTAGCGCGAGGCTTTTAAAGAATCAAACAATAAAGAAATAACATACTTTTAGACTCTGCATATTTAGTGGGTTTTTCTCTCAACATTTTGATATTTGTTTTCTCTATAAAATTTGGTAAAACCATTAGCATGGTGATGGGATGAAAGCTTTGGTTGAGGCATTAGATGGTAGAACTGTGTCTCGGTTCTCAAGGGAGATGCTGGAACTTGAACTTGACAGGTAACGCAAGCTTCTTTCTTTCTATTGGTCAAACAATGCGCTGCAAGTTACTTTCTTTCTATTGGTGAAATAATGTGCTGCTAAAGTGTATATATTGTATGCATTTATTTATATTTTATAAAGACAAATATATTTTTTTTTGTAATGAGGGAAAGAAAAAACAGGAAATATTTATTAAACACATTCGCATTTTCTTTGCAAATTTAAAAAAAAATAAAGCATGATTTTTATTACATATTTTGTTATCTATTGATACTATTATTTATCTCTCAGATTTTATATTCACTTATCATATGTATTTTCATTGTACTTAATCATATTATTTATTTAGTAGTTTGCATTTGAATTATTTTCTGCATTAATGTTTGTTACTAGGGTTTGCCAAGAAAATGGGATTCTTATGTCAAAACTTGAAGCTAGGAATGAAGAGCTGAGAAAAGCAAATGCTCATAAAACTGGTTAGTTTAATAGTATTTATTAAATTATAATAAACTGATCAGGTTAATTTAATGGAATTTGGGTTTTTGTTTCTTTTTCTTTTAAAAAACCGTTATAAACTGTACAAATTAATGATCAATTATTTGTGTTAATGAAGTTTTAGTCAAGCAAGATATTAAAACTGTGTTTTTTAGTCTAGGTTAAGTTACATGTAAATATTTTGAAGGCTTCAATATGTTTATTGTTTTAGATCAAGTAGTGAGATTAATTTAAAATTTCAGTTTTATGAACCTTTGGTCCATATATTTATCAGTTTAAAATTTGTAATAATTTTTTTTTTTAACTCCAAAGTCCATCATGTTCTCATGATAATGTCAAAATCATTGAGATTAGTGAAGAGCTCATTTACTTGCTAAGTGCTTTTCTGTGGGATGCAGTATCCTCATCCAAACCATTTTTTGTGCTAAAAATTTAGTGTATCAAAATTAGGTAATCTTTTAGAATGAAGGCATTTTTTATTTGTAGATAGCATTTGCTAAACTTTATCATTACATTTTGTTATCTACTTGAAATGAAACTTCATTTATAAACTGCTTTGTAATAAGGAAGCTTCTTGAATCTGATAGTTACATCTCATTATGGTTTTGCTATTTTATTTGATATAATCTGACAGAGGCATAGCGAGGGGAGGGTGGGGAGGGACACCAAACAGGGTAGAAATTTTTTTATTAAAAGCTCATTCTAAGCTGGATTACTGAATCATCCACAGTTAAGGTTAAGGTCTGGCTTTCCAGACTTATTTCAATGTTTTCTAAATCAACTGTGTGACAACATAATATCAAGTGAACGTGATTAGAAAAAAGGGCCCTTACCATTAAAAAAATTGGGGGGGGGGGGGGCTTTTTCGCTCATGTGAATATCTATATATAAATGGTGGGGGCGGTGCACAAAAATAGTTCGCCCGGAGCCAGGGTGGGTCGCTACGCCTCTGTATTCTGATTATAAAATGTTATTCCTTATTTTAAAATAAACTTAACTAAGGTGATTACATTGTTTGAGTTAGAGTGCCAAGATTCATGTTTTGTTTTTAATTTATCTCGTAATAAAAAAAAAAATGTCTTTGATCTAGCTTGAAGTAAAAAATTCTTTTCGATCTATAAGCCCTAACCTTGTGTAAATAGTTGGGTTTTTTTTTCTTATAGCCCTTGCACGAGAAAGAGATGAGCTTCTTGCACTTCTTGATGTAACAGAGAGACAAAAATATGAGCAAGGAAAGAGCAAAGTTTCTGAGGATGACTACGGATCATTCTCATCCACTGAGGTAACTGCCCAATTCATCAGCTGTGTGGTTACAAAAATACAATGAACTATTTGTTTTAAAACAGACATGGTTTATTTTTAATTTTATTTAAAAAATATGTTGTTTGACAGCTGGCTGTTCTGGGGGCATGTAAGTGTCGTGTGTCCACTCCAGAGCCATGTGGTTGTGCACATGCTGCAGCTAATTTAAGGAAGGAAGTGGCAAAGCTTAGGGAGGAGGTAACTCTCAGTTCAAATTTATTAGTAATGTATTTATTACTATTACCTTGCATTGAACTAGCTCTGTGCATTGATCTATCTTTAATTAGTCAAAAAAAAAGGAGTAATAAATTAACAATTTAAATAAACTTAAAAATGAAAGAATTCTTTCAAGATTGGCCTTGTAGAATTTAGATCTGTGTTATAAAAAATGTGCATGTTGTCAGCTTGAGTGCAGCCACCAAAGGAGAGAAGAGACCAGTCTCACAGTGGATGCTTACAGAACAGCCTTTGAGGAGCAGCTTGCCAGGAACAAGAGCATGACAATGAGGCTGTCCCAGCTGGCAACTCTGTCATCACGCTCTGCCAAAGCCAAGGCTGCTATAAAATGGCTTATCCAAGTCCTAAATGATGGTACAATTTTTTTTCTTATTTTTAACACTATCTTTTTGTTAAATAAAAATATTTTGAGTCTACATTTTAAACAATGATATATGTGATAAGTCACTAAGATAAAACACTTTCTGCAGATGATTATTCCCCACCCAAACCTATTGAGACAGCTGTTGAAGCAGACAAAGGCCACATGTTGTCATCAATGAGTCTCCAAGAGCTGGTCACTTTACTTTCTGAAATGGTGTGTACTCATTCTAATGTGTATTTATTACCACTTATATTAGACAAAACTTGAGTGCAAAAAAATTCTTTTTGATTCTTGAAATCATTATATCCCTCTGCATATTGTACACAGATAATAATGTAGTATATCAGATAACCCAAAAATAGGAAAAAAAATTTTGCTTAATTAAACCATAAAATATTTTTTTGAAAACGTTTCCTAAGATCAATACCCCACAAATAATGTAACACTCCAAGTAACTAACACACCCACTCCCTATTTGATACCAGTTGGTACTTGAAAAAAATTTAGATTTAAAAAATTAATTATGGGAATATCATCAATTTAGAAAACATTCCATGGTGTATAGAGAAAGTATCCTGTCACATTGCTCCATACCACTCTAGCCTTATTATATACCTCACCTCCTTTTCTCCTCCCCAACCTTTTGGTGTTGTATTATAAATGTATGCTTTACACCGTTATTGCATTTTTATGATAAAACTTCTATCCCTATTTCTTAGGTGAGTGAGAAAAATGAGGCCTTAGCACATCAAAAATTGGCAGCTCAAGTACTTGCTAATAAACTTTTAAAGTATGAGAAAAAGGAGGGCAAAAAGTCTGACTCAGACAGCTCCACGGATGCCAGAGTTAAAAAGTCAGAAGGCAAACACAAGAAACAAACCCCAAACTACAAGTTAGATATCTACATTAAAGACAACTCAGTCAGTGATGCATATAATGATGTTTTTAAACTTGAAAGAAACTCCAATGTAGAAAGTAGTTCCTTTGAGGAGGACTACTTTTACGATCCCATAGAAAATAATATTGAAGAAGCAAATAGTTTAGGTCACACCAGTAATCATAAAAGTAATGAGTTAAAATGTACAGACTCACTGCAGTCTGTTAATATAGTTACAGCTGTAAATCTGAATAGAAATCATGAAACAGCTAACCACAGTGATCACGTTTCTCCTGGCTGCTGTGAGGATGCTTCACACACCTCCTCTAACCATGTTCCTGTTGCAGACCAGCTTAGTGGACAAGCTAGTAAATCAAATATTGAAGAGACAAATGGGGTAACAAGTCAAGAAAATATTTTCTCTCAAGCTTTAGATGAGTCTGATAGATCTGCAGCCTCCAATACTGAAGGAGCGACACAACAGTTGTCCAATAGTTAAATCCTGATAGACAAAATAGCCCAGTAGTTGAATCCTGATAGACAAGGCAATAGTCTTATAGTTGAACCTGATATTGAGATAAGGCTTTACTCCTATTATGATCCATTATAGTAAAACTGGCCAGTAGTCCAATAAGTGAAGCCTAGTAATAGTAAAACAGTTTTACTTTGATTTTTTTTTAATAAAGTTACTATTGATTCGTATAATGAACTGTGATAACATTATCTGTAAATAAATAGTTTCCAATGAAGTTATGAGTCTTTGAATAGTTAGATATACCAAAATGTGATTTTTTTGTTTTAAAAGTGTTAAACAAACTTTTAGACAGTTTTCTTTAATTACACAAGCATAATAAATATGTACATAATATAAGTAACTGTTGGCTAATAATATCTTTGACATTTTATAAAACAAATTGTGTATACAATTACATTAAATTGTTAACAATGTATTTTTATTACCTAAGGTAAATAATACAGCAAGTATTTTTTTTAATTGCAGTAGGGCCTACTGTCTTTTTTTAACTTTTTTTATGTTAACACATAGTGGAAATAGTTAAAAAAACGGTAGTAAAATATGCCAGTTAATATTGTTATAATAACATGTTTTTATTGAGGGCTCACTTTACTAGTAATATTTATTCAATGCATTATATTACTGTAAATAGATTCAGTATATAAAAGTTAACTCACATATCTCCACACTTTAACTTGTACTGGAAAATGATGGGAAGATCAAGATCTTTGCTTGGAACATTAGTCAATTAGCTTAAATTGTTAAGAAAAAAAACAAATTATGATTGAACAATGTTAACTTTTCATTATTAAGAAGTCTTTAAAAATTGAATTGGTTGGTTTGAAAATCTTCCAAAAGGTCTTGTGTTTCTATACTATTAAAATAATGGGTAACAATCATTTAAAATATTTATCTTGATTATGATGGTATTAAGCATATATTTATTCATTTTTAGTCCTATTTTATATCTAACATTTCATAATTGAATTATTTTATTGACTATAATGGATTTTTAACAATTGTAATTAATGCCTGGTGTGATTGTGGGAACCCTGTTTATCAATGTAAACAAAAGATCACTAAATTTGTGCCTTGTTCAGGAAAGATTTTTCCCTGCTAACCTTTGACTGGATCTCAACTGGTTGCCCATTTGTCCATATCACTTGTTGAATTTATTACTGTATCAGGTCAACACATCTCCCTTATAGGACAGTTTAGTCATGTGGTTCAGCACACATCTACACCCTGTACATCCATAAACTGAAGTTTATTTAAATCAAGTATGTTGGACATACCTGAATCCACATCTCTGATGGGTGTCTGGGCTAGGCTATGTTAGACTTACTTGAATCTTAAATGGGTGTCTGAAAGGGAAAGTAAAGTTTTCTAAATAAAGTGGTGACCACAGGGTCCATTCATCTGCAGATGCCACAAAAACATCTCTACACCATGTGGACTTTGAAAAGGAAGTCCAATATCTGCAGAGGCCGCAAAATCATATAATCTCTACACCGTGTTGACTGGCAGCTCTGAAAAGGAATTTTTTTTTACACTCAAATGTATAATTTGTACCATTAAAATACATAAATAGAATAGAATAATTCCAATTTTAATTAATTTTAAATAAACAAAATAAATGTCATTCACACCAGAAATATAAGTAAGCTATATTGAATGTCACTAACGCTGAAATAAAAGTGAGCTGAAATAAATGTCAGGTATGCTGAAGTCTAAGTCGGTAGAAATAATTGTAACTCACGCTGAAGTATAAGTTAGGTGAACTAACTTTCAAATACTTTGAAATATAAGTTAGCTCAAATAAACTTTTATTGCTATCTTAATCAAGTTGATGTTAACTTGAAGTCAAACTTTACCCACCTAATCTCATGGTCACAAAATGTTTACTTTTTTAATGTTGTTAATATGGAAAACAGCTGTTGAAGCAAAACTGTAATCTGCATGCTTTGTATGACTAGAAATTATTGCATGGTGTTATTTGTTGCTATGGAAATTCAGTATTCAGTAGAAATTAAACAGTAAATTGTCATTAGAATCACTTGTGAATTGTTATGTTGTTTCCTTCAAACTTTCCAATAGCAGATTTTAAGAATTTTATTAAATACTTGATAATTATCACAAGTGTAGTTAAGATGGCAGTAGAAATTTTCTTTCTGTGTCTTTTACTGGCATCTTTATGAATCATAACTTTCATCTGATGTGGCTGAAATACACTGGCCTTTGTACATGTTTGTCTATTCTTTTTTAATCTAGAACTGTTTTTTTGTTTGTTGACATGTTTTAATAAACTTGTGATAGGAACTTAAAAGTATTTCTATGGTTGATCAAGAGCATCTTGATATCATTTGTCATGTGATTTAATACAAATTTGAACCAAAATAAACAGTGCAATTAGACAAGTTTTCCTTTTTTTTTCTTCTTTGTGAACACATTTGTGCGAAGGGAGATAATTGATTTTTTTAAAAAATACCTTCTTTAAATAGAGTTACCCTTGTAAAAATAAAGACCGTGGGAAGTGACATTCTTCTGCTACATATCTATCACTATGTCTGTTTCTTCCAGACTTTTTTTCTCTAGGGGGGGGGGGACTAAAATTTCCGGGAGGAGGACACTGTTAAAAGTATATAGGGCTGCCCCCCGCCCCAGAGGCGTAGCGACCCTTCCCGGGGTCAAACTTTTCGATTTGCACCCCCCCCCCTCAAGATTTCGATTTGCACCACCCCCCCCCCCTCAAACTTTCGATTTGCACCTCCCTCAACCTTTTAATTTATTTTTCCAACCCATATGTCCCCCCAACCTCGCTACGCTACTGCCCCCCCCCCCCCCCCGGAAGAAACTGCACTACGTTGAGTGAGAAAATGAGCAGGTGTCGCCCCCTAACAGTTGTATTAAGCTAGAGCTAAAGAAGAACTAAGCCTAGTTAGTAGTTATAGTAGGCATCTCAGCTAAAAGAGCTGGGCACAATTTCAGAACAAAGATGAGAAGGTGAAAAAAATAAGTTCAGCACAATTTGAAACATTTGAAATACCTCGGGAATACCATGAAGAAAATCACAGCGTAGTTATGAGATAGTAGCAAACAACAGGTCAACATATCAAGAGGTAAATTTGGGAACAAGTAGATGATGAAGTCAACGACAAGAAAAACGGCAAAGAAAATTACGCATAAACCAACAAAATGGTGAGAAAAAAATGTTAAAAATTATTAGAGGGTCTATACAAACGGACTGGCAGCTCAATAGAGCAGGCAATATAAGAAACATATGTAGCACATCAACAAATAGCCTAACTAGGCAGTTTTATAAGTCAGAAAAATTCCTTGAGGACATAGAGAGAAATAACGGACAGCAACAGTTTAGTCTTAGACCAATGATGAGTAGGTGAACAAGGAAAAAATTAGTCTAAGCAATCCCGAATCACAAATCATCGCCCCATTAATGAATACATGAGTGCATTAGTAGAGATACTCGGTGCTTTCTTTGAGAGATCTGTGAGTGGAAAATCAACTTAGATCAACCTTTTTAAAGTTTCTCCAGCGTTACGGGTTTCGGCATCCTTTAATTTTAGTCAATATCATTACAAACGTTTGTAACACAAGTTAGTCTTGCTGTGTTGAGTCAGTGTTGACACATAGAGCTTTGTGTTTTTTATGCAGGTTTTGGACGCAATAGAAGGCGCACCTGTAGTTGTATAAAACAAAACCAATGACTCACAAATGAGTCTTGTCCAACTAGACTTTTGCTAACTTTACACTCTCCTCTCACAGTTAACAGATGCAGCTAAACATAAGTATGGTGTTAGGGGGCCTAGTTTGTAACCAGTGATAGGCTACCATAAAGATTTGCGTATTTTGGCAACATCATGATTAAGCCTGCTCGGGGAGAAGAACACGTGATGATGAACGTGGATACCTACGTGGCAGATGCAGTGTTTCTTCCAGACATTTTTCTCCGGGGGCACTTGAAATTTTCGGGGGAGGGCGGTAGACTTTCTTCGGGGGGGGGGGGGAGGAGGGAGGGTGGACACTGTTAAATGTATATATTTTCTATATAAATTCCATTTCGTTCGATAGACTTTTTTCGGGGGGGGGGGGGGGGGGGGGGGCTCTGCCCCACCGAAGAGATGCCTGGGCAGATGTGATGACAGACAGTTCATACTTTCTCTGCCGCCCCAATGAGAGCTGTTGCTAGCAGGGGCGGATTAAGCTTGGGCGGGGCCCCGGGCTGAAACTTTTTGGGGGCCCCCTGATATATATATATATATATATATATATATATATATATATATATATATATATATATATATATATATATATAGTTTATATATATATATATATATATATATATATATATATATATATATATATATATATATATATATATATATATATATATAGTTTAGTTATTACCCCCCCCCCCCCCACCTTAGAGATGCCTGAAAAAATCCTTGTTGTGAGACTGTTGGATTTATCGAAGTTTGAGGGGTGGGAGCGATTAAGTCTGTGGTGATCAACATCGGGGGGGGGGTGTAAACTGCCTGCAAATACACCACCCCATGATGCATGACCCATGCACCCTCCCCCCCCCCCCCCATTCCTAACGCACACCAAAATATCGACCGGCCAGCCAGACGAGACACCATCTAGCACAGTGGTTTTTAACCCTTTTGGAGGTACTGAACTGATCAGTTTCATGTGCGCATTCACCGAACTTCTTAACAGTTCGATTTCGTCCGCACTGACTGAGGTAAGTGCATCTTTACCTCCGCCGAACCCTTTGACTGACACGCCGAACCCCTGAAGTTCTATCGAACCCAGGTTAAGAACCACATACCTAGAACATCTTTCTAAAGCAGTTTTATTTGAAATTTCAGCATGGTGCCCTTGAATGCTACTCATACAGGTCTCAGCAAACTTCAATAATATGTAAATCTATGTTGTCATATACAGCTCTTTTATTTTATTTTTGCTGACTATAACTTCTGCTTTTGCTGTTTTACTTCGAGGAAGATTTCATTAGTACAACGAGGCATCAAAGCTTAAAAAATGGATATATTTAGGTTCCACACGAACATTATTCAATTATCACTGAACACAACTACATCGCTTCTCTAGCTACACACATTCTCCGCCATAGGTTCCAACTAGAGGACAAACACTAGCAGGAACCTTGTCAATTAAAAATCACAAGCACTCACCACTAACACGTCTTCTCCCACGCCACTCGCTTCATGTGTGTCTACCTCGATCCTTACTGACCACTTCACGCCCACACACATCTCGTCTCCTAAAACACGCGCATATAAATCAATCACTCCCGCGTTCTTGTGGTTCGAGGTTGGCTTTCTACAATAGTCTATAGGTCGGTTACACCCACCCCGACACCAGACATCCCTAGTCTACAATTAGTTATTGCCCCTGCGTCCAAGTGTCAAGTCTACTCCCTTCTCAGTAGAGCCTATGGTAATGTGCTGTTTAAGTCACTTACCTACGTGCGATTTGGTTATTTAGGTCATTAGAAAATTTTAAAATTGTTAATATAAAACCACATATTATTAATTATAATTGCTGTAGTTAACGTGTTAAGGGGGAGGGGGGTATCCCCCAATACCCCATGCCTACGCCCAGGGGCGTAGGGGGGGGGCGGACCGCACCGGGTGACACCATTTAGGGGGGTGACACCAAGGCAAAAAATAGCAAAATATATAGAGAAAAACTTGAGGGGGGGGGGGGGGTGCAAATCGAAAGTTTGAGGGGAGGTGCAAATCGAAAACTTGAGGGGGGTGCATATCGAAAGTTTGAGGGGGGGGTGTAAATCGAAAACTTGAAAGTTTGTCCCCGGGAAGGGTCGCTACGCCTCTGGGGGTGACACCATTAAGTGCCGCACCGGGTGACACCCGACCTCGCTACGCCACTGCCTACGCCTGTTATTTAGACCCGTATATACTATATAGACTTATGGCGACAGCGATCTCACTGGCTTTTGAATTTCGTCTATATCCAGGGTGTAAGTCAACACAAACATTTCAACCTGAGTTAATATTAATGGCAATAAAAATATTAAAAGAGGGGTCAAGAAATGTGAGGTTCGTTTTATTTTGTGTATTTCAATGATAACAATGATCAGTGGCGTAGCGAGGTCGGGTGTCACCCGGTGCGGCACTTAATGGTGTCACCCCCCCCCCCAGAGGCATAGAGACCCTTCCCAGGGACAAACTTTCAAATTTTCGATTTGCACACCCCCCCTCGAGTTTTTCTCTATATATTTTGCTATTTTTTGCCTTGGTGTCACCCCCCATAAATGGTGTCACCCGGTGCGGTCCGCACCCACCGCCCCCCCCCCCCTCGCTACGCCCCTGACAATGATGGAAAATAATTGTTAACTGACGATACCATTATGTTTATTTAAGTTGGGGGGGGGGATAAACTTCGTGTTATTGTTTGGTGTTTTTCGCTCCTTTGTGACTACTATGCGTGACGATATGAAAATGGGGAGGGGGGGGGGTGTAAATTCAGGTAAAAGAACTTGACGGCTTTTTCGTGGACTACTCCCTTAGCAAAACAGCAAAAACATAGTTTTAGGGCATTAAGCTCACCGTTTATTGTAATTTATATTATTAATTATGATAATAATTATAATTTTTAGGCAAGCTTATATATATATAATAATCATAAGTAGGATATACTGTCTAAGTCTAAGTACTAGATCTAAGACTAAGTCGTTTTTATGCGCTAGGCTAGGCATTTAAAACATCAAGAAATTTTATACGGTTAGGCCAACGGGCCGCCAACATTTGGTCCACTATCCACTAGGCTAAGTCAAGCTTACTCATTCAAACAGTAGGCCACTAACCTACAGCTGAATTGATTCTGCAGTTTGTAAAAGTGCGAATGATCAATGAAACATAAACACACAATCACATTCATTTCCTGGTCTGTGTTGTGAGTGTTGTGTCTGCAAACATCACCTGTTGATATTGGAACAATTTGTGTTTATTACCTCAAATTTATTCAAGTTTTTAATGTTATCCCTCCGTTATCCCAATTAAAAGTTAGTAGACTATTTCTTGTCTTAGTTTCATTACACTAGTATCGGTATAGCTAGGCCTATAGTATATTATAAATAAATAATTAAAATTAGACTCGAGCCTGAAAAAAATGTGTAGGCCAGTCCACTGAGTCCAGTCAGTGACAGTAGTCAGTAGTTTTTAAATTCAGATTCAGTGACAGTAGAGTAGCTTAGTTAGTAGAGTAGACAAGTCTATGACTATGAGTAATTTAACTAATTAATAGATCTAGTAATTATTGATCTTTTAAAGTCAAAATTAAAAGTAGAATCTATATTTCTATAGGCCTATCTAATATCTATTAAAATTAACTATCTAATTTATCTAGATCTAGATTTCTAGATAGTAAAAGTAAAAGTAGATAGAGAATTATAGGCTCTCCTAAAAAAAAAAAAGTCTATTCTTAGTAGCTAGTAATGTGAAAAGAAGGTGCCTCATTACATTTACATTTGAGTAATTATTTAACATTTTAAGGAAGATTTATGTTTTGAAAGTTACAAAAATGTTTCAAAGTTTCATTCATCTACCTGATTTTAAACAATTGTATTAAAACTTTTCAGTAATAAATATTATTAACAAAGACTAGCAATGTTTTCATCAGATGCAACAAAGCTCGGTTACTTCAGCAGCCATTTTGTTTAAGTTTTTTTTGGTAAACTTATAGCGGGAGATTCAGGGGAAGCCACTCTATTTTACAAATGGCCGCAATTTATATAGCAAATATTGCTCGCAAACACTGCTGTTCAAAAGTTAATTTCTGGCCTATATTGATATATTTAGCCATTGATTTTGGTTTATTATTCAATTATCTATAATATTTGACACACATATAATATATATCGCAATATACTTCTATTTAAGCCTTAACAAGGAGGCAACTTTGTTGCACATTTCATTACTAGCCTCGGCCGATTTACGTACCTAAAACGATAGATTACCATATAGGGCTATAGTCCTGCCTAGGAAATCTAGAAGATCTATTTTTTTTAATAATAAAGATCTAATTAATGTTACTCTTTAAGACTTTCCAAGTGTCAAATGTTAAAAGTACTGTTAACTGACTGTGCAACAACTATAGACTATTATTATTAATTATAAGTTTAGTAGAAGTGTTGATGCAGTTTTCAATGTTTGTTTGCAGTTTGTGAATCTACTACTAGTCTACTATATTGAAGCTTTCATTGATGTCTAAAATTACTGTTACATTTATAGATCAACGTTCTATTTTCTATAGTTAGTATTAATTGGGCCAAATGGATCTTAAATATTGACATTGTTGACATACCTTCACTAGGTACACAGCAAGTATAGGTCCAACATAGTACTTACAGATCTAATACTTATAAATAATAGCAAATACATTGGTCCACATTCTTTAATACACAGCACAGTGTTAATACTAGTTCTGGTTAGTATTCGTGGCTTAGTTCTAACAGACTTAACTGACAGTTGATAAAAATTTAAGAATATAATTGAACATCTTAAGCCACAAGTTATATTTTTTTGGTAATCTTAGATTGCAAGTAAGGCTACTTTAAATTTATAATGAGTATTGTCTCAAAATGTTAAGAATCAACATTCGGCTTGTTAGGTCTAGATTGTTTATGGAAATTAATTAAGAAAGTGTTGTTTTTTTTCATAATATTTGGTTCGGCATTCAGGTAAATTTGTATTTATATTAATATTGATATCCCTATCAGGTACTTGTATGCATATTTAAAAAAAAGATTTCTGTAGGCCTATAAGGCCTAATTTAAAAACTTGTATATTATTTTGGGCTTGCACTAAAATAAAAAGTAGGCCTATCGTAAATAAATAATTCTTTAATAAAGTGTTAATATTATCTGACAGACAATAGATCCAGCTACCAAAATTATTTTTATGGGGACAGTTTTCCTCTATTTTCAAAGCGACAAATATAAACACATTATACATCAATTTAGTTGTTAAAAAAATTTAAGAATTAAAAAAGACACCAGACAGTTGCATGCATTAACCAGAAAATAGAAGATCAATTATTCTCACTTAACTATAAAAAGAATCCACTTCTTAATGAAGTAATGTTAAAGAATGTGTGAAAATTACTATTTATACTAATAAAATACTTTTATTAGTTACTACAATCAAAATATGTTTATCTTTTGAAAGGTTATTACCATGGGATTCGACTCTATTAGTTGTCATCCATTTTTTTCACATATGTATGTGTTTGCTGTAACATATAAAGACTTTGCCAGTCCAGTAAAGTTGATTTTTTTTTGGACCCTACACTCCTCTCTTTGAGTGGACATAATAAACTATTGACACCTTATTCAATATTCACACAAAAGTTTTTTGATTTTGATACACAATATATATATATATATATATACATATATATATATATATATATATATATATATATATATATATATATATATATATACCATTTAAATTTTACAGCTATTTATTGCTATATAACCTCTAATATTTTTTTGCATTTCAATTAATATAATTAATTATAATATAATTAAATCTATAAGAAAAATATATATCATGAATAGTTAAAGATGGAATTTAAATATAACTAACAGCATTTAATTGATATAGCTTATTTAAAACTCCATTTTTTAACAAGCGTTTTAACAATGCTTAGTTTTACAATTTGCTTTTTAAAAAAGTCTGTCACCAGAATATGCCATTTGTTAGCCATTATAAAGCTTATAATATATTGTTTTAAGGCTGTGGTAATTAATTGTGATAAAAATGGTCAATTGTTACCTCCTTAGTTCTTATAATTTAATAAAAATATGAAAGTGTTATGGACAAACTGAAGAGGAAGAGAAACAGTAAACCTGAAGAGCATTCTCTAAGTAGCTGGTCCAGAACAGGAAGCTTCATGAATAAACCTGAAATGGGGTGGATTCACCCTGACGATCAACTTTTACCAGATGCTGGAATATGCTATGGTGTGCGGGTAAGTTCTTGATACATATGTTTCATATATTTTTATAACATCTTCCTTCCAAGTTACTATAGATTCACTTTAATCTTTAATGGGACTGCTTAGCTGGGCTATAGAGTGCTTGAGTGCTAACCAAAACATCTCAAGTTGTGATCTCATAATGGAGTCCGTATAACTTCCCAGTCCACCTAGTTCTGATGGGTACCTAATTCATGTTTAGAGATAGTATAGGAGGCTGGGCATATTTTTTGACCACACTATCATTTAATATTCTGTGGTTACACAAACAGGTGAGCATTATTTCATCTGCCCTATTGACTGTCAGGTCCAAAAGGGTAACTTCAGTTTCTGCTAAATTTGTTACGAAAACTGCAGCTTCAAAAATTATTTGTAATTATGTAATTTTCACTATGACATCATTCTACTTGAAATGATAAACAAAAGAGCCTTGAAAGTGTTAAGTCTACACCAGAGAAATTCATTTCATCCTCTTTTGGTTTAGATAACATTTATAACAAAGTTTAGAGCTAGTTTTTAATTATGATTTGAAGGATCTGCAGGAAATTATGTCTACTGTTACATGTATGTCCCATTACTCATTACAGTAGTAGCATTTTCTATAATGCTTACATGTACTTACAAATATACAATTAAAAAATAAAAAGTACATTTTCATATCATAACAGTAATATTTATCTTACAAAAATTTCAATGACATTTGCTTCCAATCATTAGATCATTAGAATTTTCCATTTCTTTTTGGTATTGAAAATTTGTTTGGTGATTCAGTCTTTGAATTTTTTGAGCCATTTTTGCTTGTAAACTTTAATAACTGAAACATGAGAGGGCAGAAACATCCAGTGGTTGTGTTTTGTGTCAAGGATTTACTAGTTTGAATACAGCATGAGTCCTGGTAAAAAAAAAAATTTAAATGATCTTAATATATTTAGTGAGTGAAGATAATACATGTGGCAGAATAATTGATCTATGAAATTTTTATCCAGTTTTGATTGTTCTAAGATGGAAATTTTTACATAAATCATAAATATTTTCAACTTAAGTTAAAACCAAATAACAAATCCCATTTTAGCTAAAATTACAAAGGTTACTCTCGACTGTTACACTAAAATATACAAAGTTGTGCCAGTTCACCAGCATGTGGTATTAATGTATATCATATATGTATATCATTTTCTGTTTTTAAACTGAAAATTAAATTATTATGAAATACTAATAGATTCCATTTTAAAATTTGTAACTGAAAAGGGGAGTCCTTATGTTATTGTTGAATATATTTTAAGATATACACTTTTCTTTCAATAGTTGACTCTCTTGTATGCTTTTTAGATTTTCATAATTAGAATATTTTATTTTTACTATCTTCTTAGGTTTTTTAAAGTCATATTTATTTTTCATAAAATAATGTTACATTTGTAGTATATTGGATGTTTGGAAATAAAAGAATCTATGAAGTCATTAGACTTTGAAACAAGAACCACCATAGCAAGGTCAGTCTATTCTATTAACCTTATTTACATTTAATTGAACATCTGATTACTTAGATGCAAACTTGCTTCAGCACTTTTTTGTAATGCCTTCAAAAGGAGTGCACAGCTTGTAAATATTTTGCTTTAGCAGCAGCACACAGCCTCACCTTTTTTTTTACAGCCTTAGCAAATATTTTTTAGATGCAGTGTACACATTTTTAGCATCAACATGCATACCTGTATGTTTATTTTAGAATTTAGAACATTCCAGAGGTTGTTTTTTTTTTATTTTCCTAAAATCAGAGAGTCAATAAACAGAGTTGCTGAAGCTGCAGGCTTAAAAACAGCTTCCAAGAGAAAAAAGGTATATGTTTATACAAAGTTTTGATAATGTTTTTCTAAACTGTTAACTCTTTGAGCCCGCCAGGCCGGTATACCGGCTTCAACATTAGGCATATATGTCCGAAAAGCCGGTTTTCCGGCCCGATGATCTAGCGTCATATTCCTAGCGGCCGGTATACCGTTTAATTAAATATAGTTAGCGAAAGACTGACTAAAACTGCACATATGTCTTTTGAGTGCTGGATTATGATTCTAAAAATTGATTTTTAGGAAAAGTGAAAGTGTTTATATTTCGTAGCAATGCCGCCGAAACGAAAAGCTGAGCTACAGCCGTCGACTTCACATAAAGTTGGTGCAAAAGATGAAGCAAAAGACCGAAATATCAACAAAAGAAGTAGAATGACTGCATCTCAGGCAATACAACTACTTATTGATTCTGTTGAAGAAGATAATATATCTGGTCTATATTGTGATGATAGTGACGTTGAAACACAGTGACATTGAAATTGACAGTGACAATGAAACTGTTCAAGTACGTTCTGATGCACGTGGTGTCAAGGACAAAGACTAGTCGAAACGAAAAAAAAAGTTTACTGGTGCAAAACATGCGAATTTTTTCTTTGCATCGGGTCCGGCAGTGATGACTGTTTTGAAAGTTATCACACAAAAGTGGACTTCTGGTGATGAACTAGTATGGCCAGGTATCAATAATAACAAAACAATCAATAAATGTAAATTGGTTTCTTCTATGTTCTATCAAAACAATAATTATGTGTTCGTTTTATATACATTGTTCTGTTCAAACATTTTAAAAAAAAAGAATTTTAGAATCTTGCTGCATTGTTGTTTGATCCTGAGTCTGGATACCAAATTTGGCTTGATTATCTCAAACGGTTCAAAAGTTATAGGCAAAGTTAGAAGCAGATAAGTGAAAATCGGTTTGGGCCTGGGAGCTCAGGAAATGGGAGAAAGTAGGTCAGGGAGGCCAGGGCTCAAAGGGTTAATAATATTGATATAGCTTGCACAACACACAGTACTTACATTAAAAACACAGTGATTTATTTTGTGGTCGTCCATTTATGATGTCCAAACAGAGGAGTGAAAGGAAGGGGGGGGGGGAATTGAGTTCACATGGACATTAATACATAAAATTGATTATTTATATAAATTTTATACCATACAATTTGTGTGTGGACATAATATACAGATGACCCCATTTCAAATTTGTGTGTGAACATCATATACGAATGACCTCATTTCAAATTTGTATTGGACATAATGTATGGATGACCTTTTTTCAAATTTGTGTTGGAAATCATATATGGATAACCCCATTTCAAATTTGTGTTGGAAATCATATATGGATGACCCCTTTTCAAATTTGTGTTGGCAATCATATATGGATGACCCTATTTCAAATTTGTGTTGGAAAGCATATATGGATGACCCCATTTCAAATTTGTGTTGAACATAATGTATGGATGACCCCTTCCCATAAGTATAAATTCATGAATGCTAAAGTAGTTTAAAAATAGTTGGAATTGTTGCATGTTTTTTTATGTTCAGAAACACAAGTTAGCAATTTTAAATTTGAAAAATTATGCACACATCATCACAATTGCTAAATGTATGCCAAATTTATTCAGCGATTGTACAGCTTTTCTTACCAGGTTTTACACAACTTTGCTTTCTTATGCACTGTTTATGTTAAGCTAAAAATTGATTGCAAGTAAAAACATATAAATAATCTAAAATGTTTTCTTAATTTTAGATTGATCGAAAACTGGCAAAAATGTTGGGTGATAACCCACACATGCAATATGCAGGAGCCAATGTTAATTTGACAATAACAACAGATAGCATTATTTTAATGATTATGGAATCAGGGGAGGTAAACTAAGTCTTTCTTAACAACCTTTTTTTTTGATACATTTTGACTTAATAATATAAAAGACTATATGCTCAAAGGTAAAGTCATTCTACAGTGGTTTTGTAATTTTAATCAAGAAGCTAGAAGTGACTCTAAATAATTCTTATTGGTGGTTGTAATGTACAGTTCTTGCAATATCAACATGCTTTTGAAAACTATTTTTCTAAGCATAGCAATGCTTGCATTAATAAAATTATTTGAAATAAACCAAGTGCTAGCTTGGTGACATTATTATTTTTTTTTGCAATGAGTTATTGACACTTTGATTTATGATAATATATGTCTTAATATTTACAATATAAAAGAAATACTTTGATACCAAATATTGTTTTTTCTCAATAATTCAGATCATAGGTGATCACCCATTACATGTTGTCTCGTTTGCTTCAGGTGGTGATGTGGTGAGTTTTTTTTTATATGAATAATTTTAGTAGTGTTGCACTAAATTGGACACTCAAAGGACTTGCGATTGAATCCTCTCATTAGCCATTCCACCTAGCTTTAAAAGTATTTAATGCAATTGGATAAAGTTATGACAGCTACTCGTGTGGCCTTGCAAACCTGCGTACTTCAAATAAAAGAAAAACTATATATCTGTTTTTAAAATAAATTTAGATTTTGTAGTTATTTAAAATTTTGATTAAGGAAGATAGCGGTTAAGAAACATGACATTAATTCCATATTTATTTAAAATTAATTATGAAATAAAACAACTTATGTTAGAATTATGATTATGGAGGGGAGGAGGGAAGAGTTGGACTTATTTGGGGAGGGGCAGCATTCCATTGAAAGCTTACATGATTTATGAATGAACCCTTATAAGTAATTAAAGATATAAATAAATAACATCAATGTACTGATAGTGTTGTTGTCTCCCCTCTCTCACAGGACACCCTTGACTTTGTGTCATATGTTGCCAAGGATCCAAACTACGGCCGTGCCTGTCATGTTTTAGAATGTGGAGGTGGGCTGGCAGAAGATGTTGTCACAACTATAGGCCAGGCTTTTGAGCTGCGTTTTAAACAGTATTTGAAGAAACAACCTAAAGCCCTTCAGTTGCCTGATTGGTAATTTGGATTCTTTCTCTAGTACTAATAGTACTATTTAAAACTTAATTGTTGTAACTGTAACAATTTTCTATTTTAAACTATATGCTTATTTTAAACAGGAGGGACAATCCTGGGTTTGAAGATGAAAAGTGGGGTGACAAAGAAGATTATTATAATGACAATCCTGATGCCAGACCACCAGAAGCATCAGGTGGGACACCAGTTGTTCCCCCTCGTCCAGAGTATAATACACCCAACAATGTAAGTTAGAATACAAATTAGCTAGTCATATTTGTTTTATTCCTCTTATTGATTATTGTAAACTACCTTTATCTTGATAAAAGCCATTATTTTTTTACTAAACTGTTCACACATTTTTGGACCTTTGTTGATTTTAACAAATTTTTAACTGCATGGTTAATTAAAAAATTTTTTTAACCTTTTAAATGAAATTAAAAATTCAGAAACCTAAAAGTGATGGGAAAGATGCATCACTCCAATCAGGTAAATTAGGTAGGAAACTTTTTTTTAATAAGTTATGTGAATAAACATTAAAAGATTTAGGGTTATTAGATGTTTGTTTTTTTGTCGTTAGTTAGTCATGGAGCCATTGCATATATCTACCCTCACTTAATGAAATAACCTACATTTAATAATACAACTGTTTACAAGCATATTTTTAATAGTATCAACAAGTTAAATCTAGCTTTGTTGTGCCCCCACTTAAAATTTAAGACACTGTAGGTGATATGCTAAGTTTTAATTTGTATAATGAATTAGTTTTGGTTTCAAACATAACTTTACATTTTCGATGATTTATCTTTTGATAATGGTGATCTTAAGAGCCAATGATAGCTTGGTTTTGTTAAAATATTTATGTTACCCTTTAAAAAGTGGTGCTCCATTGGGCAGATAAAGCAGAGTTCACCTGTTTCTGTGACTTTGGCAAATGAAGGAATAGTGTGGATAGTACTATGACCAGCCGCCTTTACTTTCCCTAACATGAGTCAGGTACCCAATAGATTTGAGCTCCCGATCTGAACTCGAGACTTTCAGGATAGCAAGCTCTCAACAATACAAGCATAATGGGTAGCATTTTTGATTGGGCAAACCTGAGCTACATCCAGTTGTAACTTATTTTTATGAAGTTGTTTCTTAGACCATATTTATGTTTGAGTTTTATTAAATTTAGAGTACAAAATAAATTTTACTAATCAGCTGTTGAATTACTTTAATCCATTAACTTAAAATTTTATTGATATTCTTCACACATTATAAAATATTTTAAGCGGGATATAATAAGTCTTATCCATGTATCAGACGGTGAATTAAAAAGCAGTGATGTCAACCATGAAGCAAGCATCAAATCATCTGACAATGAAAGTAGCAAGAGAACTATTGATGCCTTTGATATGGGTACGCTTTAAAACAAATATACCTGGGGAAAATATCCTGTAGTTTTTCTGTAGAAAGGGTTTCACAGTGAGCTCCACTACTAAGCCCTTTTTAGTTAACATTGTGAGGGTTCCACTACTTGACTAAGTTCTATTTCATTTCATACCACGACAGACTTGACAAAATAATCACTTGAGAGTTTCATTCTTTTATTTTACTCTCATAAGAGATACTGGACGTGAATACATATAAGACGACACAAACACATCTTCTGCCCTAATCTTCTTCCCCAGCAACAACTATACTACACTAAAATATAATTTCCTTGCTTACCTCGTCACCATCTTTTAACAATACAAAACCTTTGACAACACACATACTCTTGTACCTTTACTACACACTTCATAAACAAGCAGTAACATGTGATGTACATTTCTATATTCTTCAATTAGGTTTTTGAATGTATAACATTACATATAACTTTATTTTTTGCTTTTCACACTTAAGAACCATTCAGTGTGGAGTTGCCACCTTTATCAGATTCTGCTAAAAAAACAACAGAGGCTGAGAAAGATCTGCGTGAAAATAAATCTGCTGCATCTTCTGAAGCACTAGAGCCAACATTTGAAGAATGGTACCATGGTGACATACCTCGCAAGCAAGTTAGTAACAATTTTGACGTGTTCAACTTATTCAAGTGTAAAATATACAGAAATTTTATAAAGATGTCAACGTATTCTTTTTTTTATTAAACTTTATCCAAATGTCTTTTTACTTTCAGCAAATTAAAACAAATTTTTAGCGCAATTTCCATTCTGGAGAATTGCGTTTATTAACTCGTCATTTCTGGGAATGGATGGATGAATGAATGTATGGATGAATGTGTGTCCGGGCTTTAAGTCGTATCTCCTCCTCAACGAAGCAATATCGATGACTAGTTCCAAAAGCAATTATGTTAAGCAAGTTACGAGAATGAGCATAGGCCATAAAAATTCCGGGTTTCTTTCATGTATTTCCCGGAAAAGCCAAAAAAAACCTCGAAAAAATCGATTCCTGTCATAATTTAGAACAATATTGCCGAAGAAAGTTTTCAAAAATATTCTCTCGTTCGGTCACAAATTTTAAAATTACATAAACACCTACAAACCGATCGTTCTTCTAGCTTGAACGCACCCCAACATTATACGTCAGAGCTATTTTTAGATAACATAAGGAAATTGCGCACAAATGTCACTAGACTTTTTTAATTAACTTGTTTGCTTTTATAAATTTAGGCAGAAGTGCTTTTAGAATTTGATGGGGACTTTTTAGTGAGGAAAAGCACAAACAGTCCTGGCCAATTTGTACTCAGTGGAAAACAAAATGGCAGCCCAAGACATCTTCTTCTAGTGGATCCTGAAGGAATTGTATGTAATATTCATTTCTTTCCTTTAAATCAGTTAAAGTATACATGTATTTCAAAGAAAAAATTATGATTTTTGTTTTATGTTATGTTTGTTACTCAAAATTGAGCGGTACAGTATTTTTTTTTTCAACAGGTCAGAACAAGAGATTTTATTTTTGACAGTGTGAGTCACCTTATCAATTATCACAGACAAAATCAACTCCCTATTGTTACTCAGGGTAGCGAACTAAAACTAACTAGACCAGTGAAGGCCTGTATTTCTATTTAAATGCTTTTAAAATGTGACTTATAATAAATCATTTATCATTCACAACCAATTTGTTACTTTACTGTAAATAAACAATGTTAAGTAGGTATATAATTTTGGCTGTGGAAGCCATTTTTACAAGGCTGTAGATGTTAATCACTGTTGTTTTAATGCATAGTCAATGTGATTGAACTTACATAATGCGTTTGTAAACAGATATACAGAACCAAGTTGTATCTATTCTTGTATTTCCCTATGTTGTTAGCTTATTTGAGCTTTTGATCATTGATGTACAGTGAAATTATTTGTATGCATTACCTTAATTTTGTGCAATACTGCAACAAAATTTTTTTGTTTGTTTTTATCATTAAAGAGCCAGCACATTTTAAAATTATTATTAATAATTATTGTGTTGTCTTCAGGTATTGAAAGAGATATATTCTTTTAATATTTCTTATAAATGCTCTTTTACAATATTTGTATTATGTTAATTCCAGTTAAATAAACATTTTAATGACACTTTAAGATTTAAAAATTATTTTCAATTTTACTATACTTTATAAATCTAAATCAAAATTAAGATTCTGCTCAAGTCTTGCTATTTGATCCATTCAGTTTGTGTACATAGATAATACATAACCTTAAGTTTTCTTGAAGTCCAAAGTTTTAAAAATTCTATTACTGAATTTAAAATAATGGAAGCATCATTTTTAGATATCTACCTAAATCATTCAAATACATAATTACACTTAATTATGTTTAGAATATTTGTGTGGTTCTTAACCTGCTCATAATCCCTTTGCTTATTAGCAAAGGGAACAACTATTTCCATTAACATTAAACCTAAAGTATTTACAAAGTATTTCTTTAAAAAGCCATTTTAAAATATTTATCCCTTAAAATTTAAGTTAAAAAAATAGATATGTGTCTTTTGTCCATCACAAAATTATGGCAGTATCAATAATTCTCTTCTTAGTTTATGATGTTGGCATAATTTTATCAGATCATTGAATATTTAAAAAGGCTTAGATGTCTAGTTCCAATGTTTTTTATCTCCTCAGTTTATGTAAAATTCTAATTTACCAAATGAGTATAATAAATATTACTAATTATCTTATTTTCTTTACAATTGACCAAAATTTTTTTTCTCTTTATTGTTGTAGCCTTTTGTCTGTTAGCTTTTATTAAAATCTATTACTTTAAATCTTACTTAAAGATGATAAACATAAATATTTTATAATGTATGTGCATTTTAGTTGGGCTTTTTTTAAAAACTGTTTTCAGAACTTGCAACAAAAACATTTGTTTCTGTTTTAATACATTTTCAATTTTATAATAGTAAGATCTTTTGTACACTTATTGATTACTATTAAGTAATTTTGTGCATACACAAAAGGAAAACAAATCATTTTACACTTTTACATTGCCAATTATTTGAAGTTGATTTTAATATAGTTTTTATGTTATTACATATACATTTATATTGGTACTATTAGTCTTTTTTTTACTTTTAAGTCTTCCATGATTTCTTGGTTTAGATTGTTTTATTATTTAGGTTAAACCTCTTTAAAACTCATTAAATGTAGGCCTACATTTTTTATACTATTACTAATAACTTAGTTGTGATTGTATTACTAAAACAGTAATAATAATTTCAGTATCAATTTATATTTAAAAAGGTTTCTCTTCCTTATAAGTTCTCTTTATAAAACTCAAGAAATAGTTTGCCTAATTTCAAAACTTTCAATGAGTAGCCTATTACTTAATAGCTTTATACATGTAAGATCTAGTCATTCAATGTTGACACCGGTTTAGTACATAATTTGAACAATTAACTATGTGTAGTTTTATCTTCAAATTTAGTTACCAGTCAAGTAGAAGCCATTATTACAATATACATGGGAGATATTTTGTAACTTAAGTTAATTAAACAACTAGAAAAAAAATAGGCCTACTTGATGTTTACTTGCATAGTAAAATCTGCTACATATAAATTATAATGGCAAATATTTGCTAAGTTCATGCAGTATTTAGTCTCAATACCTTATCAATTCCCAAATATGGTCTTAAACACAGTTTTTACTACAGTATATATATCTAATAATTTTTTTTTCCAAAGTCTAACAATAAACTTATGTTTCACAAATATTACTGTTTCAGTCTATTCATTTTGTACTACACTGACAATGTGGAAATAGTTGAAAATTCATGTTCACGATAATTAGAGTATTATTATACCATATTTTTTTAAAACCAGCGGTAAGGATAATTTCAAATATATATTTATATATATCATTTGTTATATCATCAGACATTAGTAGTAGGCACAACAGTTACCTTCAGAGGGTGTAAGAGGATGTGCCAGTTGGATACTTTTATGTCATTCATATTACAATGTGATTAAGCTCTGATTATAATATTAACAATCACATAATTTTTAGACTTTGTTAAGTTGCTATATAACATTTTACTACTTTAATTAAATTTAAATTATAAAAACAAATTTGTAGATCATGAAGTTGAAATGTATCTGTTTTACAGCTTAAACAAATTTATTACCTAATAAGAAAAAACACAAAAAAAGCAACAGTTATGTAATTTTATTTAAGCAAACAACCATCAAACATTGGTTGAATTAAGCCTCAGAATAGTCCAGGCTTTGGCAATCTGTTCCTTGTTAAGGGGTGAGCATTGTATTTGAAGTGATGGTCAGGTAAAATTTTACCACCTACTGTATTTGGTAGAATTCTTTCATATGCTGCTAACTGATGTCTTCCTTTCAATGTTTTTCTCCACAACATTGCCAAACCTCCAGTCGTTGACAGTCTTCGCTCTATGTTATTCTTGTTGTAGCGTTTCCAAGCACTTCCTTTATAATATTCTCTCTTACCCGTGTTTTTACTTCTAATACACTGTATAACATTGGAAGCAGGAGCAACTAGTGGTTTGGATGAGGATGGCTTTGAACCGGACACAGGAGAAAAAGTCTGATACAAAGGCTGTGTGCTTGGATTATAAAAAAGGGAAAGACAGCGAAAATTTGTCCCTTTCAACTGATTAGAAAAACAGTGGGGTTTTTGAAGATTATTTAACGCTGGCATAAGTACTGCACTCCACACATTTCTGAGAAACAAAAACAAAAGATGAGTCATGTCATATGCAATGAGAAGGCCTAAGTGCCATTTATTATGCAGTATTATCTATGGAGAATCATAATAAAAAAGTTAGGGGCAATTTTCCAACAACCAACCAACTCTAACAATAAATATGGAGTAATGTTATTATCAACATTACAGTCAACTACTTGATTTAGTTTACTGATAAAAACCAATATAATTATAATATTTTTTGAGAGCCCAATGTAGAGAAAATTCTTGTTTACTGATTATTGGGCTTAGAACGTACTAAAACTTTCTGAAACAGAATAATACAAGCTGGTTTTCTTTATTTCAAAGGAGCTATTTCTTTCTACTATATTTATTGTGCTGTATCAAAATTAGGTTCATTTATCAATATTACAGTTAAAAAAAAAAATGAATTAACTGACAAAATTCAGTTTGAAGAATATTGCTTTTTAAATGTAGAGCCAATTTTACACTTTCTTAACCTGAGTGTGATGAAATTTATGGATGCCCCCTCCCCCAAAGACAAAAATCTTTCAAGGGACCCAGAATCAAAAGTAAAATAAGGCACTAAAAAGACAACTCTTATTAACAAACTCTGACTGTATTGTCTACTTTACAATTTAAAAAACCCAGTTACTACAGCACACGAGTAGTAGCACATTTTAATCTGTGTATAATCCACCTATTTTGAGATAGTTTTTGGTGTAGAATATTGTGCCTTGCTATATATATATAAATATATATATATATATATGTAATCTATCCAGAATGTTACACGGTACAGGGGCACAAAAATGCATTTAGAAATAGAATGGACGTATATATTATTTGCTAGAGACGGTTAAAATCAGATCCAAACATTGTAGTGGAAAACATCTGGTGATAAACAAAGAAGAAAATAAAATTGAAACAAATAGGCCTTCATGAAAACTTATCTAACCTTCCTATGTCATACTCATAGATTATATATGTAGCCATTTTAATGAGTCACTAAAACGATAGATTATCCATTTAAAATAACTGTCTGGTCAAGGGGTAAAATCCAGAAGGATTTGGCCTTTATAACTAACTTAATGGCCTAATAATATTTAATATAATATAGGCCGATTGTAGCCGGAAAAAGATACACATTCGCAATGGAGAGAAACTACAGCCTTCCTTTGCAGTGACGTTGTGCACATGCACATATCTATTGCGTTTTATATCTTTTGCTGACCAGATTAGGGGCTTAGCTATGCTGGGGCAAAAAATCTTTTTCCAAGTAGTCACTTTGTAAAATATAAGTGAAGCTTTTTATGGAGCTGAAGAACAGTGGTCATAATTAAGCCTACAACATATGATAAATAATATGATTGATATCACACTGGACTCATGGTCGACATCTTCAACTTGCTTGGAAAAGAAATATAAATAAAGTCGTGTGTAGTAGGCTAATTCGTATTTTGGGAGAATTTTTATATTGGTGTCCGATAATGGAGTCTTTTTTAAAAAAGGGGTGTTAGGTTACTGCTAGTTAACTAAATACACACCACATAGCTGGCTAATGTCAATACTAACCCTGTCCCTACCATAACCATACGCCTAAACCCTAATTTCAAATTTCTAACCATAAAATTAGTATTAGTAGGTACTCCAAACTGCCGAAAATCGAGGTTTCTGCTCATTTTCTTTACTTTTTCACTACTTTCCATCACAAAGTTCTCCCATAAAAATTAAGCGTATACTAATAAAAATGGTATGGTTAGAAAGCTTAACTTAAGCTCTACAATAATGTGTTGTTTGTTTTTATATTGGTAAAGGAAGAATACATGTTTTTGTAGCTTGAAAAACATCACCGCAACGATTTTTATCGGCAAAATGACAGACCCGTTTTTACCCCTATCGCATTCTGACGCTTTGCGCTTCGGCGCCACGTGACGTATGAATTCTAAACATAGCTTATCGTACCCAGGATTGAATGACCTTTAGTCTCGTATAAAATGTTAACAAATTATTTTAGTAAAAACGGTTTAATTCTCAAATTTTCTACGAAAAATTGAATTTTCACCAAAATCCACTAAAAATACAAATTTTCTACTAGCATGGTTAGAAAGATCGTCCATTTTTCTATTTAAATGCGAAACTATCTTTACAATATCAAAGATGGCGCGAATGGCAAAGCGCGATAACGAAACCATGTGTAACTCCCGTTCGCCGACGCGATCACGAAATTTTTTACAAAGAAAATAAAAGCCCGGCCCGGATCAGACCCCTGACGTGTTTGAATAGAAATCTATTTTTTCTTACGCATTATATCACAATAAAAACAGTTCAATATTAAAAAGAATACAATAAAATATGAAAATATTTAAGTATTTATAATTTAAAACTAAACTTTATCTGTAAAATTTGAATATATTTAGTAAAAGGTCACGCTGACCTAGCTTTTCGACCGGCAACATTTCGAGAGAAAACTACAGAAAATTGCGATAAAAACGCTAATAAGAACTGATTATCCGATTTAAAATGTCCAAACTATCTGCTAAATATATAATTCGATTAGTCTTTACAGTTATGGGTATACTTTATCACACTGTGTTTCTTTTTTCTTCATTTACGGGTCGTAATTTGCTAAAAATAAGTCTAAAATAGGTTGTCTATTTTTAATCTCGGCCCGATTTTAATCCTGAAATCGTGCATTTTTATTAACGTTTTTCAGCGATCTAACACTAAATTATTTCACTGAGAATGTTTCTTTTTAAATGTAGATTAACTGTAGTTACAAATAAATAACTTTTTCTATAAATCTGTTAAGTTTTAGTAATTCTTTGTCAATTGAAAAAAACTGACTTAAAGCCGTGTTGAGGTATAAAATGTTCACCCCCACCTTATTTTCTCAAATCTGGACATTTAACTGCATGATTTATAGCACTCAATTTAATTTACATAATTAGGTAACATTTTCCCCTTTAAATCGATATAAAGGTGATTATTGTGCATGCAATAGAAGAGTTTTAGTGGTTTTGTGAAAGTTGGTGATTTTTTAGTTTTTTTTCGCCCTGTCAAATTTTTGGTAAATATGGTGTAGTACGATTTTTAAGACAAAAAACGTTTATCTTTAACTTGTTATACTAGTTTGAAAAAAATTGAGACTACAATCTATCTACTCTTTTATTGGAATTAAGTTAGAGAATGGGTATAGCTGCTATAGTTTTTGAGATAATCGGTGCTAAAGTCGGGTCCTCATGAGGCCGTAAAAGGTAAAAAAAAACGCGTGTTTCTTAAGCGCATAACTTTTTTTCTAATTGTCCTACAGACATAAAGTTGGTATCCATGTTCTTAGAATTATTAGTACTATGCAGAAAAACCAAAGCCATTATTGTGTGACTGATTTGAAAAATCCGTTTGGAGTACCTAGTATTAGTCGAGATTATAACTAACAACCCAACAGTAACCCCCCTTTTTTAAAGAAGATTCCATTATCGGACACCGGTATCTATACTAATTACTAAATCTATTACATTTAGGCCTACATACTACATAATATTAGCCTACATACACTAATTTTATTTAATGGACACCAGTGAGTTGACGAAAATCCTTCCGTAATGTTGTTGACATGGAATAAAAATGTGCTTTTTTAGATTTAGGACAGTAAAAATAATAAAAGATAAAAATTTTATAAAAAATTAAGCCTAAAATTAATTCAGAAATTTAATATTTTTAGAATCAATGCTATACAAGTTGCAGATCCAGAGAACTTGAAAATAATTTGTTGAGTTTAAGGTTACATTTCCATTTATTTTCATGAAGCCTAAGTTATAACCCAATGTTTCACTTTCGTAAGACAAACATTGATTGGCTGAACAGGAACTCCATGATCGATTTCTGACAGCCCCACTTTATAGTATAGTTTTTTTATGTTTACAAAACTTTGCAGATCAAGTTTTTAAATAACAATGCAAATTTAAACCCCATGACCCAGTTTTTCTTTTTTTAACTTACAATGTGTACAATAAAATTTATGGCGGCCTATCGCATAGCAGGATGCCATTGTTAATGTCGCCATTACACGTGAAAACCAAATTGTTTCTGCTTTTTTTTTTATTTAGTTGCCGAAAATATTAAAAACATCAAATAGGGCCTAGATCTACATCCAATCTTTAGTAAAGTCCAAAAAAAAACCAGACAGGAAAGAATTTTATAATATTAATTGATAATTGTAACTACGCCGTGCATGATTTTTTAATTAATTTATGGACCTCTCGAATACCTTGAGACTTTTCTCGCTGGCGTCCATTAGTAATAATTAATAATTATTAGTTATTATATGGCAGGAAACAGATTGGTACCGCAAAATGCATATTCGGTCTTCGCCGTTCATAAACTTTCTAACCAGACATCGTTCGGGGATTTTGTTTATACTGATAAATAGAGCAAGGTTTTTACAAGCTTCGTTAGCAACATTTTTGTGGAATTCGTTTTTTATGACATTTTGTGCCGCGGCGAAGGATGCGAAGTATGCAAATCTAGACGGAATGGATCTACTTGGAAAGTACGTGTACTGCACTAATGAGGTAAGAAATAATATTTTGTAAAAATAACTATTATTTTTTTATGGATTTTTCATTAGAAATGATTGCTGTAAATTATGAAAGTAAAAAAAAGTATATTTGAATGCGTTTTTTACTTTAATTTGAACAAAATGACTGCCGAAAATTACGACACATCGGCGTCGCTGAAAGTGGGAATTTCAGTTAATTTTTTACGGATATAAAATTGTATTTTTTTACTCCGAAGCATGTATTTAAATAACAGTTAAGTTAAATCTATTTAATTCTGTAAAATATAATTATTATTTTGCCGTAGATACTTTTTTTTATATTTTTAATGATTTTCTGTCGCGGAAAATCGGTATTCGCACCTTGCACGCACACGTAGTAAAACTAGACTTATCTTTAAAACACGAGAATCTTGAGTACACTGCGAATAACAAAGTTTTTAAATTTTAGTTTACTTTTGACTTTAAGCCATTTGTTTTAAATCGAAATTAATTGATAATGTAATTATTTCAAAGTAAAAATTTTCCGTCGCAAATTGGGTTCTAACCTTCGCACGACATTCGCGCGAGTCTGTTTCTTCGCAATAGTCTGTATAGTGTCGAGGGCTAATTCTAAAAAGAATCGAGTCCTTACTAATCTAATGTTTATTAAAATTAGGTACAATTGTTGGAACGCATGAGAAATAACAAATTAATATTTCTTTAAATCTATAGCCAAAATAAAGTAGAACTTTATTACTCTGTAAATTATGAATCGAGTGACGGCTGTCGTGAAAACGGGAGCCATTTTACTCTTTTTTTTAGGGTGACCTACTTTTATTATATAATTTTAAAATTCATCGATTTGATAAGCAGCTGAGTAGCTGACTACGCATGCGATATGGCTGGCACGTTTTGGGATAGGGATCGAGTACACCATAGAATTTTTTTTCTTAGAACTAAGCGTATTTTTTTTTTAAATCAAAAGATACTTACATATCAGTTGTTGATTTCAATTTCATCATAGATCTAATCACTAACTTCAGTTTTTAAAAGTGATTTTGTTTCTAGAACTAGCGTATTTTCAAAATTACGTAGATTTAAATCTAGATCTATTCACTTACTATTTGACAACCGTGTCAGTAAAATGAGGTCACCGCTTCCAGATTCTTAGGTTTTAATTATGTTTGTCATTTTGATCTATTATAAGTAGCATTAAAACAACTGCATCTATTATCAACAGTGTTTTTATATGCCAGTTCTAATTATACATTCTGTTCATTACCAATTCTAATGAAATCGTATCAGGCCCTAACACCCTGTTCACCTACACTGACACTACACTTGAATGACGCCACAGACAGTCGTAACTTTAAATTAATGTTCAAAGTACTAAACAATTATAATTAGCCATGTAAATGCTGCAACTATATTAAAAATTGGCATATAGACATATTTTATTAATTATGTTTTTTATATAGACCTTCTATATTTAACTCTGTTATTTTTTTCTTCCCCAGAGTGTTTCTAAAAGCCAGAATTTTAAAGGGGAGGGCGGTCTTTTTTTTTCTCAAGAATAATTATAGAAATAAGCTATAAACTAGTATATTTTGTAAAGTTTGACATAATTACAAATAAATGTATGCCTAAGTGACATTTCTGTGTAATTATATCGTTAATTTTGTGAATTTCGTGGATTTTTGGACCTCACTACATTTAGATGTAAAAAAAAATCTTAGTTGAGTGAGTGTGGTTAATCTACATTTTGAACGTGATGTAAATGTCTAGTGCTATTAATTTTTATATTTTTGAATTCCTCGATTGTTAAGCAACAAAATTGATATATAATATGTCAATATTTGTTACTTTGAAAATTGGCGAAAATCGACCCTAAAAGTAGATGCTTGAGGGTTGAATCTGTTTCCTGCCATATAGTAAATAGGGCCTATTAGGTCTAGATCTAGAAATCTAGTAGGGCAGCCTAATTTAAAATTTTCTTACCGCAGCTGATTCATCATTAAAAAATGTGTTTAAAAAGAAAATTGTATGGAGATCTAGAGAGATTTTTCTATTTAACAGATCTAGAGTCGGATAATTTTTCGGTAAGAGTTTCTAGATCTAGATATGCATCTATTATTCTATTTGTTTTGTTTTTTTAACTGTTGTTGACATTGAAGCTATAGTGATAGTCCGCTATACCGCTGGACCTGGTAAAGTTCATACGGAACCAGATCTATACACGTTGATCTACCTACCAAAAGCTGTAAAAACAATTTGTAGACTTTCAAAGATATAATAAATAGGCTATCGGCCATACATAACAGAATTACTAGATTTTATTAAAAATACTAATCTAGACGGTACCATATGATTTTTAAAAATATATTTTGTAACGAGAAACTTTATACAATATTTCAATAATTAATTCAATTGCAGAATTGTTGTTTTTTTTCTAATTACTAGTTCTACATAGTAAAATGCGGTAGGTAACGGTTATTATGCGAATCAACACACATTTGCCAAATTGACAAACGAGCAATTCAATAAAGAATTATTAATTTTGTTGTTATAGTAATTCATAAAAATGTAAGGATATAATTAATATAATATTTAGAAAATGTAAAATCTTTATTAGATCTAGTATATGTAATTCAAAATATGCAATAGCCAGCTATGTAGTGAAAATGGCACTTTGTCAAACTTGCAGCAAACATATTTGGTATAACTTTAATCTAACTTTTAACATTTTGATCTGGTATTGTTTACATCCGTCCGGGAAATTTAAAGATGGATCCAAAACAAAATGTAGAAACCATTAAAGATAAAGAGGAGCCTTCAGTTAAATTGCCGGGAACTAGTTCAAGTATTCTCTTTGATAAGTTAAACCGCACAGTCGAAAAGTCTGTTAAACGTGTCACCTCAAAAATGAGGTATGATTTTTACCCTATTATTGACATTATTGAGAAGGCATTTTGATGAAAATTTCAAAATGATTTTGACTTGTTTATAAAAATAAAATAAAAAAATTATCAGTAGGCCTAGTTCTAATTAGTATTTAGGCCGTTTGGTTCACAACTTCCGGGTTTGTTTGTTTATATTATCTCATGGCCCAAGCTCTCGAAGCGATATGCTAAGATGGCTGCGCGGTTTCGTATTCATCAAGTGGTGGAGGGATTTTTAATTCACCTTCCGTTAAAAGTAGTATTACTCGCTATCCCGGAGGCGTGGCCGGTTGCTAACAACAATATGGCATACAGACCAGATGCATGACTTCCGACGATTTTTCGTCTTAGTTCCAGTGACCTTCTTAGAATTACTGATTAAAATGGCAGGATTTTCGCATTATAAAAACAAACCATAGGTGGCAGGGCTAGATATGCCAGAAAAGCATTTTAAAATTTGGTTTGGAGAACGGAGGCTAAATTCAAAAGTTGGTTTCATTAAAATTAATAGAACTTGTAAAATATCAACGGTGTAGGTACAGAAATGAGCGAGAACGTAAAACATTATTAGTTTTATCAGTCTATGAAAAAAGAAATCAAATACCATGAGCTGTTTTTTATAAGACCGGCGTCCGTATCACAACCAATTTATTTTTATTTTTTAAAAACCACGTGACCGCTATTTGGCTCATGACTAGTGAGGAATTCTGGTGCTTAGCCAATTAAAAAGTCGAACCGATTCATGGTTTGCTGTAGCTTCAGACGTAAATTAAGTAATTTAGTTTAAAACGAACTAAAAGCATAAAAATTAGTGCCTAGTGGATTAAATGTTGATGTTTATTATTCAGTGGTCATGTTTAAATTGAAAATTACGTAAGTTTTAGATTTAGTGAGAAAATCTAGTTAAAAGTCTTTTTGAAATCTTTGCAAATGTTGACGATTAGGTCTAGACTAGCCCGCCCCTCCATGTAACTACAGTCTAAACTTGTGTGAACTCACATCGACCCCAAGTATGTGTGTGATACTGCTTGGTGGGGGGTGGAGGGAATAAAAGTCATGTCATAGCTACTATCAAAATACTAATCTATCATACTTCATAGTTCATACTATGATGTATTAGACAGGCCTACTGATCTATAGACTACTGTGATCTTACAGTGACCACTCCACCATATCTTTCTTTTTTTTGGGGGGGCGGGGGGGGGGGGAACGACCAGCAATTTTTAATTGCAGACTAAGCTTTCTCAACTATAAGTATAAGCATAAATAATGACGTGAATATGGCCTGCAATATGGTTTTTTTTTTTGGGCTCCAATGTTTTCTTTTCAAGTAGACTTATTTTGAAAACATTTTCTATATCTTGGACAAGCTCTAGGTTGAATAAGTCTAAGCTACTCAACAAGAGCAGACCTCAATGAGTAAATTACTTTATTATTATTCTGACTAGTATGCCTAATTATGAACTACTATTTTAGTGATAGTTTAATTGAAAATAATAATGCAATAAGATGATGAACAGATTACATAAGTTTGAATTAGCTTTTTCAAAATATCAGCTCAATAAATGTAATGTAATGTTTCCCTTTCAAACCTGACGGTCTATGGGGCAAGTGAAGTAGAGTTCACTTGTTTCTGTGACCTCGGCATATGAAGAGATAGTGTGGTCAGCACTATGCCCAGCCGCCTTTACTTTCCCATAACTTAAGTTAGCTCAATAAAGTAAACTTTTAATTGTTTCCAATCATTATTCAAATATCCACGTTGATTCAACAACGACAAAGCATTTGAAATGAACTAGCTCACCCGCGACGAAGCATATGCCGCTATCTAGTTGTTTTATTTTCTACTTATCAACAATTCATAATTTTATGAATTCGACACTACCCCACACCCCTGCCTCCACACCCCACCGCCCAGTGAAAGCAGCCGTTTACAGACGACAATGAAAATATCAAGCAGAACTTATTATCTCCACTTAGTTTCAAATCGTTTAAAAACTAAATTATCTGCCCCTAATAGCCGTCACCTATTCAAACCGGCTCTGCTATTGTAAATATTCTGGGTGAACCACAGCTCAACTGACAGGTGGGGATGAGGGTGGTGGCTAAGCTGCGTGGTGTTTTCTATGGTCTCCATTAAGAGAATTATATATATATATATAGATTAATTTATTATAAAAACGGTAATGCAATGAAGTTGATTAAAAAATTACTCAAATTGGTAATTTATGAGACAAGTAACATTTTATGGTACTTTAAAAACTTTATAAAAATGTATATTTTCTTTATACTGAGTAAATTCAAATTAGTTAAAAGTGTTGAGTTTCAGTTTTGCACCCAGTATTTTTCAGAGTTAAAAAAAGTGTGTGTTGCTGATTATATCTAAATTCCATTCCAAGTAGTTTGTTGTTATTGGGGTTTTTTTTGTGTCTATTAGTAATAGTAATAACAAATTGCAAAATTTGGTTTCAGATTATTTAAAACTTTCTAACCAGTCTTTCGTATTCCATTATTTTACTTTTACTATTGTACTTATGTGTATTTCAAACTTTTTTCTTGTTTTCTATAACAGTATCTATCTTGGCCAAATACAACTGATTGAATTATTATTATTCTGTTAATATTTCAGGGTTGTGCCTTATTTCAAAGAGCACTTTAGAAATGTTTATAAAAATGATAGTGAAAACTTCCTAAAACTTTCCAAGTCCATGTTAACAGAACTTGAATCAATGATAAAGGTAGGTTCACTACTAAATGTTTATATCATACACATTTTTAAAAACATTTAAGTTAATACAGAGAGTGGTACATGGAATTTTATAAATAAACATTTTGTGTGTTTAACTGAAAAGTAAAGTAGAGCTAGTGATAGCTTCCATTATATGTTATTATGGTATTGACACCTGCTTTATTGATATAAGAAATTATTCTTCAATTTGGCCTTTTGATACTCTTTTACTTTGTTTCATTATTATTATTGAAAATAATGCAGTTGTCATTTTTTTTTGTACCAGTATAATAAAAAAAAACATTAGATAAGAGGCTGCTGTATTAACTTTTTACAGTTTAGAGTAATTAGAGTCTAAACAAAATCAGTAAACAATGTATTGCACTATTTTATTTTTAAGTCATTTTTTTTTATCCTTTCAATATAAGGAAGAAATTGAAATGCAGTTGGAAACAAACAATACTGAACAACTGTTAAGTGATTTGGATAAAATAAAACAAACATACAGTAAATCCCTGGAACAAAAATGGTACAGTATATTTGTCTGTTAAGTTGTATTAAATGGGAATGGGTTTTACTGTTTGATTACTTCCTTTATTCCTCCCATACTCTTTTCTCAGGCGACCATCTGGTAATCCTTCAGAAGATATAAAAGCACACACGCAAGAGTCCGCCCAATTGGAACTACAGCAGCTGGAAAAGGTTCTCTACACACTTGAGTCTCACAATAAAATGCTTAATGAGTGTGTCCGGCAAAGTGATGAAAAACTTCTACTTGATATCAAGACAATTGAGAACAGTTGTTCATCATGGAGTGAGGTAAATCTCCTTACTATTCTATTGTTGATATTATTAATTTTTAATCTAAAATGTGTTCTTTTACTTTATATAAAACGTTTAATGATATTTGTATATTTAAATTAATTTTTGGCAGGCTGCATCTGTTGTTCCAGAAGAAACTAGAGAAATGCTTTTAAAAGTAAATAAACAGATCTTTTAAAAGGTGTTTATTGTATGTTTTATTACGTGTATATACACCCATATTTATATTTAATAATTATGTTTGATATTATAGCATTGTTATTTTTTTGTTGTGTTTAATTCTACACATTATTATTTTAAATCATATACATATTTTTTTAAATATTAGGATTTTCTATTGAAAGCAGCCAGGTATCTGATATGTGTGAATATAAAGTACAAATTTAAGTCTACATCTAAAAAGAAGTGAGTTTTAATTTAATGATTTCAACATCAAATTAAAAAAAAATTGATGTGTTGATTTTTTAAGAAGCACAACTTGCATACAATTTGATATAGCATAGACATTCATCTTTCTAAAACAAAAACACAATAAAGCAATTAAATCACCATTGATACATCTATAAAATATTCTAGTTGTATACTGTTCAGTATCCTAAGTATAATATGCTGTAGTACCTAATATGGAAGGTGATATAATTTAAAGTGGTACATTGGACAAGAAGGGTTAGTCATCACTTCTTTCTTCCCACTACCCCTTTAAGTCTGTAAACCTCTTCAGCACCAGGAAGATTCACTTTGTTCAAATAAGATTTTGCATGTAATTAATTTCATAAAAATGTATACATTTTTAAAAAAATTCCTTATAAAAATACAAATTCAGATAAATGCAATAAATGATTCTAAAAAATATGTTGTTTTATTTACAAATATTTACAGAATATTGTAATAAATTGTTACAAGTAACAAATTATAGACCAGTTACTTCCTGGTTGTGCACAATTTCAAAGATTAATTCACAGCATTTAACTTACACCATAACAGATTTTGTTAAAGATGTTTTTCGCTACATCAAGAATGTTATCAACTCATTTACATTGTTATAACTAATTAACACAAATAACAGTTAACAAGATTTAATATTTAGACTTTAAAGTTGGGATTTTCATCTACACGCTGAAACTAGTTTTACTCTTAAACTTTTGTGGCTTTGATTTGTATGCATTTGGATCTGCTCCCCCACCCCCAACCTCCTCACTAATCATACCAAAAAGGTATAACTATTTTGAATTACTTTTACGCCTTTCTTGAGCTTCTTTTAATTGTTTAAATAAATCTATTTGTTTCTGCTTCAACCGAGCAGCTCTGTTATGTTTCTGATCATCATCTGATGTGTCCACAGCATCTGACGAAACACTTCCACTGGTATTTTCACCCTCTTTGGTTTCAATTCCAACACAGTCAACATCTTCATCACTTTCTAATTCTACAGTTCTTCTTGCTTCAGATCTCTTCTTTGTTGGAGACAGATCACATTCACTATCTTCACCACTGCTGGTATCTTTAGTAAACAGCTCGTCTAGATTTTCTGTCTTTTCTTCACCAACTGAACTACTTAATGGGGGTGATTCGGGAGGTTTTTCTTTATCTGTTGGGGGTGTGCTTTGTTTACATGCTGAGGGGCTTAATGTTTCATCATCACTTGAGGTTTCTGGAGCTTTTACTCTTTTGTGGTAGTTTTTCACTCTGGATACTTTCTGATTAGATTAGAATAAACACATTAATGTGTACAGCAAAAGACAGTAATCATCTGTCTTGTGAATGGTTATTTCAATACATGATATTTGAAAATAAAAATATTAGAGCACAAAGAGGTGGGGGTTTTTTTTTCCCCATCTAATTACTGATATAATTATACAGCCTATGAAAATTTAACAAATTTAAGAATACTCTCAAGCTATCCTAAATCTTTATTAAATTAAAATAGGCCAATGCTATAGCAAATTAAAACATAAAACTTTAAACCTCTAGAGCTAACCTGAGTTTGACATTCTTGATCATCTGATGCTGAACTTTCTTCTATGAAAGAAGATTCACTAGTGTCTTCATAATCATCATAATTATAAGCATTGTATCTGTAAAATTAATTTTAAATGTTATTAGAATTTTTTTTCTTTAAAAAGTGTAGTAGAAATGTAAGCCTTTGAAATCACGGTTTGAACTTACACTTTAGTAAAATTGTTAATGGCTTTTCTAGGTTTAAGAACCTTAAGAGACGGGGGACTTTTTACAGATGGGATGGTGTCCCATACTGCGTCGCGTGATGGTAGAGTAAACTTTTTTTTGTGCTGTTTATCTAAAATGCGAGATGAATGTCTTGTAACCTGGAGGCAGTAACAAAAAAATTATTGTCATAAAGTTGTTTTTTTTTTAATTTTATGTTTACTATATATTTGAGAAAGAATGTTGCTGACACTTTGAAACTAATCATTAAAAGCTATTCTGAAAATTAATACAATAAAAGTTTGATAAACCATATATTTTATTGTTGACAATCTTAAATTCCAGAAAAGGTTACCAAAGATACCAAAACAACAGATGTTAAGTGATTTTGTGTAAATTAATATGTCAATTAATCGTTAATCTGTATGTTATATTCGGCAAATGTAATAAGAAATAGTTAAATTGACTGAAATTAACTCCCAGCTTTGGATAGGCCAATACATAAATCTTTTTTTTTTTAATATGCTTGTCTTGATAAATATATATTATGAAACTAGCAAGATTATTTTTAAAATTTAGAATTAAAGAATAAAAAACATACCACAACAGGATTAGCATCCTCATCAGATTCAGAAGAATCAACGGGATTTTTTCTTTTTACAATTTTTCCTCTCTTTTTTGTATTAATGGCTGATGCCATTTATTTTTCTTTACTCAATCATGAAATCAAATATGTTAATCGGAGCAAGAAGGTTGGCTCATTTAAAAATGAATAGACATAGAAAAATTAGCAATTAGAGTAATTTACATTCAACCCACCATTGTCACACACTACTCCCCCAACTTCTATACATCGCATTTGTCTGAACCCCTCCTCTACTCTAGGACTGGGATCATTTATGGATGTTCCCATAAGGCAGGGCTTTTTTTTAACCAAACAACTTAATAGCATTTTTTATTTTAGTAACTGATTTAAATTTGGTGTCTATGTACTAGGTATTGCACCAGTGCTGAGTGATAATGCCACAATAATAGATTTAAAAAAATAAATATGATCAAGCTTAATTTTTAAAATGATTGTTCTCTTCTCTCTCCATTGTCACAAGAAGCTAGCTCCCCATCCCTAAACTTGACATCACACCTTCCCCCCCCCCCCCCCCCCCCCCCACCACCACCCTTTCTTTCCCCCCTCCCCGCTGGTCTAGTTTAGTCATTGAATGTAGTGGTCCATAGTGCTCAAGAGGGAGCCCGGGTCACCCATCTGCCAGAGAGCTCTGGATTCTCATGATGCAGTTTGACCATTGAATCAAGTAGTACCCCTGTTCCCCTGTGCAGGAAGCTCAATCAACAGATCGCAGGTGCTAAGATAGCCAAAAGCTGGGCATGAAATCACATCCTACTGCAGGAGTGCCTCCGGAAAAAAATCTTTCCACAGAAACCTTCCCATGATAGCGTGAAAGAACTGTGCAAGACAGTTCTGCTTAATCATAATGGTTTTGAGAGGGTTACAAAGTCAAATAACAAATCAACAGCTGATATACACATTATTATTAAAGCCCACAAGTGGCAATGGATCTAGCACACCTTGAGAAGATATTGGTAACACTGCGAGGCAAGACTGAAACCCCCCAAGGGGAAAAGTGCGCCAACCTAACGGACCTAACCTAAACAATAGTGGAGAAGGACTGTGGATCAAGAGGCCAAATCTTCAGGGATTGCATCATAATATTAATAGGCACACCAAATCTAAAGACCACTAACTAAATAAAGAGTAGGCACTATAATAGACTAAAAGAGATACTGCTCAAAACTTGAGTGCCAAAGACAGTTGTGAAGATAAATTGAAATTAGTTGTTAGTCAGTAGACCTATTGAAAATTCTAGATCAAGAATAGAGATTTGGTAAAATCTTAGTTTAGCGTCGTAAATTCCAACGTAGCTAGTAATGTGCGATGAAGGTAACTAATGAATATTTCTTTCATTTGGCCATATTTATGTCATATTTTACATAATATAACAGATAATTGAATAACAAATCACAATCCATTACCAAACCAGTCATAAATATCCTGGAATAAACTTTAAACTACCCCGTTTGAGACAACAATGAGGAAATACAAGCTGCGGCCATGTTTTGAAAACAATAAATTGTCTATTCGTATGTCTTTTGTGTTGATTTTGTGGTTTAATATGATTGTTTTGTATTGTTTTAATATATGCCTGGGGGTCGTCCATAAATGACGTCACATTCGTAGGGGGGGTCCGTAATTTTGTGACGTTGTGTGATGAGGGGAGAGGGGGGGGGGGTCAGATGGTGCGACGTCACACTTTTGCATTTTAAAAAAGCAATGTTAGAAAACGAATTTTATACGTTATTTTGCGTTTTAGAAAACTGTTTTAATACATTGTAATAACAATTGATTAAAATACTCTATTTTGACAGAGTTCAGACAAGATTTTGGAAAAATATAGCTGTTTAAAAACAATTCAACTGCAATTTTGAGGGGGGGGGATTTGTAGGCTGAGGTGTGACGTCATTTTAGGGGGGGGTCTGGCTTTTTGTGACGACGTGTGACGGAGGGGAGGGGGGAGGTTAAAAAAGCGTGACGTCATTTATGAATGACCCTCTGTATAGTAATTTTTCTTTTTTTTTTTTAAATATAGTTGACATACATGACTAATAGACTTTTTCAGACTTAATAGTGTGCATCCAAGACCACAACAATTGTTGGGAGGTCGAACTTTTGAACACTTTATTTGCAGTAAGCAAATCAATATTAGATCGCTCATAAATGACGTCGCTCTTAAGATAGTAATGACAGCGTGCATTATTAAAGAGCAAACATATGAACATATTGTTTCATATAGAAATTGTGATTTGTGGTGGGGAGAGGTTGAGTAGAACTCAGCGATGTGATTTTGGAGACGGGTCAGGTTTTTTTTTTCGTGAAAACAGGGGATGGTTGTGGGAGAAAGACCAGCTGTAGAAGTATGAAGCGTCATTCATTGGTGATCCATTTTCTCAGTGGGGACGATAGAACTATTAAGAAGGGTCAAAAAATGTAAAAAGCTTGCCGAGTCGCATTTCTTGAACCCCTCCTTTTTCATTCCCCCACTTAGCACATCGTCACCGAGTTAACGCTCGCACGTGACGTCATGTACCGTACCGCCGACCGTTAGGCTAATTTTATAGAAAAAAACAAGCACTGCCTTTTTGACACTTATGCGAGATTTAATTTGATTACATATGTTGGTGTTCAATTAAACAGCCCCTAACATATCTATCACTCGTCCATTTAAACATACGTGGTTATTTCTGCAAGCTTGCTGTCTTGAGACTTTCGGCCCTTTAAAAATGTATTAAGCTCTCACCGTATAGAACTAGACTAAACATATTAAGCTCCAAAAGAAGCTTGGTGAAACCAGGATGGCCGTCCGATTTTGTAGCTGCTCTGCGCTTTATAAAAAGCACAATAAACGATAAGATGACACTTATATTAAAGTAAATTATAGTTCTGAATCATGATACATTAAAAGGGATATTCTGAAATTAAGAGCCAGACAGTCAACATGATATTTCAATTTGAGCCCAAGAAAATAAATTTCCTTAAACAATGGAACGTTACTAAATTTTCGCGCAGTTTCGCGAAATTGAATTAAAGTATTTACGACATCTTACAAAGCGCGATAGCCTACTGGTGCTCTAACGCGGCCCATGCTAATGGCCATATTCCTAACGCCCCGCATTAGACGCGGCTTATTCGTCGGCAGGCATTTGGTGGCAAGCCTTTTTGACGGGGATAATGTGTTGAGGCCGTTTTGCCAAATGTCTTAAACTAGCAGGCTTGCAACATTTGTGATGATTCGTTTTGAGCAAGGTATACGTATACTAATGCTTATTTATCGTTATTTTGATCGAACAAAGCATTATAGAGGTTCTCCATCAACCACCTAGGTATTTTTCCCCGTTCACCTACTTTCATGAGACCGACACGTCATAAATTGCGGAGCCGCCAGAGTTGACGTCACAAATTTTCACTCACTCCCGTAGCAAATCATATGTGACATCATTTATGGACAACCCCATATTACTCACTTGGGTACTTGATATTGACATTTTGACAACAAAGGATAACCTAAATGTGTCTGGCAGGTGAAGACTTGCGATCGACCAAAATGACAACACACACTTTAAGGGGTGGACTGGTTCATTGTTTTAGATGATGTTTTACGAGGGAAGCTGGTGGATAATACATTTTGTCTCTCTGTATATATAAATGATGACAAACATTTAATGCTGTCAAAATTATGGTTAGAGATCTTAGATAAGGCAGAGTGAAGCGTAATTTTTTTACATTATGACTTGTTGTGACATTGACAACAAAAATATGACGGTGGTTGGGGTTTAATTAAGGTAAAGAGAAGTAAAAAAATGTCATAAGTTACGATTGAAAAGAAAAACCTGAAATGAAAATAGTGAACATTCAAACAATAAGAAAAAACTCAAACTATATAGTAATAGTAAGATCTAATAAACATTAGTTTAAAAAAAAACGTGATTTAATACATGGATACAGGTTGCATCTCACAATGCTTCTAGAATTAATAAAGTTGTTTGTTAGGAAATTCAGTTTTTAAAGAGCAGAATTTAAAAAAAAAATGCTTTGTAATACGGACTATACAACAAGACAATCATATTTAAGTACATTTTCATACGAATAGAAATGAAAGGGAAGCTACTCTAAATTACTTTTTCTTAAGATGGCTGCTGTTTTTAATAGCAAATTTACTATCTCGAACAGGGTTGATAAAAATTAATTTCAGGATATTTAAATTGATTTAACCATTAATAGTGATTTATTATTTAATTATTTATAATATTTTATCAAAATATACGAAAATATACTCATATTTAACGACATATTCATTAATTCACTCTCTCCTACATTACTAGTTTTGGCCGAATTTACGACGCTAAACTAAGATTTTACCGAGATTTAGTTAAATAGTAAATACATTTAGTTGCTGTGGTGAAGTGAGTGTCAGTGTGTGTTCGGGCCCTGGCTTTTTTTTTAATTTTGCTCCTCTCAGGCACAGGCAGACATAGATTTATGCATAAACTATTACAACTATTAATTATTAGGGGCCTATACTTTATTAGTAAACAAAACAGTTGTTTACGTTTTCTAGAGATTTACCAGATCTAGCTATTAAAAATGTATCAAACTCAAAATTGATCATACAAATATTAGGCCAAAAAAAGAAAACAGGGCTTAGGCTTGCGTTTTTCTGAACAATGAATTCTAATACTTTTTATTTGGTGTAGAAGATTCTAGATCTACTATAGATTTAGTTGATTATACAACATAATGAGTATGTTTATTTTACGAATGGTAGAGAATCAGATCGGGAATCTACATAAAATTAACATTTCGGCCTAATTTTTCCAAAATGGTCAGCTGGTTTTTGTCTAAAACATGAATCAAAATTTTAATGAAACACGAAGACGAAGTTCATGCCTGAAGTTTTGTAAACAATCTTCTAGATCTAGATCTAATTCTAATAACTAGACTAGTGAAGATATTATGATCATGATGCTAGATCTATCCTAGAACAGATCCAACTAAACTAGCCTATCTAAACAGATAGTAATTACTATTAGCTATGTTAGTAAACTACGATTAAACTAACTTATACTTATAGTTTTAGATCTAGTTCAACAGTTGTCAGTTGTTTTATTTTCTACTTTTCAGTCATATTCTCCGTTCCACCCCCCCCCCCCCTCCCCAGCCACTGTGAAAGCAAATGCAGCTGGGCATAGTGCTGACAATATTCATAGGCTAACCTAAGGTCACTGAAACAGGTGAACTCTACTTCCCCTGCCCTATGGACAGTAAGGTTCTAATCTATTCTAATAGGTACTTTTATGACTTTACTTTTTATTTTTTACATCTTGTTACCTTGTACATATTTTGTGTGCAATATAAATAAAAATGGGCATGTTGATATATTTATTGTATCACAGGCTTGTGTATGTTTGTAAATTGTATTAGGAATAGATACGCACTGTGGGCTCAACTTGAAAAATATTAAATTAATAATTGCTAACGATTTTAAAGACTGAACTATTTGGATGAAAATTCTTAACTTTTTCTTATAGAATGTATAGATTGAGGTATTTAACAAGCAGATTTCTGTCAAAGAAACCATTAAGAACTATAAGCCAGTCATTACAACAGTATGTGTTACCCTCAACCACTCAACATAATCACTTCAGAAAATATTACAACGGTAACACAGAAGGAGATGGTCAAGAAAGGAAAATTCCATCTTCATTGGGTGTGTCAAATACAATATATGCCCTTTCTTCTGGAAAAGGCAAATGTGGAATAGCAGTTATAAGGATTTCTGGACCAAAAGCAAGTTTAGCTATAGACCAGATTTGTCATTTAGCAGTAAAACCACGAATAGCAAATTTACGCAAATTGCATGACCCACATACACAGGAAATTTTAGACGAGGCTCTTGTTTTGTGGTTTCCAGGTAATTAAAAATTTGAAATAAACCGATAGTTTAGATATTCTTCAATATATTACTAATTAGAAATATCTCTATGTTACTAATAAAAAAAGTATTTTTCTCGCGGGATACAGTGTTTAGTTTTACAACAAAATGGGTTTTATGTAATTACCGTTAGCACTTAACTTAAAAATTACTTTTCTTATTACTAATACCTCCATTTAGTTGAACAAGTCTTGAAAAATATGAATAAATTAATTAAAAGGAACAAATATTTTAAGATTTGTAGTAAATTTTAACTCATTTCAAATTTTATTATAAGCCTTCCCTTTTTCAATATGTTAAATCATCAAAAGATTCTATGATAACCAAAAACTATAAAATACTAACGCAGGTCCACATAGTTTTACTGGAGAAGATAGTGTAGAATTTCATGTTCATGGTGGTCCAGCGGTTATAACGTCTGTGTTAGCTGCATTAAGTTCACTATCAGGATTTAGACCAGCTCTTCCCGGGGAATTCGCTAAACAGTAAGTTCCAATGTAGTCATAATTTAAATATACTAAACACAGTTGAACCTGAATTTTAAAATCATAATCTTACATTAGTTACAGCCGTATGAGTAACTTGAGTTGTTGTTTCTTTAAATTCAATTTTAAAGTTAAAATTTTAAAAAAAAATACAATGTTAATGTTTTATATCTATACAACAATTATTTATTTCAACAACCTTCTTAAATATTAATTCTTGTTTTGTGAAAAAAATATTTTATTTCAGAGCTTTTTTAAATGGCAAGCTAGACTTAACTGAAGTTGAAGGACTTGGTGATTTGATTCATGCAGAGACAGAACTGCAAAGAAAACAGGCTCTTCGACAAATGGGTGGTGAATTGGGGCATATGTATGCTCAGTGGAGAACAAGGCTCATTAAGGTATTCTTAGTTATGAAATATAAATAGGCCCTACATATATATATATATATAAATATATGGTAACAGGGCAAATTATCTCAGAACAAATGATAACAGACAAAATATCTCACTGACAAATAATGTCAACCATATATAAACCTAAACTATAAATGATGGAACCATATATATATATATATATATATATATATATATATATATATATATATATATATATATATATATATATCACATCACATCCTATTCATATCCTATTATCTTTGTTTTCTTCTGACAGCTTAGACAATTAAGCCTTTGGTATATAAGAATTAATAACACCAATTATTTTATCACTTGGGATTTGTAATAATTTTTGCAGTGTATGGCCAATACAGAAGCCTTTATTGACTTCCATGAGGAAGAGAATATAGAGGATGATATTTTAGAATCAGGTATTTAGCTTAAATTTTGCTTACATATAAGATAGTCAATATTTAAATTACTTATTACTGGTTTGAACATCTGCTTCTTGATAAATTTAGATGTAACATAGTTTGACATAAATTTATCATTTTGTTGTGTTAACTTTCCTACACTTGCATCAACTAATTAAAGTTGAACTCAGAGCCTAATTAATTTTATTATCTTCTTACAAAAATTTCTGCTGTAAGCCTAAATGATTTATATTTAATAATTTAAATGCAGTCTTCTTTCCATAATATAACTAGTTGTGTGCTTTAGTTGTTGTTTAACTAATTGAAAGCTGCATAGTGTTAGTTATGTTCTTACAATCTTAAAAGGAAAATAGATCTATATGATTACATTACTTATTCCATAAAGAGTCAAATCTTCACAAACTTTTGTTCAGATAATTTGTTTACATTAGACCAGCCATCACACTAGAAAAACATGTTGAGCTTTTTTATGCTAGAATAATGATATAAAAAACTGCATGTTATTATTTTTTTTTAGTAACAACTGAAGTATTTAGAATCAGAGATGAAATACTGAATCACCTAAATGACAGCAGACGGGGTGAAAGATTAAGAGATGGATTACATGTTGTAATTTTGGGAGAGCCAAATGTTGGGAAAAGCAGTTTGCTTAATGCTCTATGTGAGTATACATAGTGATACTGAGATCACATAGGGAATGGAGTATGTCGTCATTAAATTTTTCATCCATACCATCATATACATCAAGATGATAAGTTCAAAATTATACTGTTAAATTTCTAGTGTAATGCACCATTCACTCACCTCGTAGTAAACTTTTACATTTATTTTATAATGCTTTTGAAAAGAAATATTGATATCAAATTAAATTTCCCTATTAAAATTCCTGTTAACCATATATAGTAATCAGTTATTTATATACAAGTTTCTAAAGTAGACCATCATTTTGAAGTTACTTATAACCCAAAACTGCTACTTTGCCCAAAGGTCAGAGGCCTGCTGCCATAGTTTCGCCTATTGCAGGAACAACTCGTGATATTGTGGAAACTGCATTAAACATTGCTGGTTATCCAGTTATGATAAGTGACACAGCTGGACTGAGAGAGACTGAGGATTTGGTAGAGAAAGAGGGAGTGCTGAGAGCTATTAACAGGCTAGTAACGTTTTTATTTAATGTTTTGGTTAAAGGACTTCACATACGGCTCAGCCTAAATTTAAAATCGGTTATTTTAACAAATCTTACCATTTTAAAAGATCTGTGTTCAGAATAATTTTATATATAGTGTGAAAAAGTTGTTTAATTGTAAGTTTTTAAAAAATGTATTTAAATAAAAAATTTGATCATATTTTTGTCCTCAGGGCCAGCTCAGCTGATTTAAAAATTCTTGTCCTAGAACAACCAAGCCATGGAAGATTATTGAAAAACATTTTGTCATTAAATGACTTTGTCTCATTGTATATGCAAAATCTTGGACTTCAAGATGATCATATAACAGATAACTCAAGCTGTTTAAACCTATCTAATATTCTTATAGTATTAAACAAAAGTGACATGGCATCGCAAGAGTCTTTAACTTTGGATCATTTGCACGAATTTGAAGATCATGTATGTTCTATTTCATGCCAAACTGGTCTTGGATTTGACATTTTTATGAAGAAACTAGTTAATAAACTTAAGAATCTGTAAGTATTGAATGTTTTTTAAAAATATTACTAATATTCAACTTGTTGGTAGTTATTAAACTTTTCTTTACAGTGTTCTGAAGTATTTGTTCTATCATTACTAGCTGTGGAAATCCCGTGGTCGGCAGCCCAAGTTTGACTCAAGCACGCCATCGGCACCACCTTGACAAGTGTCAGCAGCATTTAAGTGAGTTTACTCCTTGGTTACAAACGGATGTTGTTTTAGCAGCAGAACATTTGCGCTTAGCAGCCAGAGAATTGGGCCAAATAACTGGCCTAGTGTCTACAGATAATATTTTAGATGTAATATTTAGAGACTTTTGTATAGGAAAATAAAAAAAAACTATTCAACCACTGAGCTTTTTTTTTCTTTTTTTTTTGTTAACATCTAGATTTTGTTCAAATTTATTTAAGCACTAATTTCTTTAATCAAATTAAGTACAAAAACCCATCTAAAATTTAAAAAACTGTTTATTTCTCCCCACATTGTGTACAAAAGAATTAGTTGATAAAGTATATAGATAAATGTTGTTCATATAAATGTGTAAATTGTTCAAAACAGTACATTTTAAAAATATTCACTTTAGTAACTTAAAATAGAAACAATGCATTGAAAAATACTAAATTAATACAACCTGTAATTTCCCTAAATACCAAGGATCATTTATATTTATATAATAAAATTGTATGTTTTCAAAAATACAGTAGCACAGATGGTGATCAAAAAGCAGTAAGTAAAATTGGGATGAAGATCAGAGGAGTCTTTAAATTATAAAAAAAATGGCACTCAAATTTTAAAAAATATACTTTTCTTTTTTTTTTTTTAAACTCTTTAGCAAACAAATGCACTGCTGGTTTCAAAAAAAAAAAATTCTTGGTAAAAGTCTTAAATTATAAGGAGTAGATATGAAATACTAAGCATATTACTAGGGTTTTCTTAAAGTTGGGAATCAATGAAGCAAACCTTAAAAACAGTTTGAATAAATATTGGAATGTTGACAGCCCTCATATGAGTATAAAAATAAAAAAATGTAAGCAAAACTTGCATAAAATCAAGACTGTAAGGTCTTGAAAATAAATCATAAATATAACATATATGCATAATTATTTAACCAATAAACCACAGTTGAGTAAAAATTAACATGTAATTAAATTTCTCCATTGTAGAACTGTTCATCTTTTCTAAAATACTTTTATCACAGCATCTGGGTGTTAACATAAATATCAAAAAAAGGTTTAAAGATAAAATAAACAAGCATTGCTTTTTAACTTGAAGAGTAACAATTTGTTTATGGTCACATTGGAGATTCAGTTTACAACTGTAAATTTATCTTTTAAAATATAGCAGCAGTATGTGTATGGAAGAAAAGGCACATAAAATATAAGGTGGAACACTTCAACTAGAACTATACTACAAGTACACATTTTAATGGAAATGATACAAGCATTAATAATATACTAACACTAGATTATTTAGTTAATTCTGAAGCAGATAAATACATAAATTGGCACTAGTACTACTCAGGCCTTTCTTGCAACTTTTCTTAAATTGTTTCCAAAAACATCGACTTTCAAAAAAAATTAATTAAAAATGCAATGACCCTATTATTGGCAAAGTTGCTGATTAGAATTATACATTTATAAGTATCTTTTATACTAACATAGAAAACCATTTATAATTGTATTTTAATTTTCTTTAATACCAAGAAATTCATCAGAAAATATACCCACTAAATAAAATATACAAAGACTCACAAAATAAAATTAATTTAGAAATATACTCCATAATACAAAATGCATTACAAACCCAACAATTTGATTAATACCAAATAGATAAGGAAAATCTAGAAAAAAAAACTTGTTAAAAGACCCATTTCATCAGGAAATCTAAGTATGCAAAAGAAAACTACTCAAGACTCTAAACCTGTTATTTCAATAATTATATTTCTTAATTCTGATCTGTAAGTAATACCACTTTTGTTTCAAACGCATAAAAACAGCTTCCATTTAGAAAATGACTAAACAGAAAAGAAGACTTTTACAAAACTGGAAAACTTTTTAAAAATATTGAAATAAGATAAAAAAATTTAAAATACTGCAAGTAACTAACCAGTACAAGTAATATTTGAAGAAATAATTTACTCAATATAATTTAAAAAATAATTAAACAAAAAAAAAAACAACCTAAGAGCAACACAAGCTTAAACTTTAAGCAACATTTTTTAAAAAACATTTTTAATACTTCACCCAAGACAAAGGCCTGACTACATAATGATTATGCATTGTCTTTTTATTATTAGCATCCAAATAATTGTAATAATAAATTTACAACATTCATTCAAGGATACATTCCAACAATCAATCAATGGTAGTTACCAAATAATAATGGTGATAACTTAAATTAAGACAAATCCTTTCACTTGTTGCATTCAAAAATTTCAAGATTCTGAAAATGAATAATTCTAGTTAAGAAAATTATGTAACCTTCACTATTATTAAAAACCTAATTTATCATAAAGATTCTTAACCCACATCTAACTTTGTTAAAAATATATCACTTTTTTATACTAAAACATTGAGCAGAATAACAGGTCTAGTCAATGCTAAGCAATAAAACTGTGGTAATACTTTTTAGCTACTTAACCCACAGCAAATTACTACTTACAGTTGAAATCAACAGTTTTAATTATCATGAGAAAGATAGGGTAACAACCCAAAGTATGATAATTGGATATTTTAACATTACAAAAAGGACTCACCGTTGATTAAATCTTTTTTCATGCCGCTGTAAAAAAAAATTACATTTGAGACACTGATAAAATAGGGTACAATATTTATGCATGTGTGTATATATGTGTGTATATATATATATATATATATATATATATATATATATATATATATATATATATATATATAATCTCACATACATACACAAATGTTTATACATATTTATACACCTAAATATAATTATATACATATTCAAATCTTTTTTTGTGTAATACCGGAGTGAGAAACTAAAAAAAAAAGTTTTTTTTCTACAGCAACAAAATATCAGTTAGTCAAAAGATTGCAGTTTTTTAAAACAATGATGGGTAAAGCAAAGCACCAGCTAAATTATAAATGTAACTAGTAAAAGCAAAAGACCTTTAAATCCAGGTTAAAACACAGAAAATGTGCCAAATAAATGTAAAGCAATATCCATTTTAATAATTCAAATTACATTAAGTTAGTTCACAAACTTAAACAAACATGTACCTATAAATTAGGTCAACATTTCAAACATAATGAACCAACTCATCATTTAAATACAGCATCACACTTAAACTGTAACTAAATTATTTTATTTTGGACCTCAGTCCAACTAATCATAAATCTGCCAGAACATCTACCGTAAGGTACACATAAAATAGAACAACTAATTGAAAAATGGTTTAACAGTGCAAACTGGTAACAATTTGCTGTACAGGCCATTTTTATTTTATCTTAAGCAAAAAATAACAGAACATTGTAATTAAAAACTTTACAACATCATTTGAACACCTTTAATGTACATACATCTAAATAGTATTCAAAGTAAAATCCCTCAAATTTAAGCTTCAGATCCTAAACATGTTTATCTCCAAAGATAAAATAAAGGCACAAATACTACTATACACTTTTACTAGCTTATAATACATGAAATAATATTAAAATTCATGTCCAAATGGAATTACATAATAATTGTAATAATAGTCAGCCAATCATATTTTTAAGTCTTATCCATAAAAAGAGCAGAGCAAGCTTACAAAGATGCCAACATAAATTATCTTGTAAATACATGAACATAAAATTATAGAAACAAATTTAAATCAGAATAAACAGCAACACAAATAAAAGGAGCAAATAGATAACAAGAGAAAAATGGAATTGTCAACAAAAAGATATTCCAAAATTATCTTTCAGGTGGTGAAGTATTGGATCTCAAACTGTCTACTATTTTACATAAATTATTCTGTTTTCTTTGGTGAATCTAATCAACATGAATACTGCCTTGTAAAAGTAAAAATAAAGCTTAGTTAAAAAAGATAAAAATACATCTAGCTTCAATTTATAAGCTTCTGAAAAACAAAATAAAAATTATCCCACTTGCTTAATAATGATGTCAATGAAATTGATGCCCTTTATGACATTTACTGCAACTCAAGTCATAAAATAAAGTGCTGTAAATTTTATTATAAAAAAACAGCTATAAGTTCATCTGTGTTATTTTAGGTACTAATTCATTTAATGGAGTAGTCTATATAAGATCCAAATATTTTTACAGCAGAGAAAATAAAATTGTTTTAGAAGATACACATTGTTTTAAAAACTACAAACTTTTATTTTACAAGAATGAATTTTTATCTCACCATGTTAAACATCTGATTTATTTTCTTTCTCTTTATTTTCATCTTGTTCTGGGATATTTTCTGCAACATCCTCCTTTAAGTTGTCATTACTAACACCTTTGCTATCCTCAGTTTGGAGAGTGTTTGGTGTAGAATTTAAATCATTTTCGGTAACTGGTTCTGATGTTTTAACAGAGGGTTCTTTATTAGCCTGTTCTGGTTGGAAAACTAAGGTGGCATTTTTCTCACTGTCAGGAATATTCTCATTAGGTTGTGATTTATTATTTTGAGTGCCGTCTGCATCATGTCAAGTTGAAAAAAGCAAAATGTAAAATGCGATTTTATTTAATAGTTAAATTATTTTAACATATTAACAATTTTTCTTAAGCAAATTTTTAAAGTAAGAACAACACCAAATAAATATAATGCATGAGGTCTTTAAAATTATTTTTGTTCAATAATTACATTAACAGAAACAAAGGATCAGGTTGAATAATTGAACAATGGTCAACAATAATTTGTCAAAAACAACTTTTCAAATGAACAAAAGCACAGATAGTTAATTTTGCAACCCATTTCAACCTAATCAAACATTGAAAAATCAAGAGAAAAACAAGTTACTAGAAAAAAGAAGCGGGTAATAAACATAAAATTAAGCAGACAAAGGTTGATTAGTATACATAGTTTTTTTCCAGGCTATGAGAATTGTCTAAAGCTACTATTTAAAAATAACACATCCAAAAATTACAGGATGTACTACCATAATAAAATTTATAGTAAATTAAAGGGGTCGATAAAGACCTGCTAATTTTTTCAAAAAAGGCTTGAATTTCATTTGTGATTTGTTTTTTTTATACAAACCAAAGTAAATATTAATGGCATCAATCCAAGAACTCTCAAAGGGGAGATTCAATACATTTTAAAATTATGCATAGTATTATTAAACTATGGGAATAAATGCTGGATTGAGTGTTTTTTATAAGTCTGTTATACAGATTGGACAAATTAATGGTTAAAGTTTTCTAAAACTAATCAACATTTGAAAAAAAAAAGGAAACTTAAAAACAGTTTTTATCTTGTTGCCAAATAGTAATCTAAATAAGTGATGTGGCAATAAACATGAAGGTAACGTGTAAAAGATAAAAAATATTTTCAAGTTATTTGCATTATCAAAATTTATAAAATTATTATACATAATTCTTGAACTATTAAATTTCTAAATCTCTTTAGCTATGATTTTTTTAAGGGTAAGGCTACTCAGAGAATGTAAACATGTCAACAATAATTATCCCATCCCTATCAGCCACTTAAGCAGATGCCATTTATATTTCAAACTGGCTAAAAGATTGAACATGCATGCTTAACTTTAAATCTTTTCTTCTCTAAATGTCTGTTTCAATCCAAACAAAAATAAATCACATACCTGCGCCAGGTTGACCTGCTATTGGAACAGGCTGCTGCTGTCTAGCAGGTTCACTAAATAAAATATTAAAAACTATTTAATCAAATTTAAACACTGACTCAAATAAGTTAAATACAAAACAAATTATTATAAGTTTATTAAAGACTTATAAGGGTGACACTAATATTTAAAATGAATCCTGGAATTCAATTAAAAGCCCTTTGGAATTGTGCATACAACAGTTAAAATTTTTTAACTATCTCCAGACCCTCTATTTTACTGGCTATTCATAGACTAATCTTATCAGATGAAATAAGGTCAGGCTAGTGAATTATTATAGCGACCATTATAAATGTTAAATAAGGTCAGGCTAGTGAATTATTATAGCGACCATTATAAATGTTAAGTCCTGCAAAATGGTAGCCTACTAGAAATAACAAAAATTAAGGCATTAAAACTTCATAAGTTTTAGATGCCAACTAGATTTTCTCTTTACCATGTTTTAGTGTAAACTAAGAAAACAAAGGTATTGGGGAAAAAATTATGTTATCAATATCACTGGGCTAGCCATTTTTAAGCAGAACTCTGTGATTCTGGTAGATATTGTACCATCTAAGCATTTACGTAAAGCGAGAAAAATAACTAAATGGTTTTCTACTAAGTGCTTTTCAAAGATGCCAAATTTTTACAGTCATGATTTGTATTGACTGAAATCTGTAAAATTTCTACGGCTAAAGTGAAAATAACCCTGACTTCTGGGAAAACCAAGAAAAGCGGCACACCTGTATATATTACAATTTAAAATGAAAGGACATCTATTTTGAAAAAAATTACTGATCTTGTATTTAAAATTTATTTTCAAGTTTATCATTTAACACACAAATACAGAAGTTTATAAATTTTTAACTTACTACAATGCAATACCCTCCATCAGCTTCGCTGCATCAAATTTAGCATCAGCTAGAGCCTTTCCAAGAACATCTGTTCCTGCAACCTTGGCAGCCACATCAATTACACCTTTAATAGGGTTTATACAGGTACTGAAAATTAAATTTTGTGAATAAAAATGTTAAATATTTTCAAGTAAATGTGTTGTTTATATCTCTGGATAGAAAAGTGTATTATTAAAATAGCTCATCATTGTTTTAATTAATTTGTTTTTTATAGCTTTGCAGCAATGCTGTGATAAAGTAACTGCAAATAGGATATTTAAAAATAAGAATAAGAAAAATTAAGAAAACATCTTTGACAACCACTGAATTTGATAATCATAACTAACTTTATATCACAAGTTGAAGGCTTTTTCTTTTCTTCTTCTAAAGCTTTTCCCAATTCTATATTTTGATCTGTAAAACAATTACATATTTTCATTTTAAAAATTGAATAAAATATTATGAGTTAGTAATAGTTTACAACACTAGAGCTTTTTAAATAAACCGGGAGTGATCTCCCCTAAACTTTCTCGAATATTCTTATAAAAAACAACAGGGGATGGGAACTCGGGCTATAGACATGATTTTTAATCAATTTTAAATACTTAAAGTTTTAAAAATAGAATAAAATCTCGTAGACAAATGAATTGCACACCAAGTGAACGCTAAATAAAAGAGTGTTTAATAGTGCGCAATATTATTAGTACTTTAAAAATTTACATTAGTTTTTTGAGAAATCGGAAGTAGCGTAAATTACTACTTCCGGTCAATGGAAATTACTCAAAATTTAACAGAAGGTAGAGAATTAGATCTTTAACTTATGTGTGAAATTTCATTTATCTATGTGAAATAATACTCAAGTTATAGGCTTTTTAAAAATTCAAAGTAGAAAAAGTACCACTTCCGGTTCTCGGAAATCGCTCAAAAGTTGATACGGATCTACGATTTTGATAAACTACTTATATATGAAATTTCATCAACCTAGCTGTAACGGTACTCAAGTAATCGTGTTTACACACGGACAGACACACAGACACACACACACACAGACATACGGACAGAGTTGCAAAGCCCAGTTTTTCAGACTGGATTACGCACAAAACCTCTTAATTTTGATACATCTGGATTGATAATTTTTGCCCGATTAAAATAAGTCCTCTATACTTCGGATGTGATGAAGGACTGAGGTGTAATACGGTGAAAATTGTTAAAATTTCAAGTGATTTTTGTGCACGATTACAATACTTTCTCTATACTTCGTATATACGAGAAAGTAAAAACATAAAATGTATTATTAGTAAACTATATAGGCCTTACAGTGTGTATTAGTAAGTACTTATGCATACAAATACTATCCTCTACAGATCGCATATATGCTTACTTTTCGCATCCTCCAAGTCTTTTGTACTTCTTGCAAGACTTCCATCACAGTTAGCCTAGAATTAATAAAAATAGAATTTTTTAAGTTAGACAACAACAAAGTGTGAATCTATGGACTTCTGAAGTGGAGTTGCTTAAAAATAAAAGGCAGAGTATATGAGTTATTAAAACAAAAGCCATCTTCACAACATGTGACAAGGACCCCCTGTCCTGACACCTCTATGCTTTTAAAAAACATTAGACTAGTTCCAAGTCTTTAGGCCTTAACAGCTTTCCTATAAGTTCACAGGATTGAATTTTAGGGTATATTCAAAGTTGAAAGCGTTGCCTCTTTCAGGCATATCTCTGCGAATGGGTCCCAGATTAAAAAGGATAATATTTTTAAACTTTAATAAAAACAATATTTTAACTATTATGCACCCCCAAAAGTTTTACCTATGATAACATAATCATATAAGGCAGGAAACAGATTCAACCCTCAAGCATCTACTTTTAGGGTCGATTTTCGCCAATTTTCAAAGTAACAATTATTGACATATTATATATCAATTTTGTTGCTTAACAATCGAGGAATTCAAAAATATAAAAATTAATAGCACTAGACATTTACATCACGTTCAAAATGTAGATTAACCACACTCACTCAACTGAGATTTTTTTTTACATCTAAATGTAGTGAGGTCTAAAAATCCACGAAATTCACAAAATTAACAATATAATTACACAGAAATGTCACTTAGGCATACATTTATTTGTAATTATGTCAAACTTTACAAAATATACCAGTTTATAGCTTATTTCTATAATTATTCTTGAGAAAAAAAAACGACCGCCCTCCCCTTTAAAATTCTGGCTTTTAGAAACACTCTGAGGAAGAAAAAAATAACAGAGTTAAATATAGAAGGTCTATATAAAAAAACATAATTAATAAAATATGTCTATATGCCAATTTTTAATATAGTTGCAGCATTTACATGGCTAATTATAATTGTTTAGTACTTAAAACATTAATTTAAAGTTACGACTCTCTGTGGCGTCTTTCAAGTGTAATGTCAGTGTAGGTGAACAGGGTGTTAGGGCCTGATACGATTTCATTAGAATTGGTAATGAACAGAATGTATAATTAGAACTGGCATATAAAAACAATGTTGATAATAGATGCAGTTGTTTTAATGCTACTTATAATAGATCAAAATGACAAACATAATTAAAACCTAAGAATCTGGAAGCGCTGACCTCATTTTACTGACACGGTTGTCAAATAGTAAGTAGATCTAGATCTAGATCTAAAAAATAGATCTAGATTTACGTAATTTTGAAAATACGCTAGATCTAGATCTAGATGCAAAATCACTTTTAAAAACTAAAGTTAGTGATTAGATCTAGCTCTATAATGAAATTGAAATCAACAACTGATATGTAAGTATCTTTTGATTTAAAAAAAAAATACGCTTAGTTCTAAGAAAAAAAAAATTCTATTGTGTACTCGATCCCTATCCCAAAACGTGCCAGCCATATCGCATGCGTAGTCAGCTACTCAGCTGCTTATCAAAACGATGAATTTTAAAATTATATAATAAAAGTAGGTCACCCTAAAAAAAAGAGTAAAATGGCTCCCGTTTTCACGACAGCCGTCACTCGATTCATAATTTACAGAGTTATAAAGTTCTACTTTCTTTTGGCTATAGATTTAAAGGAATATTAATTTGTTATTTCTCATGCGTTCCAACAATTGTACCTAATTTTAATAAACATTGGATTAGTAAGGACTCGATTCTTTTTAGAATTAGCCCTCGACACTATACAGACTATTGCGAAGAAACAGACTCGCGCGAATGTCGTGCGTAGGCTGGTTCAGTGGGCGAAGATTAGAACCCATTTCAGACGGAAAATTTTTACTTTGAAATAATTACATTATCAATTAATTTCGATTTAAAACAAATGGCTTAAAGTCAAAAGTAAACTAAAATTTAAAAACTTTGTTATTCGCAGTGTACTCAAGATTCTCGTGTTTTAAAGATAAGTCTAGTTTTACTACGTGTACGTGCATGGTGCGAATATCGATTTTCCCCGACAGAAAATCATAAACATTTTTTTTTAAAGTATCTACGGCAAAATAATACTTATATTTTACAGAATTAAATACATTTAACTAAACTGTTATTTAAATACATGCCTCGGAGGAAAAAAATACAATTTTATATCCGTAAAAAATTAACTGAAATCCCCGCTTTCAACGACGCCGATGTGTCGTAATTATGGCCATTCACTTTGTTCAAATTAAAGTAAAAAACACATTCAAATATACTTTTTTTTACTTTCATAATTTACAGCAATCATTTCTAATGAAAAATCCATAAAAATAATAGTTATTTTTACAAAATATTATTTCTTACCTTATTAGTGCAGTACACGTACTTTTCCAAGTAGATCCATTCCGTCTAGATTTGCATACTTCGCATCCTTCGCCGCGGCACAAAATGTCATAAAAAACGTATTCCACAAAAATGTTGCTAACGAAGCTTGTAAAAACATAGCTCTATTTATTAGTATAAACAAAATCCCCGACCGATGTCTGGTTAGAAAGTTTATGAACGGCGAAGATCGAATATGCATTTTGCGGTACTAATCTGTTTCCTGCCATAATTAAAAAACACTGGCAGATGTGTAGCCTATAATTTGTTTTTCAAGATTTTTGCTGCCATGAAATATGTTCCCATTTTTGTAAATGAATTACCTAAGCTAAATCAATTTCTGAAATTTTGTAGTTTGCTAATTTGTAATGGATTAATTTTGCAATGCTGCACACTAATTAATATACCCCCCCCCCCCCCTCCTAACATTACTTGCTTCAACCTATTATAGGTTAGCTCAAAACTTACCTACATACAAAACTAGAAAGGCAAGTGATGAAGAATATTTGGCATGGCCACACCTTCAAAACTAATAATAATAAATTGGGTTGCGTCGTTCATATACTCACAAATTAAAGAAAATTTTAGAGACCTAAGGTCTTTGTCAGCACACAACAGTGTGTTTAAAGGAGTAGCAAAAAGCAAATGAAGGAATTTTTAGATAGTACATAGAATGTTTGTTCACAAAATTATCATGTAGTCTACTAAAAGCGTGAAAAATAGAAAAATGAAATTCTGGATTGTGAAAATTTTCTTCATAAGTTATATAACGTAACTTGGTGGTGATTTGCACAATGATGTAAATGCTGTTAAAATACTGTGTGAGAGGTTTTGTTGATGTTTTTAAAATAAGCAAACAATTTAATACGACACAAGTAATGTGTAACTACAGTATACAGAGTAACTTAAAATGCCTTGTCTGAATAGTGTTCCAATGCTCTAGTCTACAGACCCAGGTCTAAATAGCTACTTTGAAAATATATGTAAGTGTATTTGCATTGTGGACACCTTGCGGAAACTAACATTGATCAAACAACAACTGAAAGATCATTTGTCAGTGAAACACAAGCAGCTATCACAGACCCAAATTGGATGAATCTGTCATATCAGAACAGAGAAGGGCCTATAACTAGGGAGGTGTGCTTGCATCCCTATGCTCAACAAGTGGTCCATGGGGAACTTTGACTTGATATGCAACAGTGAACGTAGTAAATACTAAAATAGGCCTACTTAACTACTAGATCTAGATCTAACTAGAATAGTGAATAGACAATAGAAATGTACAAAAACAGGGTGTAGCCTACTGTATGAGTGTATTGTATGTACACTACTGATCATGACTAGGCCTACTGACTACTTGCAATGTGAATGTAGATTAAAGATTTAAACTTGACAGTGACTAAGCCTACTATAGATCTTCTAGAATCTAGATCTATCTAATCTAGATCTACACATCTGCTTACCAAATTCTTTTGAAGCTCCTCAAATTCTGTTTGCTTTTTTGACACGTCTGTTTTCACAGTATTAATTTCTGCATCTTTCTCTTGTAACTGTTTTTGCAGCTGATCATTACTTGCCTGCAATCTTCGAACCTCTTCTCTTGAAATTTCCAAATTTTTTTCAGAATCCGATCTTTTGTCATCAACATCTTTTTTTTGCACAAGAACAGTTTCAATTTCTGATTTCAGCAGAGAATTTTCAGCATAGAAACTCCAATAAGAGTACGCTAAAAAGCAGACCAAAACTAACAACCCTATTAAAATAAAAGGTGGTGTACGACCTGGAGAGCGCATGTTGGATCGGTTACCGGCTGACCCTGTCATAGCTTTTGGTTTTTAATAAAATATAGATTTATCAACGTGTTAGACCTAATCTAGATTCTAGATCTAGATTCTACTTTCGGTGTCGACGTTGTTAGATTTTTTTGTTGACAACAGTCGACGCGTGGCAATATTGGCAGATTTTTACTAATGGTTTAAACTTAAATTTTGTTTCGAAGAAAGTAAGATCAATTAATGAAAAATGGATTAAAATAATAAAAAATATAGACTCCAGATCTAGTTCTATATGTCTGATTTTTAAATATTGAATGTTTTATTGCGTATTATTACATTGAAATTATTATGAGTTAAGAAACGTAGCCATTTATCCTCTAAACAAAAATGTAAACGTATAATGCAACCTGGCATTTACTTTAATGTAAGGGGTCATCCATTTATGACGTCCACACGTCCGATAAATCGACTTTTGTGAACGAGTGTGGACTGGAGGGGAGGGGGGGGGGGTCGGATCAATGTGGAACATCAAAATAAATTATTTTTTTTAAAAGCATTTAAGATGTATGGATTAAATCGGCAGTTCTCGTGTTTAAAAAAAAACCACCAGCTCAACGGGTGATTAAATGTATCAGAGATTAGGCCTAAATATATACCACCAGCCAAAAAAAAAGTGGAGGTGGGGGGGGGGGGCATTGACTGCAGCAACTTTCTAAAACAATGCACGGTATTTCGAGTTTATTTTTAAACATTCTAAAGCGTTGAAACACAAGTGCGGTCCGCACCCCCGCCCCGCCCTCGCTACGCCTCTGAACGTCATCATCCCTAGTTCTAACTCAACTTGTTCAAACATGGTTAAATCCTTCAATAAATACGCGGTAGTAATCTAAACCAGGGGTCTCCAAACTACGGCCCGCGGGCCGGATGCGGCCCGCGATGTCCTCTCATCCGGCCCGCGGAGATCTTTTTGTCCACGGAAAAAACGTTTGTTGCAGATGGCTGAGGAACTTTGCCCAGAAAAATCAAAGACATGCCGGGAAGAAACTGGCCCCCGAACTGAAATTTTATAGTTAATGCGGCCCTCGGACTGAAAAGTTTGGAGACCCCTGATCTAAACGATCTATTTCGACACACAGCGATAGGACGATTTCCGGCCACAGGAACAAGGCATCAGGCCTACACACATCTGGCCCCAAGTACAAGGCATCAGGCCACGGGTACAAACATCTGGCCACAGGAACAAGGCATCAGGCCTACAAACATCTGGCCCCAAGAATAAGGCATCAGGCCACGGGTACAAACATCTGGCCACAGGAACAAGACATCAGGCCACTGGTACAAATGTCTATAGCCACATAAACACGGACAGGCCAAGGGTACAAATATCTGGCCACACGAACTAGACATCAGGCCACGGGAGTGTTCCAGTGGCCTGATGACTGATGGGGGCAAGACATCAGCTTGGCCAATAAGCCAGCCTTCGCGGCCAGCCTTAGGTCAGCCACCATCCAAGGCCTGTTTCTAGCTCCTTAGCCAGAGCCACCCTTATTATCATATACCAGTGGGCTACCTCATCCACAGCCGACTACAGAACAGGTGTCTCTCTTATATACCAGTGGGCTACCTTACCCACAACCGACCACAGAACAGGTGTCTCTCTTATATACCAGTGGGCTACCTCATCCACAGAACAGGTGTCCCTCTTATATACCAGTGGGCTACTTCAACCAGAGCCGACCACAGAACAGTTGTCTCTCTTATAAATCAGTGGCCTACCTCACCCACAGCCGACCACAGAATTTGTGTCTCTCATCAAACAGCGCCTGTCAACTGACGCTAGCCCAAGTTTCCGAGTCAGGCTATGTACCGTCACTCGACATTCGAGATAACGCCCGGTCACTATGCACTCACGTGTCTTACACCTGCGACTGACCACTACAGGTCCCCACGCTGCCTCTCGTCTAACGAGCCTGGGCTATAACTTCTCCCTATGGTCATCGGAATCGTGTCTGGCGTCCACCTGCACGTCATGAGTAATGGTTCAACCGTAACGTCCAGCGGCATGCCCAAACTCAAGACATAAATCACCGCTGGTGTCTTCCCATTGTTACGTGTCACTCACGCACCTGCTTGAGCTCGTGGCCCTTTGCCACTAGCGTGTGCTGATAACATTTAATTAGATTCTAAATTTCTACTGGCACGATCATCCCGAATATCTTAGGTTAACCCCTTGGGTGTTTGAAACTAGCATCTAGTCAAATAAACCCCTTTAATTAGCAACCAAGTTACAATTTTACTTTAGGATAAACAGAATACCAGCCAACATAAATACAAAAATAAATGTTTAATACTTTGGAGTTTTCGTTTGGTATGGCAAAAAATTTAAATAAATCAAGCGCTTATCATAGTGGGCCTCATACTTACTAAGTCGTGTAAAATATACACATTTTTTTCAACATTTTCTGGGCTCTACTTTTGACATTTAGAATAATTTGGGTTTAGGTTTGCCTGTTGTCCAGAGTTTCTTCCAGGCATCTCTTCGGGGGGGAGGGGGGGGGGGGGGTTAGTGCTTGAGATGTTATTGTAGTGCATGTAATAGATTGAAATAATTGTGAGGTCAAGGGAACTCACTCTTCTGTATTAGTTATATTTATAATATTGTTATCTTGAGTGATGTCCCTTGTGTACTTCCTTCCGTCCTCTCTGTGTGTTTCCATCGTGAGGTAGTTAGACCCATTAAATGTGTTATATACAACCACAGGCTTCTGTCGTCAATCTATTATAACTGGCGACGAAGGATAAACATCTACTAGAAAGAGCACCTACTTACGCAAAAAAGAGGTTTGCTAGAGCTTATTAGCTAATTATTTCTAGAATTATGGCGCTGTATGGCCAAATAAAAGAATTTGATGCGAATGATGAAATCATTCAAGATTACCTAGAGAGGTTAAGCTTTTACCTAGAAGCTAACGACGTGACGATAGAAGCCAAAAAGAGAGCTGTTTTGTTAACAGTCATAGGGCCTCAACAATTTAGGCTACTAAAAGACTTATGCACACCAGCTAGTCTAACTACCAAGAGCTTTAACGAGCTGAGCAAATTGCTAACAGACCACCATGCGCCTACCCCATCAAAGTTTTTATGTCGAGCTAGATTTGACAGTAGGACTCGTCAACCAAACGAGTCGATATCAGAATATGTTGCTGCTTTACGTCATTTAAGTGAATTTTGTGAATTTGGAGAAACGCTGTCTGACAGACTGTGTGAAAAGTTTGTGACAGGTGTAAACAGCCCTGATATTCAAAGAAAGTTGCTGCTCGAGTCAGATCTAACATTAGAAAAAGCAATACAACTTGCAACTTCATTCCAGCAGTCATCAGATGCGGCGAAATCTCTTACGCCTTCAGGGATCCATGCAGTAAACAGCAGGTTAGTCAATAAACATCAACCCCATCAGAGCATTCCAACTTATGCTAAACAGCCTGCTCGTTCAAATCCTAGATCTAAATCTAGTAATAATTATCAAAAATGTCATCGATGCAAAGGTCCCCATGCATCTCATCGGTGCAAGTTCAAGTTAGCAACTTGTTATAAGTGCGGTAAGCAAGGTCACATTGCCAAGGCCTGCTTTGCAAAGTCTTCGTCTGTTGCTAAATCTAGCCAGTCAAGACAGTACCGCAACCAAAGGCAGCACTATGTTAACTCTCACCAAGACTACCTAACCCAACCAATGAACCACTCTACCTGTGAAAATGCTCAAACTGATTCGCAGCCGGATTTCAACCTGTTCTCTGTGAAATCAATAAGTCATGCTCCCATCAATGTACCAGTTAATATCAACGGTAAGAGCATCAGCTTCCAACTTGACACTGGAGCATCTCTAACAGTCATCACAAAGAAAGATTTTGACGCTGTCACAGGAGGATCAGTGTCTCTACAGCCGTGTCACAAGTGTCTAACAACATACACTGGTGACAATGTTCCGGTAATAGGAGAGTGTATGGTTCATGTAAGTTATAATGGTCAAAGTGTTAAACTTCCTCTTCTTGTGGTTGAAGGAAATGGACCGCCATTACTAGGTAGGAACTGGTTAAGTGATCTTAAGTTAAATTGGGAGAGTATTTGTTCATTGAAGAATGTAAAAGAATCTAGTCTTACTTCACTAGATAAAGTTATATCTGAAAATAAATGTGTTTTTGGTAACTCAGGTTTACTAAATGATAGAACAGTGAAGTTAAGCATTAAAGACACAAATCCAAGATACTGCAAAGCTAGAGTTCCACCTTATGCAATGAGGAATAAAATTGAAAATGAGCTAAGTAGATTGGAATCTAATGGCATTATAAAGAAGGTAGACTATTCCGATTGGGCGACACCCATTGTGCCAGTGTTAAAGAAGGATGGTTCTATAAGAATTTGTGGAGATTATAAAACTACACTGAATAAGCAAATAGAGCTAAATAGGTACCCTATACCTAACATTGAGGAAATTTCTTTGAATTTGGCAGGAGACAAATTCACTGAATTAGACTTTAGTCATGCTTACACTCAACTAGAACTGCATCCAGATTCAAAAGTCTATACGACAATAAACACACATAAAGGACTCTACCAATATGAAAGACTATGTTTTGGCATATCATCTAGCCCTGGAATTTTCCAAGCTGTCATGGACAGTATTTTTAAGGACATTCCAAATGTTTGTGTTTACTTTGACAATGTGTACATAACTAGTAAGAATGACACTGAACATCTTAAAACACTTGATAAAGTCTTGAAAATTGTTGGTGAAAAAGGTTTAAAGATAAACAAAGATAAATGTCAATTCATGTTGACAGAAATTAGTTTTCTTGGTTATATATTGAGCAAACAAGGCATCAGACCTCAACCTGAGAAAACAAAAGCCATTAAAGAAGCACCCAAACCTGAAAATACCCAACAACTAAGAGCTTTTTTGGGCTTGATAAATTACTATGCAAAGTTCATAGGGAATCTGTCTGGTAAACTATCACCACTGTACAAGCTGCTACAGAAAAATGCAACTTGGCACTGGGGTAAACAACAAGAAGCTGCTTTTAACACAGCAAAAGAGGCTTTGTCTGCTGACACCTTACTAACTCACTATGACCCAGGGAAAAGACTTGTATTGACATGTGATGCTTCACCAGATGGTGTAGGAGCAGTCTTGTCCCACATGGATGAGAAGGGTGACAGACCCATTGCTTTTGCCAGTAGATCTTTGAACCAGGCTGAGAAAAATTATTCTCAGTTAGATAGGGAAGGCTTAGGCATCATTTTTGGTGTTAAGAAATTTCATAAGTTTCTGTTGGTAGGAAGTTCACCATCATTACAGATCATAAACCATTGCTAGGTTTATTTGGAGAAAACAAAACCCTACCTGAGCATGCCTCACCAAGAATTCAAAGATGGGCTATCACACTAACTGCATACAATTATGAATTGAAATACAAACCTGGATCTGAGAATTGTGCAGATAGTCTTAGTAGATTACCTTTAAAAAACCAAAGCCTGAGCTATGTACCAGAAGATGTATTTGTTCTCTTCACTATCATGGATAACTCCAATATAAATGTGAATGATATTAAAAGAGAAACACAAAAAGATGAGTGCTTAATAAAAGTATATGAGTACTGTAAGAATGGTTGGCCTGAAGAGTCTGTGAATGATGACTTAAGGCCATATTAAATAAGAAATAAAAACCTTTGTGAAGATAATATAAAAGATGGAGAAGATACAGTCCATTATCAGTCAGAGTTGCCTAAACAAAGTATTTGTAACTTAATAAATGATTATGGTGATATGGCAATTTCAAATGTTTTAAAGAAAATACATTAGTAAGAAGGAATGTGATCATCAAACAACTTTGCTAACATCATTAGCACTTACAGAAACTAAAAGGGTAACATCAAAAGAAAAGAGAAAAAGATTTTTGCCATTTAATACTTTCAGATGCCAATTCAAAAAGTCAATCATGACAGAACACCCATTGAAAGAGAATTTGGTGTTAATAAGAATGTGTATCTAAGAAATTATGGGAGAAAGGAATAATGGATACCAGGTCAAATTGTTCAATGTACAGGACCTGTGCCTTATAAAGTTAAAAATAACTTGTGCAGATAATAAGTGTGAATCTGTCAATCCCACCAAGTCTGATCAGTTGACACCAACTCAGTTTGTTCCACAACCAAGTTCTGTTGATATGAGTGAACCAAGTTGTCTGGAGTCAGAAAATGTAAATTCTGGAGTTAATGATTTAAATCCTAGACCTCCTGAGATAGAGAATCCAAATGGTCAGAATATTGAGTCACCAAATCAAAGGCCACTGAGAAGGTCAAACAGGACAATCAAAGTCCCAAATAAGTTAGACCTATGATTCTAAAGGTCAAAAGGACTTTGACATTATTGTTTTGTATTTTGATTATGTTGTAGCATATTGTGCATTGTTTGTAAGGATGTAATCTACCATAGTGTTCATGTTACAATATAATTGGTGATTTTAGGATACTATCAATTGTTCTATTGAGAGATGTGTTATTGTGTTCTAAGGGTAAAGGGATGTAATAGATTGAAATAATTGTGAGGTCAAGGGAACTCACTCTTCTGTATTAGTTATATTTATAATATTGTTATCTTGAGTGATGTCCCTTGTGTACTTCCTTCCGTCCTCTCTGTGTGTTTCCATCGTGATGTAGTTAGACCCATTAAATGTATTATATACAACCACAGGCTTCTGTCGTCAATCTATTATAGTGCACACAATCACAGAGTTAAAAAATGTGAGCTCTGAATCGTATAGCTACCAATGAGGACAGTAGGGTAGGCCTGCTTGAAAGTAGAAGAGTTATTTTATTCTGAACCCAGCACTCTGGTAGGTTAAATATTGCACACACAAACTTCAGCTGAAAAGCAAAAGGAAGGAACCTGTTGGACATACTGAAAGTCATAATGAGCTCTGGCATAACGCCATCTTTCCCAGAGTTGGCCACTGCACTAGAATGTTTTCTAGTGCTCCCTTAGGAAATGAAAAACATTAAATTGTACATGGGAAATAGCTGTTAAAAATAAAATCCTCAATAAAAATTCATTTTTTTAGATGTTGTAATACTTGTAAGCTTGTTTAAGATCTACTAACTTTTAGTCTGAAAAAGGTGCCTATTTCCTAAAACTATATGAGGAAAAATTGCCCCCACCCCTCGACAAATTCATGTTGAACACAACAGTTGTAAAGATTTTTTAATGTCTATATATTATAAGAAGACTTAATACAGTAAAATTCAATGGAATTACGCCACTAGATTCGTTGGCTTGGTTAAACAGTTTGAAAATAGAACAAATCACTTTGTTGACCTCGAACATCGTGGAGTCTTCCAATACCAATACATCACCAACTGTACAGTTAAGTACAAGCTATAGACTATAGATATGGGTTGAATTATGATCGGGAGTAGTCCATAAATTTCACACGTCTCTCAGTTGACGTAGGTGGGGAGCCGATTTGCATTTTAGAAGTTTCTTAATATTAGTAGCTGTTTTGCATAAAACAAAATCTTTTGTAAATGTAATTGTAACGAAAATGTAACAATATATTATATTTAAATCAATATAATATTGACCCGTAATTGCCAAAAACTCTGTATGAAACAACGAATATTGTATCGACCGGGCTTCTGTTGTGTCCCTATGCAGAAGGGAAACAACTCAACAAATAAAAAATTAGAGAATCTTTCAAGAAAAAAATTGAGATAGCAGAAGGACGAATTCCAAAATGTGTTGTCTTTTTAGGAGAGGGCATTTTTAAAGTAACAATGAAAGGGTAAAAGTCCGGTAAAGCGTCCTGGACCCGACCCCCTCTTCAATTAAATATCTTGTATCGTGGTTGACCTTTGGGACGCCACTTGTGTCCTGGTCGTCTTTCTAAATCCCACTGTCTGCACCATCCACAATGCCTCTTCCATTATATTCTATTTAACCTGTCCATTCCAAGATGTTGTCTTCCTATTCAATTCTCCTACCAGTCTCTATTCCGTTTTCTAAATTTTGTCCTTGTCAAGTTATTAGGGTTGTGCAGCTGAACGAATTAAATCCCTTGATGCAACCAGGTACAACTTTTGTAATACACCTTCCAGTCCAAAATCATGTGCATAAAAAAACATGCTTTCTCACTGCAATTACAACAGCCAAATCTACTCAATAATGTAGCATAACATAGAGGAAGTGCAATAATTTAAATATGAATTTAAGATCATGCATCATTTGTAGCACACACAGGCTAATTTAATAGTTGACTCAGTTGTTTGCATCTTGCATTTAAAACTGCAGTAAAAATGTAACGGATTGTTAGTAGATGACCACCTTTTGAAATAAAACTGATTTTAAGTAAAAAAAAAAGACTACTGATGAGTAGTTGTAGTTGGTTCATAATTCTGTAAATGATTGCTGTATGTAAATAAAATAATAACATGTCAGGTTCGGTTCCTTACCACTGTAATGACAATTTTTAATATATTTTATGTTTTAAATCCTTAAAATAAATTACAAAGACAGAGAGTAATTAACAAAAGCTTTTAATTTCCAGTCATTTGCTTTTATTTACTTTTAACTTACATGAGTGATATCATGAGATGTAGGAAGCGTGACTGATGAAGAAGAAGAATTAGAGGTTGGCCAACTTTCCGCAATTATTATTGTATTATTGTTAGCTTGAATTATCATTGGTGCTCCGGGAGTCTGTGCCTCAAACAGTTGTCCATTAACAACTTGTATTGATTGCCCATCAAAGTTTTGTAGAGTTTGACCCAAGTCGATGATCTTTAATTCAGTGTCCTGAACACTATTGTCTGGCTCTTTTATCTTTTTCGGTCTACCTCTTTTCAACAAAGTTCCATTTTCATGTGATCTTAAATGTCTTCCTAAATGACCTTTATTGCTAAAAGCACTACCACATAAACTGCATAAATATGGTCGTTCCCCCGTGTGCATACGAGCATGGTCTTTAACCATATACCGCATGGAAAAAGTTTTCCCGCAAATATCACACTTGTATGGTTTGACTCCTGTATGGGATATCTTGTGTTTTGCCAGAGCCATCTGTGTCATATACCCACGGCCACACTCATCGCAGTGGAATGTTATACCACCCACTTCAGATTTATGATGCTTCATATGAATCTTAAAACTCTCTTTTGCTTTGCTGGCATAAGTTTTCCCACACACCCAACATTTTAAAGGTTCAGTACATGGACGGCCATTTTTATGCTTGTAAAATCCAAGCGAACTGTAAAATTTCTTTCCACAGTCCAGACATGTGTGTGTGTCTTTAGGATTCTCATGCACTTTGTATCTATGAAGCCTCAAGTAGCCCTGAGTGCTAAATCGTGATGGACAAAGCTCACACTGTATGGGACCCAAAAATGCTTCTTCCAATTCATCTTTTTTTACACAGGTTCCCATTCTAAAATGCTTTTCATAGCCAGCCCTAGTTCTGTATGATCGAAAACAATCACTACAATCAAAAGCTTTAGACTTTGGTTCATTCCCATGAGTGGAGAGGTGCTTTTCTAGTTCTTCTTCACTGTTATATGTCTTTGAACAAATAAAACAATACAGGGAAGAAATACACTTTCCATTTTTCATATGTTCTGCACAAGAGTTAATGCTGCTGAATCTTTTATTACAAAATACACAATTCCTAAGGTTTGAAGCCATACCTAATGCATTGCCCCATTTTCTTTTTCTGCCTCTTTTTTTATGCATCAGAATGACTGAGTCATCATTTTCCACATTTTTCTTATTATTAGGGTTGATTTGACTGAGATGAAGACCAATATTTTTTGAGCTTGATTTAGCTGCACTAATTTGGTGTGAATTGGGGACATAATCTTCACTGTCATCATTCAACTCTTCATTCCAATCATCATTTTCACTGTCTGTAAGTTGTTCAGTTTTTATCATGCCAGTATCTTCTTTTACATGTGAAGCATCAGATTTTAAAAGGTGAGGTTCTTTTTGGCCACCCAATTCCATAGACTTTGTTGATTTTATAATTCTCTCTTTCAATACACTTTTCCCTATCTTCTGTCTACTTTCTGAAACAGCACTTAAAAACTTTAGCCCACCATCTAATGATGCCCCCCATTTAGAAGCTGCAATGTCAGCAGCATTGTCTAAAGAAAATTCAGATATTGGAGCTGACATTAAGTCTTCTGTAGTTTCCACACAGTCTACTCCTAGAATAACCGGTTCTTCCTCTTCCTGGAATAAAAAAAGGTAATTTTATAGGAGGGTATCAATACTAGTAATTTTTAAATGACATCTAAAATATAAACTGTATTTTAAATATTACATGTTACAGAAATTTTATATAGGCCTACTTAAGATGATTTGCTGGAAAAACTATTATTATATTTACTTTAGAAAATAATTTTAATTTAATATACACCACAAGTAGTAGTAATGTAAAGGTATTTCTCCATTATAAATTTATTTTTACAGGTTAAAGTATTAAAAAATAAAACATACTGTCTTCACTTTAGTTTCCAGAATTTCACCAGTTTTTGCATGTACTTTTTGAACTGTTACTTTTCTGCAAACTACCATCTTAACAAAAGCTTCAACCATAGTTTTTTTCACAACATTTTGATCTTTATCCTGGTCTTCAGAAGAATCATGAGAAACTGGTGGTGCACTACCTTCTGGATTAATTTCATGATTGGTTGCAACTGGATTATTTGTAGTGGGTGGATGGGTTTCAATGGAATCATGCTCATTATGAAGAGATTCTTCCCCAAATGAACCACATTTTTCAACACTTTGCTCAAATTCTGGTTGTTGCTGTTTATCAGCATTGGTTTCTAATATATTACTGGGTGAAATATTTGAATTTAGTTGGCGAAGGATTGATTCGATGGCTTCAAGGGTAGTTACTGAGTAACCAAAATCAATAGAAGCTGCATTCAAGTTATCTTTGTTTTCAGCATCACCAGACTGAGAATGAATAGCAGCATCACTAGTTGTAAAACCACTTATATTAGTACCAAAAGCTCCAGGCTGAAGTTCTGTCTCCTGGCTAACAGGATATGATTTGATCTCAGGCTCTTGTCTTAAAGCTTGATGCAACAGACTTTTTGGCAGCAAACTTTTTAGTTTTTGTGAAGCTGAAAAATTGTTGGTGTTTAGCTGAAGAATAATTGGTTTATTCTGAGATGAACTGCTTGAAATAGAGCTATTTTCTGGACAGGATAACTTATCAGGTGTGGCAGCTATTTGTAAGTTGTGGTCCTTTATTGGGCTTTTTTTGGCAGCCATTTAAATAATTAATACACACAACCTGCAAAAGAAAAAAAACAACAACTCAGTTATAAATTAGTTAAAATTAGATCTAATCTAATACTCCTACTAAATTAATTGATTTAATACACAATCCTCTATGAGGTTTTTTCTTTTGCAAGTAAAGTAAGAAAAGTTTTTAGTTTAAGAAAAGATTAAGACTTAAGACTGATTAAGTGATTATTATTTATTATTACTAGATCTATTTATTACTGATTAAGTGCAGAGTAATTTGTAATGTTTATAGTTTATTATTTATAGTATAGGTAAGTCTATTAGACAGTCTAATGACTAATGCCTAATGGGCTAGGTAAACAACTTATTAACCTACTGAGGAGTTAAACGTTAATATTAAATATAGATCTAGATCTAAAACTTCATAACTGGCTAGGTCTAAAATAAACTAATAATTATTAGTCTAATATTTAATTTTAATATAAACTACTTTAAAAACTCAACAAAAATAAAAATATTTAAAAACATGGTCAAGATCAAACTAAGAAAATTTTAACTTTAGAATAATGGTCAGGCCTAATACTAGATTTATATATTTTTAAAGTAGATTATGTATCAATATTAGCACATTTGTTTCTAAAAAAAATGTCACACACAAATAAATTGCAATTTTAAATACCTAGAACTAGGCTATGTAAAGTAATATTATTATTATAAATTAATCTAATCTAATATTAATTTTACTCAAGCAACTAGGCCTATCTGAAGTATGGCGTATGAGTTGCCAGCTAAAAAGTGGGCACAGATTTCAATGTAAAAAAGGATGTATAATTCATCAAACTTGTAATTGAATGAAAAAATAAAATTTATAATAAAATATTCTCGAAATATATCCTATATCTAAATGTAATTTACTCAGCGTGTTAAATTTTGATATTTTTGTTAAAGTATTTAATAAATAATTTATTTTTAAGGAATCTAGTAATTGTAGTAAACTAATGTACAATATGGCAAAGTCTGTTAGTCCACTGTTTACTTCCGATTCCTTAGCCAGTTTCGATCCAACTAAATACTAGGGTAATAAATCACAAAAAAAAAATAGCAGCTAGATAGTTAATAGTTTAATATAATAATATTAGTAGATCTAGATCTAGTTATATAGAAGATCTAACTGAAACGATTGGCCTTGCAATTCTATATAGTATATAGATTTATTTACAACTAGATTTAGGCCCTACTGATTTTTTATTTACACCTGTCACTGTCAGTGAACTCAGTGACTGTCCTGTCTGGTCTGTGTGACTGTCTGGTTAGGTAAGAAAGTAAGTACTTTAGTTAGTTAGTACTTAGATCTAGTACTTACTCCACTGTAATACTCATTAACACTAAGTCTGACTAAGTAGTACTAGACCTAGTAGAGGTAATCTATCGTATCGTTTTATTAGGTACGTAAAAAATCGCCCGCGACTAGTGATGTGAAAAACAGGTGACTCCTTAAATAAATTAATTTTAATAATTATTTCACATTTTGAGGAGGATTTATCATTATGTTTTGAAAAATACAAAAATGTTTCCTTGTTTCGCCATTTGCATTTATTTTATGTAGGCCCTACCTGTTTTTAATTTTTAAACAATTGAATTAAAACATTTCAGTAATAAATAAAGTGAAGTGTCTAATCGGAAGAAGATTTTTCTCCCCAACGTCTCCACTTAGTCGGCAAAAGATAGCTCTGCGCATGCGCAGTGACCTATGACTAGGGTTAGGGCTAGAATGAGGGTCAGGGGTAGGATTAGGGATAGGGCTAGGGTTAGGGATAGGGTTAAGGATAGGATTAGGGTTGGTGTAAGGGTTCTGCGGTTGTAAACACACGCATGCGCAGTACCATCGAAAACATCGCCGCTAAGGCAAGTCGTAGTTTCTCTCCATTGCGCATGCATATCGCATGCGTATCTTATTCCGGCTAGAATCAGCCTAAATAAAGACTAGCGATGTTTCCAACAGATGCAACCATGCTCATTTACCATAGCAGCCATCTTGTTTAAGTTTTTTTTTGTAAACTTATAGTGCAAGATTCTGGGGAAGCCACTCTATTTTACAAATGGCTGCTGCTTATATAGTAATATATAGCAAATCTTGCTTGCAAACACTGCTGTTTAAAGTTTATTTCTGGCCTATATTGATATATTTAGCCATTGATTTAGGTTTATTATTCATTTATTATTTATCTATAATATTTGACACAAATATTTCACAATATACTTCTATTAAAGCCTTGACAATGAGGTAACTTTTTCGTACATTACTAGCCGCAGGCAATTTTTACATACCTAAAATGATAGATTACCCTAGTAGAACATTTATTAGATTAGATCTTCTAGTAGATCTAGAATCTAGATCAAAATCTAGTATTAAGTATTTTCTAGTAGATAGTAGTTAGTTAGTTAGCAGTAGTAGTAGTTTTAAGTTTAGTACTATTATGATCGATGAATCTATCTAGTATCTATGCCCAGCTGCCTTGAGTGTCCTGAGTCAGTTACCCATCAGAGCTTGGTGGACTCGAACCCATGATCCGAACTCAAGACTTTTGGGTTAGCAGTCTACAGCTCAGCCAGGCCACCCCAATTTTTTCTTTATTCTAATCAATCTTTGGATAATATTTAGAATCGACCCTTTGAATCCCTGGTAGAACAAGCCCCTGACATGGCCTCAACCAAGCAGTGGGCTTGTTGCATTGAATTAAACTTAGACTGAAAACAGTAATATAAAGACACCTACTACTAATTAAATCAGAAATCTTTTGTTCGCATATTTTGTTTTAGTAATATTTTTTTTCCAAAATGCAACTTTTTTAACCTGACAGTCAAGATGAAGTAAAGTTAATCTTTTTCTGTGACCTCGGATATTGTGGTCAGCACTATGCCCATTCCCTTATGCTTTCCCTATCTTGAATTAATCAAACACCCATCAGAGCTGGGTGCACTTTGAAATGTCCAACTGACATGAGTCTGGGATCCGAACTAAAGACTATCAGCTTAATATCCATGCACTCTCTCATCTGATCATGCTATCCCATAAAATGCTTGTCCCACCTCGTTAAGATTTTTTATAAAGTAAAGGCAGTGGAACTGACATTACTGACAAGACAAATATGTTTGGTCATGTGAGCTATTGTGCGGGCAGTGGACTGTTTTTACAGTGCTAAGTTGACAACATTTGTGACTGTGAATAAGCAAATCATAATTATATTATTATCAGGTCATAGTTCATCAAAGTTATGTTCTCACTCAAAATAAGGGTATAATTCGTATAATCATGTTTTTTTTTGTTTACACTCTAAAAAAGTTCATCACTTATAAGTAATTGTAGTCTCTAGATTTAACTCCCACAAAAAAAAAACCCGGTGTTGTAGTGTACAACTTCTGGTAGGATTTAACTCTCATTACTGTACTGCCACTCAACTCTTTTTAAGTGTACACTGTACAGAGAGTGAGCATAAAGTAAAACTTAGTTGTTATTGTAGTTTGTTCTGTATTATTAACTGTACTGTAGTCTTTTTGTTATATATTAGTAGTTTTTACTTTAAATTTAAAATACTGTGAATGTAGCCATATGGATTTGTTATTCTAATCTTAGTCGTGTTTTTTTTTTAGTAAAATTTAAAAAATTTATTAGAACCCAAGAATACCATAATTAGCATGTGTATTAATTTAAATCACAATAATATTTATTACAATGTATTATTAACATAGGAAATATAGTATTTTGGATACAGTTTTAGTGGAGTGAGTTATGTACTAGGTAAATTTGACCTATAACTAGCAACTTGACAATGATTTTTTTATTTGTTCTTCCAGGCAAAATTGAATAGTTTCTGGCATAAACTGTCACAATGGTTTGTGTTCCCTGCATTGTCGTACCATTCCTTTTGTGGGTATTTCATAAATTTATCAGTCCATGGCTATCAAAGTTTTGGAGCAAACCTGCTGAAATGGTAAAAAATGTTGAAAATAATCTTGTGTGTCCTATGCCAAAGAAAAAGAGACAAAAAGTCAAGGTATGTTGATTTAAAAATTGGGCTGTCCACAATATATTTCTAAATACACAACTGCCTTTATTATATGAATATATTTTAAAAAGTACTGCAGACTTTTCTCTTTATAAATGTACGAGCCGACCCACTGTGTATCATGCGCCGCTATTTAGTTGTTGTTTTTTCTACTTTTCAGTAATTCATAATTTGTGCCACTGAAAATATGTGCTTTAAAACACTACCCCCCCCCCCCCCCCCCCCCGTGAAAGCAGCCTCCTCTTAGTTACCTCCTCTAATTTTAAAATTGTTTCAAACTAAATTATCTGCCCCTAATAGCCGTCACCAAACCCGGCTCTATAATTGTAAAATGTAAACATTTAGAGTGAACTACAGCTCACCAGACCATGTAGGGGTGGTGGGAGGTAGCGAAAGAGAAGAAGAGAGGGGACTGTAAGGCGCGCTTGCAGCTTGTTTTCTAACGGCTCCCAGAAGAGAATTATATATATAGATATTATTTGAGCATTATATTCCACAAGGGATATAATCAAGCCACGTTGAATTATTGCCGAAAATATTTTGTTGTTTCCCTTCACCAGCTAACAAATATAATAACCTTTATAATGATCTTTTAAATGCACTGAAAATAGAACAACCTTGCTTTCTTTAGTTAGGCCTAATCTTTGGTCACTAAAATATGTAAAAGATGTCATGAGCTCCCAAAGCCATTATTTTAATTTTATTTTCAGTGCATTTAAAAGCCTATTATTTTAAAGCTATTTATATTTATTTTATTTTCCAGCTTTTAGTCATTTGTTCTAAATGAAGTTGACACCACTAAAAATATTTGCGTAAAACCTGACCAGTTGTTTGTAATCTCTAAAATTTAGACAGTTGTTATCTGCCCCTTCTTAGTTAGTGGTTGATGCTCTGGTAAAAATCACTCAGCTGTGAATATTTGTCCAAAAAGATTTTTTAAAAAATATTGCATTGTCACTGAGATGTTTGGAATGTTTAAATGAGTTGGTTAAAATTAAGTCACAAGATTTGCCTCATCCCACAAAAAAATCCCCCAGACATTGTGAACTATATAACAAGCTTATTAAAAATCATGAACCCCTAAATAACTTACTACTGAAAACTTCACTGCTAAAAGGCCACCCCCAGTAGTGTGACATAATTTGTGTAAGAAGCCTATTTTTGTGAAATATTTTTCTGAGAAGCCTTAAACATTATCATAAACTTAATCTACATTTTGGCCATCAGTGTCACTGAATGACTAAAGTTTGTTCAAGAAATTAATTAAAAGGCATTTCCATTTTTTAGCATCTTATAATTGTAGAAGAGACTCTAAAGAATAAGTTAAACCTTTATCAAAATGTTGTCTTGCTATGTCAACACTGTTTAGTATTTATTATAGTGCTGGTTTTATCATTAATATATTTATCTGAAAATTAAGATATAAGGTTATGTAGCCTTTAATTTTCTTGGAATTGTAATTTATTACAATCTGCTTATAATTTAACTAAGCTGTCACAAATCTTATCTTAGGAAAATGAACCAGAGACCACACCTCTTATTGATGGAGAAGATCCCAAAGAAGATGAGAGCCTGTCACAAGATGAAGCAGATTGCAAAGAAGATGAGAGTCCATTACCAGATGAAGTAGACCCCAAAGAATATGAGAGTCTATTACCAGATAAACCAGTTGATAGTAGACAACACGTAAAAGTTGAATAGTGAAGTTAGTATTTAATTTCTAAATGTCTGTGATTTTAAGAATAATGCCTATACTCAAAACATTCATTCAAGTAACCAGAAATTCACTAACAGTATTGGTTTATTGAAATGATTTTGATTACCATAGCATTGATACAATAATGCTGTACTGTATTATTTATTCAGTTTTTTTTTTGTTTTACTAAAATGGAAAGGTTGAGTCTTCAAATTTTTTTTTTTTGGAAAACCAAGTTTGTTAATATTAGGATTTTGGTGGTATATTTATAGATTAATTACATCATCCTTTTTCCATGCATTTAATTTTCAAACAAACTTGAAAGTTATCTATTTAATTGACCATTTTACTGGCGGGTACATCATGTCTAAAAAGTAAAGTTCACAGAGATTATGTAATAAAAAAGAAATGGTTTGAAATCAATACTTTATTGAGGCTTACACTCAGATAATTATTTACAAGTTTCATTGTAAAACAAGGTCCAAATCAGGTCAACTGTAGGGTTAGTTCAAATTTCTTTTTTTAATCAATGCAAATTTTATATTAACAGATACCAATTGGTTTGGTATTTTTTTTTCACGAATAAAAAGATTTAAAACCACACAATAAAAAGATTTAAAACCACACAGCGTCTAATGATTGTTTTATATCATCTTGATTATCTCTCCGCTGTTGAGTGAAAAGTGATGCTTCTCCACTTTTCCTAACACGTCTTGCTTGAATGGCCTGTTGTTTGCGCTTTGCTTGACTGCGGATACGACTCCTAGCAATCTCAGGTGCAATGCTAGAGCATGCAATACTTGGAGTAAAATGAGATGCACTATCTACTTTTTGGTTTTCATTTACATTTTGACTTGTTTCATTTCTAAATGGTCTAATATTACGATTTGACTGACTCAAGTCTAAAAGTGAATGTTCTTGATCATCACAGAGTGATTCAGGTTTGTCTTGTGTATGTAAATGTTTATCAGATACAAATAAACTTGATGTTTCTTCAACAATATTTTGTAAATTTGCAGTCTGTGATTCCGAAACACTAGGAGAATCATTTGAAGTGCAGGCGGTGTGACTTTCAAGAGATTTAGAAAGCAAATTTTCTTGATAGCCCATGTCTGCTAAGCTTTCCAACATGTCACCATCTTTAGTTTCTGATAGAGAAAGCCACTTAAGAATTCTGGGGTCTTTACCAGGTGGGACAGTATCATCCTCCTCTTCATCTTTATCACTTGATTCGTCACCACTGTTTTCTTTCACCTGTGAGTCTTCCTCTTCTCCAGTAGCCAAGTCTTCGACTTCACAAGATTCAAGTAGTCCAATTTCATTCATTGTCTGAAAATTTAAATGTGTTTATGTTATAAAACAATATAAGAACTTTATATTAATCTTATCAATAATTCAATTAGGCTACATCAAATGGAGCAACCAAAACATGTTTATTTGTTGCCACTGTTTTATTAATATCTTTAACACACATTAAAATGTGAAATTTTACAGATGGATTTGATGTTTGTGAGTATATATTTTAGAAATACACCCTCTATCCAATGCTTAACACTGAATCTAAATATATTATATAGTGTTTATTTATATGATGAACAACTTAATCCCACAGAATGCAAAATCATAAGTGTAGTGCTACAAATTCCCATGAACACAAGACAAATAATCACTGATCTAATTTAAGTATATTCAAAATAATAAATAGTGGTACATAAAATTTAAATCTGAATATTGACAGTATCATGTCTAGCTCCTGCATGGCAATGCCACCTGGTTGGAAAAAAGGACTGTATACATGTTTAGAAAATCTTCAGTGTCCAATAAACATACCTGATCAAATGCATCAGATAAATCTTTGGTGAAACCACTTGCTGCAACTTCAACATCTAGTGTATCAATTCTCCTAGATTAAAAAATAGTATCTGTCACTTTTTATTCTTCATATATAATTTACAATAGTTAACTTTTCTACAAAATTTTAAAATAAAAACATTCTTTTTATCTGTTATTACCAGATCAATAAGAAAAACAAATTTTGTTTTACATTTATCTAGCAATTACAATAGAAAATATATCTTTAACTTTTTAAGCCAATATAAAATATTTATTCTTTATCATACTAGCAATAAAAGGAGAAAAAAAAGTGTTTAGTATAAAAAGTGACTATGACTAAGTTAGGCTAAAAGGGACTTTATTTAATTTTAGTTAAATGGCTAAAGTATATACTACCTGGTGTTTTATATTTGAATAATTCTACTGCACAAAAAAAAATATTCTGAAACTAATTTTTCCTCATTAATTGCGTTAAAATTTCAACAATAGAAAAAGCTAAATTTAAATGAATAAATAACTAAATACCATAACTTACTTCAAGTCAGAAAATGTTGGGTATAACTCACTCTCGTAACTAAAACGTTTAAGAAAAAAGGTTCTAATACAATCCACATCTCTGTCAAAAAACCTGCAAAAAAAGGAAGGTAATTCATTTCTTGAAATTTGTTTTTTATGGCTTGAACTAATATGATGATAAATATACACTTGTATCAGTCCCTTCTTTAGCTTATAGGAAAGCTCCAAAATAAATTGTCTAAAAATGATCATTACTTTAAAATTTAACTCACATTTCAGCATTTGGGTGTGAAGTGGATATCATTTGTGGAAAATCTATCATTGTAATATGGTCATTCTTGTCTATCATCAAATTAAACTCATTAAAGTCACCATGAATGACACCATGATTGCCTAACTTGACCAAAAGTTCCATACACTCATTATAAGTAGAACTGGGGTCAGCTAACTCATGAATCTGACATCTATAATCAGAAAATGTTTTGGATAGTTAAAGATGGAATAAATGAGAAAATATTTAAAGAGAAACAAAAGAATATTTATCTATAAAATCAACAATAATACTATAAACTTACAGACTATGCAGAATGTAACTTACAATGGGTATCCACTTAAGAGTTCCATTACAACAGCATGGCGGTTAGAATCCACTGGTTTTGGTACAGGAAATTTCCTGTCATATAAAGCCTACAAAGAGTTGTATGAGTTAAAAGCAAATAAAAGTCTTTCTAAAAACAAGTAAGAGTCAATGCGTTTGCTGCATTCATCATTAAATAAATTTGAAAAGCTGAGCACTTGTTAAGTTTCCCCAAGTGTTATTTGATTAATATCCAGCTTTTTACAACTTAATAAAGTAAATAATGTCTTGCCATCATCATAATTCACATGTTAATAATAAATATATTCAATGATAACACACATAAAAATAGATCAATCAATCTAAACAAACTTTACAAACAAATAACCTTCATGTAGGCAAACTCTTTAGTGGCAGCTAATCTCCCCAAGTACAGCCATGATGCAGATTTTCTGTATTTCAAGTAGTCTCGTTTGTTCTTAATTTGTCGAAAACAGGTCCGCCCTAATCTGGAGTAGAATGCAACCAACTAGATTTACCTTACACTATACAAATAGATTACCTTTAAATACTTGAATTATTAAAATTTGAAAAATCTAAAACAATAAATTTTACTACCTGTGAAGCTTTAAAGCATACTGCTGTTCTTCTTCGTCTGCAACTATATACACATCTGTTAAGAATATTTAATGAATATTTATTATGTACACCTATTTGAGAAAAAACAGTACATTTTTTCCAGTTAGCTAATTAGGTTATTAACTGTGGGTTTAATTCGTTAGCTTACATGAAATTATCTAATGATTCTTTAACTGTAAAACAAAAAAAAAAGAACAACAACAAATAGATGCAAACCTGATTCTTTTCCAACCCCTATTTGATTACCAACAGAATAGATCACATCCTTTTCTGTCAAAACTTTTAGTGCCAAGTAATCATATCCAGCATTTGTTAGGCGGTATCCACTGACTAAAAAAAAGATGTTTAGTTTTGACTATCAAATATGAGAGCAGTATTGTAAAGAACACTGCACTTTGATAATATTACTACTACCACAAGTGTTATCCCTTCATTAACTTATGTAATTTAAATTATCAAATAGAAAAATGATCATCAATGTTTATTGAACTTAAAACTTGATAAATTGTAAACATAAACTTGATCAATGCCTATGATATTATTATAAATGAATCAATCTTCTTTTAATTAAGTATTCAGGTTTGAGGTTGAGTAATTGACCCTTCCTGCAAAAGCTCCATGTTGTGAGTGGGAGATTGTGAGATCATATGCCAACAACGGTTCAGTTATGAACAAACACTAACTGACTAAGACCGCTAGGTAGATGTTATAGAATCTTCTTTTCTTAACAAGAAAGACACAAGCACTTGTTAGAATCTGTAGTCCCCAGGCTTGGGTCACCTGTCATATATAGTCTGTCATGGCCCTGGAGGGTCAGCTACAGATCAACCTCAGGTGTCCACTTAGGGTCAGCAGTCCTGGGGATGTCTGAAGCGTCATTATGTTCTTTCTTTTCCAGTCAGTAATTTAATATCCATACCATCTGCCTGGGTCACACCAACCTGAGGGGATGTCCTGCTTGGTAAATGGCTTAATTTTAATGTGTCGCTACCCGCCAGTTCATTCTGGTCTGTCATTTGTTATCCATGGGACTGTCCAGGTCACAACACTACTGTTTCATTCCATTCTTATGCTTATGTGTTTTAGTAACTTAAGTATAAAGAAATAAGCAAAGCAGTTAAAGTTTAACAAAATTAACACTTACATCTTTTATTTCCTTGCTCATAAGCAACAAGTCCATGCTTGTGTAGTTCTCGAAGTTTTTTATGACTACCACCTGCTGGTAAGTGTGCTATCGCAGCAACAAGGGCAGCTGGAACTAACTCATGGTTTTTCATTCCCATTTCAACCTTAAAAAAATGGGGTGAGATAAATATATAGCAGTGTGTTGGCTTAAAAAAGTTTGGTAGTACAAATGATGGCACGGTCAAATCCCTCTCACTGAACTGACAGCCAAGATATTAAAATCAACCAGTTGTAGTGAAGAAAGAGCTGAAATGCATCAGACTTAATTCTGTAGGCCTATAGGTGTGAGCTGTAGGCTAACATCATGTCTACTGTCAATTCACAATGGCTTACTTACTGCCCACTAGTTACTAGTAATTATTAAGTTTACCAGTCACTATTTACTATACTTTTATAGTTTCTAGAGTATCGAGTGACATAGATCTACAACTAGCTAGTCAGTCACAGTCAGTGACACTAATTCACTTCAGTACATGGTAATCTCACGATAGAGCGTCGGAAGTTATCCGGTTTTGTTTGTTGTCTTTCGTTAACATTTGTTACTGTAAACCATAGTTTATTTGTCCCTTGAAATAAAAATACAGTCAAGTGCATTAAATTAATGTTTAAACTTTAAAAAAAAGTTTGACAGAAAATAAGCAACAATTAGTAGATCTAAATGTTAATAATAAAGTCGTGTGTAGTAAATAGTATAGGCCTAATGTTTTTTCTAAAAAGAAACACAGAAAAAAACTTGCAACAACTAGATTCTAGATCTAGAGTCTAGGCCAAGTAAAATAAAACAATTAGATTTAGGCCTACTAAAGCTTAAAGCTGTAAGAAGAACTAGAACAATGTGCAGTAGCAGCAATAATTAGCACATACACTTAAAATAATTATAAATACAATCATTAGGCCTATGTACTATACTATGTAGCAATGTAGTATGTATTAAAAAATTTAAATATGATTTACAGTATTTCTGGGTGTGACATCATTCATCATGACATGATACTAAGAAATTTAATGATATGGTTTTACTGTTTTTTACTGGGTTTTTTTTGTACCATTCCGGAATAATAACCACTATATCCGAATATCATGAGACTACCCAGTTAAGTACTCTGGTACATGACTAGAACTACAATAATAATTACAACAGAGTCGACTGACTCAAACTTCACCAGTTACTGGGGTCAGTTACTCACTCAAACTCAACTGATTACTGAGTTAGGCTCAGTCGAGTTACTCAAGTCGAGTCAAGGTAGACTAGTGTTAGTAGTTTTGGTAGTAGTTAATTTAAAAATTAACTTAATAGTTACAGTTAAAGTTAAGTTACTGAGACTGAGTCTGATCACTGAGTGAATCACTGATCTGATAAACTCAGTTAAAAGTTAAAACTGTAGAATCTATCACACCTTATTTAATTTAGACATCTACTTACAGCTATAAGTACTCGAAAATCTTCTCTACTCATGTATCGCAGCGCTTTCACGTCTAGTTTTCCCATTTTTAATTAATAACAAGATCAACAGAGATAGACTACTAAATAGTAAATACTAAAATAGTATTTTCAGAACACGGCATTCATGTCCACGAGTTGGCCCTGTATTTACTATTTCACAGTTGCCAGATTAAAATATTCTAAAGGTGCCAGGTTATCAAATAAGCCTAGGCCTAGATCTAGATAATTTAATGCCATAGATAGTAATAGATAGAATGAGCTGACATAATTGATATTTTTAAATTTATAAATTTTTGTCTTTAAAAAAAGAACATAATAAAAAAATAACTATACAAAAGGTTTCTTTTAGATGTTTTCCGGGGGGGGGGGGATATAGGATTGCCAGGTGTCCAGTTTTGAACTGGACAGTCCAGTATTTGAGCAGACTGTCCAGGATAAAATAAATATAAATACTGGACAAGTATATGAATAATACTCTGTTACCCCCCTTCTTCTGCTTTGCGGCATACCTGAGAAGGGAAGGATGGAAAGGTGTCCAGTATTTTAGGAAAAGGTATCTGGCAACCCTAAGGGGATATCGGGGATATCAGTCACTTGAAACTACCGAAGGGGGGAGGTGGACACTGGTTAAATTAGTTAAAGTATATATTATAACACGTTTTCTATTTAATTAAATTGCGTATATTCAATAAATTTGTCTGTTTTGTCCGGAGGGGGGGGGTGTGCCTGAGATACCTGAAAGAAACTGCACCAAATGTAAACCCCCAAGGAAAGCAGATAATTTTATTACACAGTAGATGACCAGTGGTGTTTTTTCCAGATTTTTTTTTCTGGGGGGGGGGGGGACTTGCTATTTTTTTTTGGGGGGGGGGGTCAATTTTTTCGGAGGGGGGGGGGCGGACACTGGTAAAAGTATATGTTTTCTTTATAAATTCCATTTCGTTCGGGGGGGGGGGGGTAGACTTTCTTCGAGGAGGTGCCTGGAAGAAACAGCAGATGGCAACGAAAAGTGAGACTGAAGTCATGAATGCTACATTTAGAATCAGCTGGGGAGAAAATCCAATGCACAAAAGACATACCCACCCACACTATCACTTTTATGTGATGAGTAGGTCTATTTATTACCAGACTAGTTATTTCGAGCCAAAAACTATTTATTTGGTAATTTTCCTTTATTCAAAATAATTTTTTTTTGCTACTCATGTTTTATTTTTTTGGATCACGAAAAATCTGGTTAATTTTATACTTTAGATCTAGACTATAGAGACTGTTCTAGATCTAGATCTAAATCTATATCTAGACCAGATTTAAACAGTAACCCACAAGCTGTCTGTTTTTTTTTTCTTTTAAATTTTTATAGAAATATTAGGACAGTCACGTGTGATTGTGATTGAAACATAAGTGTTATCACTTATGACATTTATTGGTGGTTTAATGATAGTTTAATCTTACAATTACAATAATATGCAAAATGTACACCGTATCATGAGCGTTAATACAACGCAAACTATGATAATTCTAAATCTACAGCAAAATTGGTTGCCACCGTGTTACTGTTAAAAGTAAATTAACTGTTAAAAATAAAATAACTGTTGAACGCTGGGCTAGAGTAACGTTAGGCCTAGGGGAAAAAGGGAAAAAAAAAAGAAAATAAAGTCACGTGATCCAGCATGGCCGACAGCGATGAAGATCGCATCCCCTCCCCTCCAACAAATGGTTCTGAACCTACTGGTCCAAGGATTGTTACAATTACAAAAACTTCTACAGGATTTGGATTTAACGTGAGAGGACAGATAAGTGAAGGAGGCGTTCTTAAATCGATAAATGGAGTACTATATGCACCACTTCAACATGTTAGTGCAGTTCTTGAAGGGGGCGCTGCCCAGAAAGCTGGAATTCGCAAAGGAGACCGTATTCTTGAGGTGTAAGTAAACTTTTAGTTTACTTTAGTAACCAAAACATCGTTTTAGTGGAAATATTAATAATTTTCCTCAAAAAATGATGTCTGCTTTTTACTAGATCTATAGAAATCTATAGATTACACTTCATAAAGCAATGATAAATAGCCTAATGTTGACGTTAGCCTATCATTCATAATAATAAAAATATCGAGTATCGAGTCTTTCTTAGGACTTAAAGTAGTTAGAATCTATCTAGACTAGATTTAGATCTAGATTCTAATCTAGATCTAGAGATCTAGATCATATGAGTTAGAGTACTGTTAGAGGAAGCATTAAGAATTCCATTGGTGCCAAATTTTTATTTCTAGCTTTTTACACTTTAGAAGAGAGGAGGCGTTTTTTTTTTTGAGTAGGCCCTACATTTTATACCAGTGTCCAATAAAAGAAACTTCTTATAAAGGGGTGTAAGGTTACTGGTAGTTAACTAAAATACTCATTTGGCTTGCTAATGTCAATGCTAGCCCTAACCCCAGCCCTAGTCCTACCATACACCCAACCCTAATTTCTAACCATAAAACAATACTAGATCTACTATTAAGCTAACGCACCCAGTCTAGGAGTTTATTTTCATCAGACATCAGTATACTTAATCATCGTTGTTTTCTATTTAAAATGCACTGTCTTATATATTATATAATATAAGGCCTGTAAAAAATGAAGCAAGTTGGGAACATAAATGAAAATTTTATAAAATATGTTTGCAAAACCTTTTTTGAATTGTAATGATAAATTATGAAACAGTGGTGGTTCTTTTATGTACATTTGCATTAATAATTGTGCAGCCTTTTCTGTTTGGTGTTATGCTTTATTTTATAAACTGTACATTTTTACTATGATTTAATTTTAATAATTATATTATATATTCCAATATATAGGGAAAAAAACAACAGGCTTACATGGCAGATGGTCTGAATCTTAAAAAATTAACAAAAATGTATTTGTAAAACTAAATCACATTTTTTTATAAAGTAAGAACCACAAGTGGTTATTTAACTCATTTTTTTGTTTTTTTGAGCAGACAAATGTTTATATATTAACATAAAGTTGATTTAGAGCATATATATTGTTTTCAAATTAATTGAAAGAAAATGAAAAGTAATTGCAGTAGGTTAAAGCTGAACCTCTTTAGATTTGGAAAATGTGATTACTTTGTATATGGTAAAGTAGTACAATATTCATTTTAAATTAATAAGAGACAGTGGTTAATACAAAATTTGAAAAATCAGTCAAGAGGTCTGGGTAGGTTTTTATATGAAAATTAGCTCCTTTGTCCAAATGCTACATACTAAAAAAACAACATAGGCCTACATGGCAGATGGTCTGAATCTTAAAAAATTCACAAAAATATATTTGTAAAACTAAATCACATTTTTTTATAAAGTAAGAACCACAAGTGGTTATTTAACTCATTTTTTTTTTTTTTTGAGCAGACAAATGTTTATATATTAACATAAAGTTGATTTAGAGCATATATATTGTTTTCAAATTAATTGAAAGAAAATGAAAAGTAATAGCAGTAGGTTATAGCTGAACCTCTTTAGATTTGGAAAATGTGATTACTTTGTATATGGGAAAGTAGTACAATATTAATTTTAAATTAATAAGAGACAGTGGTTAATACAAAATTTGAAAAATCAGTCAAGAGGTCTGGGTAGGTTTTTATATGAAAATTAGCTCCTTTGTCCAAATGCTGCATACTAGTTCAGATTAAGTTAAAGTAATTAAATATTTCAAAGTGACTATTCGGAAGTAGCTTCTTCCCCCCAGCGCTAGTCTGGCCGCCAGAAGATGCAAAAGGCAATGGCTTTAATAGATGTGCAGTTGGCTCAAATTAAAATTGAAATTTTTTATTTTTTGTTGTTGGAGAGGGGGTGAGTGGGGCTGTCATTTGTCATGTCTCGTGTGGCTGTCTGGCTATCAATGACTCTTTGGGTTGGGGGTAAAATTCGCATAATTTATGTGACATATCAATGGACACCCGCTAGGTTTTTCAATAAAAATAACTATACCGACCAGCTTAGGTCTATATAGGATGATCTCTAGCACCGTTGATAGTCTATTTAAAAAAAGAAAAGTGGAAAGATTTAGCTTCCATCTATTTTTTCCTTGTATTTTGTATTGCTTATGATTATTTTATGTATGAAACAAAAATTCGCTGTTCACATCAATTTATTTTACTCAAACATTACGGACACTTTTATTATTCCAAATTTATTTCAGCTCTAGATATAAGCTTGAATGTTTTACTGTAAAACCCTTATTTCCAAACTATCGTCTTAAATTAAAAAAAAGAATTTAAAAAAAAAAAAATTTAAAAAAAATTCAGAATTGAACTTTATATATTAGATAAAAGGCATATAAAAGACTTTCTTACAGAACCTTGTTAACAAAATGGGAGACATTCTATTCTTTCTTTCTTAACTATTGCTCAGGTAGATTATACTTCAGATTACATTCCATAATTACAAAATACTCCTACTAACATACTCTAACTTTGTTTTTGGAAGAAAGTTAAATTGCATCTTTAAGTGTTAATGTTAGGCATCCAAATACTGTATAGTGGACTTGAAACTTATTTTAGTGGTAATCTAAAAGCAGGAAATCTAATGTATTTACTCTATAATACACTTTAGTGTTCAAATGTACATTATCATCAAGATGTTTTCTTATTAGTAATAACATTAAATACAATACTGAATCAGAGAGGTAACATTCTATTTCAGTAATGGGGTAAATGTTGAAGGTGCTACTCATAAACAGGTTGTAGATTACATCCGCTCTGGTGGTGATTCCTTAACTTTGACTGGTGAGTCACTTGTTCATGTTTATATATATATATATCACTGTAGTGTGGATATATGTGTTACGTGATTGACCCTTCTAGTGCCATGTAGAGTGTGAAATCAACACTTGTCCAATTGAATGATATTCAAGTTTATTCTTTGTTTAATATATACACATTCCAATATCTTTCTCTTAATGCTATTAGCATCTACTATCCCATGCCCTTCTGCTATCCAGCTGTCCCCTACAACTTTCTACTACCTAATGATTTCCATTTACTCAACTGTAACCTAACTAATATACAATCTCTGCTTTACTGGCTTCTAACACTTGACTTTGTCTAACCAACTCTTTTTACCAACTCTGACCATTGTTTACTCAGCTGACCGTCTCACTTCATCAGTCATCTCACATCTTATTTCTTAGTGGTTCTCATTTGTTAGCTATTCTACCGAACTTATCTGCTTGACCTCTGACCTATTTCTAATCTTGCCTAATTTTCCATCATCACATTTTGGAAATACAAAGTTTTAATGATTTCAAACATTCTTTGCTGATTTCCCATTGTTAAGAAAAACACAAGCATTGCTCTGTAAAATTAATCTTGAAGTTGAAGAGCCATTACTATTTTTGTTACAGTACTGATCAATATTGATTATTTCCTTTTTTGCCTCTTTTGAAATATCATGTGTGCCTTGAAGCCACTGATTCTGCTTAACATGTTAAAGAAGATGATTAATATTTTTTAAAGTATGCCATACCCTTTCATTAGCTTGACTTGTATTCAGAGTATTTGATTTTTCCCTAAAAAGTGATCTCAGTGCCAGAGCAAGTAGCTGAAAAACTTGAGCCTAGTGATGACTCTTCCGGCCCTTCTTATATTGATTATTCAGAAAGGCGGTCCCTTCCAATCTCTATACCAGACTGTAATTATTTGGACCATTATGGTGACAGACATGTGGTAAGTCAGAATAGAATAGTATCATTGATTAGAATTCATTTTTGAAAATGGTTATTTTGTATTAAAAATTCAATTCCATAATCATGAATTAGACTTAAAATTATTGTGTCATCTTGTGGTGACTTAGATTTTTCTTTTCTTAATCCTTTTGTTGCAGGTGTTTAATATTTACATGGCTGGAAGACACTTATGCTCCAGGCGATACAGAGAGTTTGACACATTACACAACAATCTTAAAAGAGAATTTCCTGACTTCAATTTCCCAAAATTGCCAGGAAAAAAACTTTTCACCTTATCAGAACAACAGTTAGATCAGAGAAGACGGGGCCTGGAGCAATATTTAGAAAAAGGTTTGTGCAGCGATTTTTAATAGCCACAGTTAACACTTTTTCATGCCTTACAAAATTATTATGTTTGAACTTTTCAACACATATTTGTTTTTTAAGTCAGTATCACCCACTGATGTCTTTTCTTAAAAAAAAATCACTAACATTGTTTAAATGACATTTAAAATTTCTAACAAGCTAAAATAAATAAATGGCAAATTTTAACTTCAGTATGTGCAGTAAGAGTGATTGGAGAAAGTGAAACAATGCAAGAGTTTCTTGCTGCTGGAGATTTAGATGAGGTATTTTTTTACCCAGTACCTGCCTTTTCTGCTAGTCGTTATTATTATCAATTTTTTAATGTAGTTTTTTTAAAAAGGATGTTTTAAAGATACAGATTCTATTTATTTCAGGAAGAAGGAACAAGTGAAGTTGAGCTTAAAGTTATGTTACCCGATAAAAATTTGTGCATTGTGACTATATGTAGATCAGATAATACAGAGACTGTTTATAAGGTGTGTGGGTCTTAGTGATCTGGAGACATTATCATGTCTGTTTGAAATTAAAAATGTTTAGTCTATAGACCTTGTTACTGGCCTTAAATATTTAAATATGACCCTTCTTGACACACAAGTTCACTCAGCACCATGTTATATGTTGAGCTAGGTATAAAGATAGGAGGAGGGGGGGGGGGGAAGGTCCTAAAGTACTGATTTTGGGATTTCCATTGGTTATTTCCATTTTTTTTTTATTCATGTGCACATATTTGTGCTGAAAGTATTAAAAAAAGGTAATTATTTATAAGTAAATTGTCTATTAAAATAAAAAGTAACTGACTCACATACTCATTGTTAAAAAAAATGAACTGATATTTTAAAATCAGATTCTCAGAATCACAAATTGTGCTGAATTAACAAGAAGATTATCATTACTCAGGGTCTAAATGTCAGATTTTACAGGTTTTATCATTGCTTTTAGTCTGAATAAAAAACTCATAATCAACCGATGGTGCTAAGTAGCTCAATTTGTCATGGAGGTTAACAAAAAGACTCTTTAAATTATCTTGATTTTTTTAAAATTGAGAGATGAATAGTTTGTGCTTTATAAAAAAAATTGTATCAGTTTGGAAATCAATTTTTTTTCTATAATTTTAGGCAGTTGTTGCTAAACTTCATTTTGAGGATGCTGCAGAATACTTTTATTTGTTTGAAACAGTAGAATATGGTTTTGGTAAGTGTAAAAAAGTTTAATATAAAAATTATTTGTACAAAATTATAGTTTTTAGTGTGATTATTTGAATATTTTATTGAAACTAAACTTCTCTTGCTTTGTTGGTGGAAAGCTACTGTGTAGAAAAACAACAGCTGGTAGTTTATTTTTAGGAATTATTTTTAAACTAAAATTGTTTGTTTCAGAGCGCAAATTATTACCACAGGAGCTTCCTCATAATATTTATATCCAGAACTACAGTACCGCCACTGCCACTTGCATCTTACTCAAGAAATGGCTGTTTACTATTTCCAGGGAGATGACACTTACCTCAAATACGTCTGCACTAAAATTTTTGTTTTGGCAGGTAAAGAGTTGATATGTCACTTGTATAGTCACTAGTGCTGTAACATTTTAGAAAATATGCCATTTTGTAAAGCTACTTATGCATTATGACCTTGACATTAATTGGCACATGCAAATAATGCATCTTGCATATTTAAATATGCTGTAATTCAGTGTTATTTTTTTCTAAGAGTGTAATTTATGTTTTCAGGCTGTAGATGATGTGAATAAAGGTTTTATAAAAACTGGTGACAAACTTTATGATCTTAAAGCATTGAAAGAATCAGAAAATAGTCTAGAGGTAAAAAAAAGATCAGTGTAAATGTGAAAAAAATGAATAGTTTAACTGTACCTTAAATGATTTATATTGATAAGAAAGACCATTGTCCAATCCAATGCATGCAATTTTTTCAGTATTTAAAGACAGTGCGGCATTTAGAAGGTTACTCAGAGGTAATATTTCCTCACTGTGCTTGTGACTCCAGACGAGATGGTCATGTGGTGGCAATAATAGGATTAGAAGCTTTCAAGTTGCAAGCTTGTAAAGAAGATGGATCTCCTGAGGTAATTACAAAAACTTCCATTTTCATTATCCTTTGCACAATTAATGAATCATGCATTCATATTTTCATCCATAAAGGAACGTTTTTTTTTATTGCGGACTTGAGTACTTTTGTTTTTAGTTTATAATTTTTTGTTTTATTTTAGTCACAAGTTATTGAGTTTAACTGGAAGGATGTCAAGTCATATGTTGTTGATGAAGAGGGCATGTCTTTCAACTTTGAATACAACAGGCAAGGAAAGAAGCCAAGACTAGTCAAAATCTTTACACCATATGTGAGTTCAATCAGGCATTTATCATTTTAAAGTTTTAAAGATTAGTCTGAATTTTTAAATTAAATAAAATTGCAATAAACTAATTTAATTAATAATAGATTTTTTAAATGGAATTTAAACAAAATTTAGCAGAAATGAGATATTGCATTTAAATAAAATTAACCCTTATTTATTTTTCCCCCATTCAGTTTTACTACATGAACGATTGCTTTGATAGGATATATGATGAGCTGCAATGGGAGACATAACATGTATAAAGATGTATTGTTACTTCAGCAGTTAGCTGTTCAGCAGAGGTTGCCATCATTTCAAATAGAGCTGTAGAATTTGTCAGAGGGACAATATACCTTTAGTTGTATGACACAACCTATAGAAATATGCACTTTTTTTTGTTCTGTGCTTGATTACTTTTTAAATCTGGAATTTCTGCATCTTCATTTTTTTTTAAAAAGAGGTCATCTTACATTTTTTTTTATGCCAATGATTTATTGTTCATGTATATTTTGCAAAAGCGAACACATGGCTTACAGCCTTTTACATTTTACACAGAAATTTTTTGTTTGCTCTGAAAGAGCTTTTTTGTTTTATTTACATTACGTTGTGTTTCTTTGTTTATACCATACAATTCATTCCCTTTCCAGAATAATTTTTATAGAAGTTTCCTATTAATAAGTTGAGAAATTCTTCTTCAGTGAGGATTTATTGTATCAAGTAAGTATATAATGATATTCCTAGCAGCAATCTGTTTTTTATTTCATAGACTTGCACTTTAAAGAGTAATACCTTTTTTAATCTATTTTATAATCAGAGGGTATTTTGAGAATGAAATAAATACAAATTTTGAAAATGTAAAAAAATATCACCAATTATTTTGAATTAATTGCTCTTAACTGAATAAGATTTATTAATTCTTAAATAAGCAAATACACTGATTTTTAATCTACCATTAGTTTATGTTCAATCACAACGTAGCTTGTTTCCTTCAGTTTCTGCACCTTCATTTTGAGCGATTCAATCATTTTTGTTTGAAAGAAACTTTTCAAAAAATGTTTATAAAATTTGAGTGTTTTTAATTCACCACAAGTGTTTGCTGTAAAAAAAAACATCCATCAACATAAATACTCAATTAGGAATGATAAGTATTATGTAATTCAACACATGCACAGAAATCCAAATGAAGTTTTCTCATGTGTCTAAAGTCTTTACTTAGAATTTCTTGTCTTTCACATGATTAATGATAAATTGTCTCAGCTCTAGCACACTATATAAGCCATAGTTTTTTTTATCAAAACATATTCTGGATTTACATAAGTATTCTAAAAAAAATTTAAACAAAATAGTGAGTTTGTTGTGAGACTGTTGTAAAATTGGAATTGAAATGTGTAAACCAAACAATAACAAGGATTGTGGTTGTTGATTTGAAATTGTATAAAGTGTGTTTTATTAATCAACATTTATTATCACCATCTTATGAACATGTTGCCCAAATACTATAAACAGCTACTAGCATTTCATAAATTGTTACTATGATTTTTGTATGAAGTTTTGTCATTGCCTTTTAAAGAACTAGTAATGTTGATTCCTTAGTATTCTTGGTTCATAAACAGATATTCTTTAAGTTTAAAAACTGTTTGTTTGACAAACATCTCTGTTGAGAAATAAGGCTGTGAAAACAAGAGTTGCACAGTTATCACTTAAATACTTAAGCATTTCTCTTGCCATGGATATGCGCTGTGGAACTTGTATATTCACTTCACTCTAAACGTGCAGAGTGAAAAACCGTTGTAACACACAAGTTGTTGGGTTCAGATATTTTATTAACTTACAGTATATTTTTTAAGTCAAATTGAATTAATAAGTGTTTATTTGTGGTATAATGTATAAAATAATTTCAACTTTAGAAGTGAATTTACATAGATAATGCTATTTTTTACAAACATGAAACTAACATTTTACTTTATTTTATACAGATCTTTGTTGTTACCTAATGAAAATACAAACAACAAAACTTTGCTGTAGAACTAAATTGTAAAAGGCAAGGTTTAATTTAAGATGAATGACATGTTTTACAGGAAGTTTCTTGTTTGTAATAAATAAAGGTTCTCAAGCAGTTTTCTTTGTCGTAATTCTGTGACCATTTTTAAAGTTAGAAAATAATTCCAATTCTTTGTATATTTAAGAGTTTATTTATCGTTTCTAACAATATTATTTGCTTTAATCGTAAACCTTATTTTGTCGAATGGGTTTAGGAACAGCTAAAATAATAATCCGGGTATACATGTACAAAACATTCATGATTTGTTTGCTTGCAATGTTAATACTTTAAAAATTGTTTAATATATATTAAAAGTTGACATAGTTCACCTTCTGTGTATATGTTTGTATATAAATGATTAGCTGCAGAAAACTGTACCAGACATTGAGGTTACATCAAGTCTAGTTCACATAATAATTGAAAAAGTTGCAGAGACTGTGTTATCCCAACGATAAAGTGTGGCCACCAATGTTTCTGATTGTAACTCAAGTACTGTCTTGACTGTTGTCTTTTTCTCTGTTTGCTTAGAATTTAGGTTTCTTGTGATATAGCGCACAGCATTGCTCAAATTCTATTGAAAAAATTGCTTTAGTTGTTTATGTTGTTTTATTTATAAATACAGCCACTCTTTATCAATAATTTAATAAAATTGTTACTGTGGTAAATTATATCTAAATAACACTTGCATATATATTTACAAGTACTATAAGACAGGGTCTCAGGTTTCAAATTAACTGGCTCCAGATTTATTAAACAATGCTTATAGAGGTTAAGGTTTCAAATTGACAATCCAGATTTATTTAACAGTATGCTTATAGAGGCTCGGGTTTTTAGTATGTTCCAATGCTAAATTTAAAAAAGAACTTCACCTCTATTGCAGTTAACTTTACTGTTTTTTTTAAATGCAGTGAGTTTAGAAGATGTAAATGAAGAATATAATGTAAGACTGTTATTCTGCAGTGTTTTGACTTTTAAATTGTTAGTTATTAAATATTATTTGAACTTTATTGACTTAAATAAAAGCTATTTAAAGTTGAGCATGCATGTTTGATATTTAAAATTACCTAAAATTTGTAACCTGGGATGCCTATTATTATATAGGCCTACTTATGTAAATATAAAAAACACATCCACCTACTATATATATATAGGCCTATATATATATATATATATATATATATATATATAAATATATATATATATATATATATATATATATATATATATAATATATGAAAATAGTGTGGTGGCAACTTTTTATCTTCATAGTTTTAAACACATTTTCTTTGATATGGTTTAAATACATTTTTTCAGTGACCTTTAAAAATGTTTTCACTTAAAATGCCATTTAAGTAATTGCTGTCTCATCCTTGACAGTAAGCATCTGTTTAATTAATTCTTTTATCATTTTTGATTATAGAACAAACCACAAAATTTTGAACAAAATTATTTATCGAAACCCCTTTCAGTTTTATTAAAATGAAAGAAATATATGTAAGACAAATGTCATCGGATTGAAGTTCTTTCAAGTAAATCATTGTTTGATCATTAAAAAAGATTATTCAACATAATTTAAAAAAATCTTTTGCTGGCATTCCATACTGAAAGTAAATTGAACTGTAAAATATTTCACGCTGAATAAATTTGCTTTAGTAAAGTGTCAACATTTGCGCCAGTGTTATAGTTTCTAATGATCAAATTCAAATTTAGCTAAACCATTGTGCCTGAAAAAAGTTTGAGTAACAAACTTTTGAAATTTAAAACCATTTTTGAAAAAGTTTGCTAGAGTTAATTTCAATTTGGTTTTACATAACCTACTTCTTTAAAATTTTGCCTTGAGTTTTAAGTATATATTGGTTGCAAATCTGTCACCCAAGCAAATTCTATATGATTTAAAGTATTGATTTTTTAAACTAAACAATGAAATCTAAATATAAAGAAGCAGAAATTTAAATAAATTGTTATATATATGTCAAATATACTGAACATAAACTACATGTGTATAAACAGAGAAATACTTTAAAAATTATCATTAAAGTATACTTTGATTTATTTGTTAGTGTTATTTTTATTCCATATCAGTCATGGCTTTCCAGATGTTAGGAAAGTAATGGAGGGAGGGTAGGTATTGAGTTGCCTGTGTTAATAGACTATCCTCGGCAACAGTGATGTCTTTAATATTTATTAAGATTTAAAGAGTGGTTGTCTTTCTTGTACTATTTACTATTTCTGTGCATGAATCTGTCTATTTACTCTTTGTTGTGTTATAAAGGAAAGAACAATTGCAAATAAAACAATTGTAATTTGATTGCAAAATACATTGTTTAATTTTATTTCTTTTGACTGTTATTGATTAAATATAAATAAAACCATCATTCAAATTGTGAATGTTTTTTTTTTAATGTGTCTGGAAATTTAATTGATCATTTCTCTTACAAGCCTATAAAAAATTCTATGTTTTAATTTATATATATATATATAAAAAACTTGCTTTCTCAAACATCAAAGGAAAAAAATGTACAGAAATAAACTAAGAGATTTAACGGTTAGGTAACTGGCCACCAAATATAGATCTAGGTGTAATTGAAAACTTTCACACACTTTCTAGCAGTCAAGCTTCATACTCTTCTGTAAGTTGTGGAAGTTAATGCACTAATACACAATTAGTATACAAAAATAAAGTGGTAGAGTGATGCTTACATTTATTGATAAAGATAACACATCACAGAGAGAGTACAGACAGATAAATGATTTATACCTATAATGAAGCAGAATTGTTAAGTTAGCATTTATTTTAAACGATTGGTAATATTTTTTGTATTGCGTGTTTTGAAAAAAAAAGTTATCTAAAATGCTAGCTCTTTTATACAGAACTTAGTGATTAAACATTAATAATAAATGATACAGATGATTTAACATCCTGTTATTGTACAGTGAAGGAGGGGAAGTAATCGGGAGATAATTCACCAGTTACTGTTGTGAAGCTGAAGTAATTGACAGTTGAATTATTAAACTCATGTAAAACCTTAACCAACAAACTAAAACAAAATTTAAAGAAATTTATGAAACTTGGCCATTGATTATCCATTACACAATTCAGAAAGCAATACATTTATTTCAGCTTCCAACTTTTACCTCTTAAATAATCCCCCCCCCCAGCCCCCATAGTTTGGTCATTCTACCATTCTACACATTTCTGGCATATGACCAGTTTGTTTCAAGCAAGTGGAAATCTAATATATACTTAAAATATAAATATTCTATGAGTCTTGTGCAACTTATTGGAAAGATATAACAGTAACAAAGTTGTTTGAAAATTATTTTCTTGAAAACTACACATTAAAAAATTTATTTTTCATTCAAAAATTCTGAACAAGGACTCATCTTTTTATAAACTTCAATCATTATGTAAGTGATTTAGCATTCATACCAGTACAAAGTTATCATTTTCAAACCATGACAAAAGAGTAAAATTAATTCTATTTTTTCAAGATGCAAAATAAAATATATTGATATGTGACTAATTTTGTGACTTGCATTAGTTTACAATAAATATTTCAATCTGTAGTGATTAAAAGGAGTCAAAATAAGTCAACATAAATATTACAATACTTATACTTTTGAGGTCTATACAAATGGTTTATTTAAAAATTAACTTTTCTTTACAAAATACAGAAATTATTTTAAATTGTAAAAAAAAAACACTCCAGAGAAGTAGTAGCTTTTCAAATAGTTTGATTATCATAAACTTAAACAAGCTTTATAGTTGTTCTGCTAAAAAAATTTTCTGTACAAAAGTGTATAATGATTTAGTTATTTATATTTACAGATAAGGCAACACTGAAAAGAACTTTTTAAAAAAATGTGCAACCCCATATTTTTACAAAAATAAATTTTGATACAAATCACATAATAAGTCATAATCCCTTAAAAGGATGCAATAAAATATTGTATTATTTAATATACCTTTAAAAAATTCATTTAGAGTATAATACTCTGAGAATATATTATTTTGTTTAGTAGAAGTTTTTAGAATATACTCTAGTTAACAACTTTCATATTGAAACTTTTGGAATGATGAACATCATATCTACTTGTATTTCTAGCTTCTAATAAATTTTACAAAATATGAAGCAAACAAAAAGGTAAAGACAAAGCAAGGTTTTATATCTGAAGACAAAACCCCAATAAAATGTTTTGTTAGTATTTTACATAAAAATAGAAATTCTCTATTAGAAAAGCTGGATATTAAATTTATTTCTAGATAATAGATGCTAACTAAAAATCAATGTTAAATTACACATTAGAAAATACTATTAAAGAAATGAAACAGCAGATTCTGTATTGATATTTTTATGGCATCTTAAACGTTTCATTAGTTTAATTGTCAGATTCGAGTTAAAATTTTTTACATTTTTGCCACGATGTTAAATGAAAAACTTTCAATATATGAAGAATATCGATTAAAAAAATAAAAATAACAATGAATGAAAAATTTCATGCTCTACAAAATATCAATGTTTATAAATACTACAACATTTTCAATATATATACAGTTACTTATATCATTTGTACTGATTTTTCAAATAACAAACAATAGCTTTTATACATAAAATTTATATAGGTCCTTAGATAACAATTGACAAACAGTAGTGACAAAGTAAAACATTTACCTTTCAATATCAATTTTATCTGTCAAAGGTTTTGAAGAGTGTTATCATAAGAAAATGCAAATAACTTTAAGATTAATGACCAAATTGAAAGAGACAAACCTCTTCTGGAGCAATACAAACACTTTTGACCTGAATGTAAGAAGGCATTATCTACATTTAAAATTTTAGCCCAACCTGCCAAATAAATTACTTTTTAATTAAAACTACAAATAAGAAATTACAGATTTAGAAAGCATGAAAATAATTAACAGAATTAATATTGCTTTTATTCTGTAACTTCATCTTATCACTCAAAACATGCACCATATTTTTAAATTTAATGCTTATTCAATCATTTATCAACAAAATGGATCAAGCCATCCAAATACTGTGTGTCAATGTTTCAATCAGAATCTTCTTCATCCTCATAATCATCTGAATATCTAGACGCTCTTACGCCAGCTAGACAAAAAGGAGAAAAAAATTAAATTGAGACTACTGATTATTTTGGATAAGACTAATTATTAGACTTAAACTAAAATATTAATAAAATCAGCTTGAAAAAAACATTTGATTCACTGTACTATTTCATCAAACTGTATTTACCAAAACTTGATATCAAACTATTTTTACCTGCTTGTTTCAGTAATGCAGCTACCTCAGCATCTTTAGTAAGATCTATTGGTAGTTTATCATCTTTGTTTTTAATATCTACAAGTGCACCTAAAATGCATAAAACACAATGCAAATATTATTATACAGAAAATATACAGAAAAAGGTTGAATTTATTGTACTGTGGGGGATTTTCTAACCTTTATCTAGCAACATTTTCACAGCCTCTGAGTGTCCTTTCCAAGCAGCAGAATGTAAAGGTGTGTCTCCAAGTTTGTTCTAAATTAAACACAAACATTTTGGTTATTAAAAAAAATTGAAGTGCAAAAATACAATTAAAGCTGAATAATTGAACTCTTTTTGTACCTGTACATTTACTTCACAGTTCTGAATACTAAGCAAAGTTTGAATACATTGAATATGGCCTCCATGAGCAGCCCAGTGTAATGGCGTGGAACCAGCTTTGTCCAGTCCATTTACAGAAACCTATGGTAAGATTTATTTCAGTGAAGTATTAAACATTGATAAAATAAAAGTGTAGATGTATGTTTGTTGCATAACATAATTTTGAAAATTTATGACTTTATATATTTAAATACTTTTTTTCTTTCTGTAACACTATGTAAAATACATAAAAAACACAAAATATTTTATATAATAATACATGTCTAAGTCAACCTACTAAAACTACTACAAATAAAACAAACAATTACTCTGTTCTGGATGCATTCACTCATAAAGTCCATGTTACCCCTCTTAGCAGCATCATGCAGAGGGTAGTCTATAGATTCTGTGTTTCCTTCAACTAGTGCACAACAGAACAAAAAATAATATAAACTACAGTGATGAGGCAAAATCATGCATGTAACATGTTAATGAATGTTTCTTACTCTTTGCTGATTCTGACTCCTTTTCAAATTTAGTATGACAATAAAATAAAAAAGTGTAACAACAAATTAGTTCAGTTATTTCAAAATGTTTTCATAATTGCAAAATACATGATATCAAAGACATTTTTAATATAAATAGAAAATATTTTGGTTAACAGGATTAAACAAAACTGCTATCTAGAAACAGTGGAAATATGAAAATCATTGCATTATTTGGCATATGTTTTCCACATTAAAATATGTTATTATGCCCCTCTAAAAAAATATTTCTTCTTCTTCTTTGTTCTTAATTTTATAATTGCTTGGGATTTCCTCCAACACAATTAAATATTATATGTCAACATGTTATGCATCATATGGCTAGTTGATTCTGACTTCCAGTCTGTTTTTCTTCCTGGATTTGCTTTCATTTCCACATCTTTTGTCCAACCATGAGCAATCTACAAGGCAGCATATGGTGATGTGAAATGTATGAGAAGTTTTTATGTGGAATGGAGTACTCTAAACTATGTATGTATTCACCCTTCTAATTGTATTGTTAGAAAGTGTTAAGTTTAGCTGGGTTTGTTGATGTGTATGTTGTTGTACAGGGTGAAGAAGTGTAATAAGGGAAGCGACTGGTCGAGTGTCAGCTGGTGTGTTGTGAGTGGGAGTAATGAGGTGTATAATGGTGGGTATGGTCATCAGTCAGAGGTTGTGGTTAGAATGAGGAAGAAGAAGTGTTGGAGAGACGTTGTCATTGAGAAATAGTTAATATAAAACCCACTTGATCCACCTAACTACTTGACTCTGAATAAAATATGCCCTCACACAGCAGTTGTTTGGACTTTTCTCACCTAGATGGGCCACTGTTTCCAGTCAAGGAGCCTCATCTGCCCAGGGGCTTGAAATCTGGACCTTTGGAGTTAGTAACCGTAAGCTCTCCCACCCAACCATGCCATCACTTTAAAGTATTTGATACTGCTGATATTAAACTTACCATAGTTACTTGGAATTAGACCAATATTTGAACCACATTTGGCCTTCCACCAATTAGAATCCTTCATATCCAAAATGTATAGAGTATCTCCTTCATCGAATGTAAGCTCATCTGGCTAAAAACATTTGGATTTGGAAAAAAAAAAAAAAATTAAGCAAGAAAATGTTTAGAATTAGGCAAGAAAATGTTTAGAGGACAGGAATTATACTGTTTACAAAAAGTGTGTATAAATATATGTATATGTGTGTAAATATATACTTAGTGATTGAGTCAAAACAAGGAAGAATTTACCTGCTGAGCCTCATATCTGTAAAGGGCTCGTACTACTTTGACTTGACCTGTAAAAGGTTTAGAAGATTAATGTAGAAAAGTTGTAAGATGGAAAGATCAAGTGGAGATATTCAGAGGGAGAAAAAGAAAGAATAATATGAGATGTTTAGTCTTAACTAAATACATATACAGAATCAGTAAAAGTTTCAAGAAGGCTGAGAAAGCTATTATACAAACCGGGGGAAGAAAAAAGGCAAATAATAATGAGCAACTCATACTTGAATAGATTTGAACATACATGTTGAGTGTAGTGTGCTAAATTTAAGTCCCTTGAAGTCCTATGAAGCCCAATACTATTCTATCAAAAACATTGATATGCTTGAGATTGAGAATTAACTTAGGCCTACATAAGAGGTTCTGAAAAAAATCCTTGTATTGCTGCTAGGGCACAGACAGGGTTTGAGAAAGCCTAAGTAGCTGCAGGGTTTACAATGTTTAGGGCCTTCATATTAATATTATTAATCAGAGTTTCTTCCAGGCATCTCTTGGGGGGGGGGGGGGGGGGAGGAGGAGGAGGGACTCTCCCCCCCCCCCCGAAGAAAGTCTACCCCCACCCCACCCCCGAGCGAGATGGAATTTATATAGTAAACATACACTTTTACTAGTGTCTGCCCCTCCCCCCCCCCTGAAAAAATCAAGTGCCCCCCCCCCCCCTTGAAAAGTCTGTTATTAATCAGTTAGGCTAACACAACTTGTACCTTGTGAAGATGTTTTAATAAATAAACAAGACTACTCAGTAGGTTCCTATATTATACTATATACTATATACTATTATATACATGAAGAGCTACTACTAGACTAGTGTACTTGTACTCTAGGAGTCTAGACTTAACAAGAGACTAGCTAGTAGAGTTAACAGTGTTTATGAGTGTAAGTTTTAAGTAGCCTAAGTATATACTTAACTGAAAAACTAGTCTAGTAAAAAAGAAAGTAAAGTTAATATAAGTCTGCATTAAGTTATTTCATATGTATGTTATCAAAGTGACATGAGACATTCACATAGAGAAGAAAGTTGCTAGCTGCCTATTTTTAGTGGAATAATGATAGTATATTTTTTTTTAATATACTATATTATACTATCATTATTATATATTCTAACGTAAGACTAGAACTTTAAGTTAATAATATAGGCTACAGAATGCGTTGCTGTATTTTATAGTATTTATCTGGACAAAAAACTTAGGTCTTACCCGGTTTCGGTACGGGAGGTGGTGGACGTACTGGTCTTGGGGCGGGGGCTGTTGACATTCTTATTTCTAGTTTAAATTAAAATGCTTGAATTTAGTTTAATAGAGAATAAAGGAAAATTGTTAAATCGTCAATTAATCTGTTAATCTTATTAACAGCCTAGATTTATGTATACGCAACAAAAAATAACATTTGGATGGTTGTACTTCCTTCTTCGTAAGACGTAAGGAATACAAAGTGTAAACACGGAAGTATTAATATAAATATGGACAATTTCAAAACTAGAATTTGTAGATCTAAATACTATTTACTAGCCATTATTTTTGGAGGAAAAAACAAGCATCTCTATTTGTATTTTTTTTTTCAAGAAATTTATGTTGAAATTAAATATTATTATTTTTACATAGGGTACACATGGTTAACGAGGCACATATTACTAATAAATTCATTATTTCTCGCATTATTTTTTTCGGAAATAATTTTGCGGCTTCACTTGAGAAGACTCGCGCGACTCGTCCAAACACGCAACATAAAAGAATATGGTTTATAGATCTATTTAGTTTGTTGTTTTTTTGTGCCTCTGTGCAGTTAGTTCCAAGAGAGTTGTAAGTTATAATTTACATTGTTATAACAATATCCTTTTACAAATAAGTAGGCCCATTTTACACAAGAGTATAGATCTAGTCTAGGATCTACGTACGTAGTACTAGATAGTACGTATGAAACTGAAACAACTTTTAACTACACTGACACTAAGCTTAACGATAACAATTTAAAACTTTTAGATCTAGACGAGATTTAGGCATATTCATATATCTATAAAGAAAAAGATCGTAAAGTTATTTTTTTTTTAAACAGAAAGTGTCATAATTGCAAGTAGACAACAAGAGCTACATAGTACATAGACTACATGCCTCATTACTACTAATGTGTAAGTATTTTCTGATTCTTACAAAGACACTATTGCCCCCTCCACCCCCCCCCAGCAAAAAGCAACAACAACAACAACAAACAAACAACATAATGGACTATGGAAGGAGAGTTGGCATTTTAAATCAATTTCACAGCCATTCTAAAAAAAAAACCTCCATATTTTAAATGCATATTCTTACAACTTTATGAGTTGTATGCCACACCTGTGTTAAATGGCACATACAGACCAGGTGTAAAATAATCGATATTTAAAAAGAAGGTAGTCAACACTCTGTATGTGTCAATGATGTACGTTAGTGTGTCAGTGTACATGCGTATGTGTCTCTCTGTGTGGTGTTTATATATATATATATATATATATATATATATATATATATATATATATATATATATATATATATATATATATATATATATATATATATATATATATACACACACACACACACACATATATATATATATATATATATATATATATATATATATATATATATATATATATATATATATATATATATATATATATATATATATATATATATATATTTATATATATATGTGTGTGTGTGTGTGAGACTCTTCCTCCCATCGGTGCTTGTGTATGTTTTACACCCAAGAGTATGTGAGGGGTCGTCCATAAATGACGTCACACTTTTAGCGGGAAGGGGGGGGGTGGTAAATTTGTGACAATGTGTGATGAGGGCGAGGGGGGGGGGGGGGGTCAGATGGTGCGACGACACACTTTTTTCATTATAAAAAAGAAATGTTAGAAAACGAATTTTAGACGTTATTTCGCATTTTAGAGAACTGTTTTAATAAATTGGAATTGATTAAAATACTCTATTTTGACAGATTTCAGACAAGAGTTTGGAAAAATATCGATGTTTTAAAAAAAAATTCAACTGCAATTTTGAGGGGGGGGGGGGGGGGGTTGTAGGCTGAGGTGTGACGTCATGTTAGGAGGGGGGGGGTCTGGCTTTTTGTGACGACGTGTGACGGAGGGGAGGGGGGGGGAGGTAAAAATCGTCAAAAAAAAGCGTGACGTCATTTATGGATGACCCCTGAGTGATTTTGTCAAGTCAAAGATCTATGCTCATGGTCTCTAGATCCAGAGGCGTAGCTAGGGGAGGGCGGCCGCCCCGGGCGCCGACCCTAGGGGGGCGCCAAAAGGGGTAGAAAAAAAATTAAAAGCTCATTTTAAGCTGCAGTTTTGATATATAAATAGTCAACGTAAAGAAATTTAACGGCTGAGAGCCTTTACATACTGATTTAACTGTTTTCTACCTTGATTGTGTAACTGTAAAACTTATATCTTTAAGAAACAGTGTCCGAAAAAACCGCTTTCCAGCTTTCCTAGATGGAGGGGGGGGGGGGGCGCTTTTTCGAAGACTAAAATAGGAAAATTCACACCGGATTAAGGAATAAATAACCGATATCACTCAGAAACGAAACCCATTGAACTAAAGCGCATTTCAACGATTGTGTAACATAAAAAAAAGAGTTAGTGACGTTTAAAATCCGCTCTATCATTTTTGTCCAAGATGGTGGGGCACTTTTTCTCTAACAAAAATCGCAGGATTTGAACTGAATCGGTTGCTAGATAACTCTTTCAACACTTAGAAAAGAAATCAATTGTATTAACACTAAAAATGTACGATTTCACTACCCAGTTTTGCTAAGTAATAACGCGACTACTTCTTTGTACGATTCTTAAGATTCTCTCAACTTGATCGGGATAGATCAGATACTTTTACTTGATTGCATTACATCTTGCCTGGATCACTGCATTAAAGAGAAATAAATATAACGGATTCTTGTATCGCTATCCGATCAGTAAAATAGCACTGTCGGAGCGGGTGGATGGGAAGCGACACTCTTTGCCAAAATTTTAAGAGAGAAGAAAATTAGTATATTGTACTAATTATTACTTTGTTCAACCTAACTGATAATTCAAAATTGGCCTACTATTATCGAAATTGTTCTAAAGACACGACCAAAAGTAGACCAAATAAGGCTTGCGCCTTCTATAAAATACACTCTAAAGCAGTGGTTCTTAACTTTTTGGAGTACCGAACCCCACCAGTTTCATATGCGCAATCACCGAACCCTCCTTAATAGTTGTATCGTCCACAATGACGAAATCCGATCGTGAATCATAAGAGTCGGCTGTGTATCTTGACCTCCGCGGAAGCCCTGAGATTGAATTACCGAACCTCTCGGGTTCGATGGAGCCCACTGTTCTAAGCTCTTGGGAATTTAATTGGCGTCCAGTGAAGTTTTAGGGAACGACAATCAGCGTATGTTGTTACATTTTTTTCCAGACTGTCGCACACACAAACACACACGCATATATATATATATATATATATATATATATATATATATAAATGGGGGGCGCCAAACTGAAAGTTCGCCCCGGGCGCCGGGAGGGGTCGCTACGCCTCTGTCTAGATCTACGTGCGCGAGTGTTTGTGCTTGGTTTTGTGTGTGTAAGTGTTAGTGAGTGTACACTGTTACACAGAGTGTGGACTACTTATTACTTTTTCGTATACGGATTATATTTTAGGGGAAATATTGTAGATGTGCAGGGAATCGAAATCAAGATGTTGACAAATTATCTCGACGTTTAACTACTTCCGGAGTAGGAAAAAAATCCAGTTTTGCAATCTTGTTTGCATGTGTATTAATTTGTCGGCGTATCTGTGTGTGAATAAGATAACGAGTTGGCCCGTTTCAGTTAAGTGAACATAATTTTATAGATACATTTAGATCCTCTACGTAGGTTTCTTATCAACAGTGGAGCAATTTCCGGTAACCGTAAACGGGGCTTTACCATATTTCCGGTTTCTTAAAAACCATCAGAATTTGATAACAGTATGTCATAATCTCACACATACCTTTCGCCTCCTCTAGAATCTATGCTGTTTTCAAAATCTTACCTACTATTCCTATTGCTCGTTTGTGCTATCCTAACCCCTACTGTTGTATATGAATATACGAGGAAGATTAGGGGAACTCACTCCCGCTTTTTGAAATTATTACATAACATGAGTTAAAGTGACATCGTTGGTTTAAGTGAATGAAAGCATACGAGTTGTGTCTCTATGGTGATGTTTATACGTAACTTTGTAAACGCATTAAATGAGGTTATATTAAACCAGAGGCGTCGCGAGGCGGGGCGGGTGTGCGGACCGCACCGGGCGATGCCATTTCGGGGGGTGATACCATGACAAAAATTGCAAGATTTATAGAATAAATATGTTTTTTTTTGCCAGTTCAATGAATGGTAATTCGAGTTAAAAAGTATTTTAAATACATTTAAAAGTTACGATTCCGACGAGGGAGGGGGTGGGGTGACACCATGACATAAACATGCAAACTATAGAGAAAACAATGCTACACGCAGATGTATTAATAACCTACTATAGATAAACATCATTACTATTAAATGTGAACACTTTAAAGGTTTTACCGTTGGGGGGGGGGGGGTGACACCAACTGCAAAATTTACAGATACAATTAAGGTGTGTGGGGGGGGGGGGAGACACCCATAAAATGCCGCACCGCATGACACCCGACCTAGCGACGCCACTGTATTAAAAACAAGTTGTATAACATTTGTTTTGTTTTTTTAACAAATGGAATTTTATCTGTAGGTATGTGAGCAACTGACGCCTCGCTCCGGATCATTGGTCTAAAAATACTGTTGGTATGAATACGTCATCTGTCCAGCTACACACGTGACTGAATGATGTGGACACTAACGGTTGACTCCAATGTTCCCATACAAACCCCGGACCACTCTTTTGTGTGTGAGTCACATCTGGGTACAGTAGACATGCGCAGTGATGTGGATGAACTGCTGAGCTCCCCGTCTCCTGCCAGGCCACATACACCAACTGCCGCCAGCCGTCTGCCTCCGTCTGGTCGTCTGGCGCGCTCGCTGTCGTCTAGATCTGCTAGTCCCAGTTACCGCCAGAAACAGATTTTGAGAGGAGAAGAAGAATGGAGGAAGGCGCTGGAGAAGGCGGTGGATGAGCCGGTAAGTTCTATCATGTCTGTTTTACTCCATCATATGAAGGGCCAGAGGCGTAGCGATGGGGGGGGGGGGGGGGGGGGGGGCAGGGGGGTACATATGTCCCCGGGGGCGCCGACCTTAGGGGGCGCCAAAATGGGTTGTAAAAACAAATTAAAATGTCATTTTAGCTGCATTTTTGCGTTTTTGCATTATAAATAGTTTGAGGGGGGGGGGGGTGCAAATTGAAAATTTGCTCTCGAGGGGGGCTCCAAATTGAAAGTTTATCCCCTGGCGCCGAGAAGGGTCGCTACGCCTCTGTGAAGAGTTGCAGTTACACCTATCCAGCGGACTATTTTTGGGCAGCTCTCTTTAGTTGAGCCCATGTAAGACAGCAGCCCTTGCTTCTCTTTCAACATCCATTCTCCAGGATTGTTTCGGCTCTAATATAATATAAACAACGTATATCAAAAAAGAGTTAATTCAAATAATCAGATACAGTTAATTAATCATTAAATGTAATAAATTGTTTTAATTAAATGAAAATAGTTTAGACTACTTTTAAGTAATAGGCCTACTTTAATTTGTCTCGCAAATAAAATAATCGTCACAATATATTAGGGGCCTATAGCTATGGTTAAAAATTAAACATATGGAGTGTGGACAACATCGAAACACCGTTTTGCTGGTTACCACCCCTCACAACTACATCTAAATGTTATCCTCTTTAGTTGTAATGCAGTGCGTTTTTGTGTCAAATATGTTTACTAGCCTTATGCCTTATCATACTAACTTCCCAATATTACGGCAAAAATATGCTTCTAAAAAAACTATTGACGTTTGCATATGTATACACACTAAATTATTTGAACAATTCCTTTCGACTGATGCTGTTCTTCAATTTTTTGTTGCAATATATATATATATATATATATATATATATATATATATATATATATATATATATATATATATATATATATATATATATATATATATATAACATTTGGCCAGTTTATGATGCTGATTAATACCTTACTTGAAGAGGAAAGTTTGAAGATTAATTTACAAATTAACTAGGGAGGGGTTGAATGTAAAAATAAATAAATATTACAGTATGCCGCATGCGGCCCACTGTCCTTGGGTTGTAGTCTGCAGTCTGTGTGTTTTATAAAGCCAATGCCAAGCGAAAGTAAAATAACGTCACAAGCGGCGGTAACTCTTCTTGAGACCGGGTTTAACCACTAGTGTTGACTTTTATGAACCAATCGAATCACTTGACCTTATCTTTAGCTTGATCTAGTTTTCACTCTAACGCCTTCGTAACTTCAAGTCTGCTTCTCAACACTTGTACACACGTTTATTGTTACTTAAAAAAAACCTGTATCAAACAGTAAAACTCTATTGCCAAACTGTAGCAGGAATGTTAATTGGCTCCCGCAGACTGCTGTATATTTACAAGCTTTTATTTAACTCACTTCCTCGTCAGTCGTCAGTCGTCAGTCGTCAGTCTAGACGGAAACGCAGGAGTGAAAATTCGGACAGTTCTACTTGACCGACACGATTCACAGTTGGCACGTGGGTCAAGACATGAAGACAATGCAATCTGAAACTAAATTTGACTTAATTGGATGCCTAATTGATTTTTTATGAATTAATTAAAATTTGGACCGAATTAATAGGCATGTCTAGCCAACCACACCACACGCGTCATCAATAGCTGCGCCATCACGACCACGTAATGGCTGCGTTCAAAAACCATTGCGCGCCTACTGAACGTGATATTCAGTAGGCGCGCAATGGTTTTTAGTCATGTAACTCTATTGTAGATAAAACATGTAAAGTACTGAAAAAAAAATCATAAAAAACGTTTTAATAACAAGCTTTTATGTAATGATGCACTAAAAAGTAGAAAATAAATTATAGACTACTATTTAAATAACTATAAAGAAAAGCGTGGGTGTCTTCCTTAACATTAGTAAAGGTATCCAATAGATACTAAAGTGACCCACGCTTTTCTTTATAGTTATTTAAATAGTAGTCTATAATTTATTTTCTACTTTTTAGTGCATCATTACATAAAAGCTTGTTATTAAAACGTTTTTTATGATTTTTTTTTTAAAGATACATCCCATCTCGATGCTGCCATTTTTATTACAAGCTTTTATTTAACTCACTTCCTCGTCGGTCTGTCTGTCTTGACGGAAACGCAGGAGTGAAAATTCGGACAGTTCTACTTGACCGATACGATTCACAGTTGGCACGTGGGTCAAGACATGAAGACAATGCAATCTGAAACTAAATTTGACTTAATTGGATGCCTAATTGATTTTTTATGAATTAATTAAAATTTGGACCGAATTAGTAGGCATGTCTAGCCAACCACACCACACGCGTCATCAATAGCTGCGCCATCACGACCACGTAATGGCTGCGTTCAAAAACCATTGCGCGCCTACTGAACGTGATATTCAGTAGGCGCGCAATGGTTTTTAGTCATGTAACTCTATTGTAGATAAAACATGTAAAGTACTGAAAAAAAATTCATAAAAAACGTTTTAATAACAAGCTTTTATGTAATGATGCACTAAAAAGTAGAAAATAAATTATAGACTACTATTTAAATAACTATAAAGAAAAGCGTGGGTGTCTTCCTTAACATTAATAAAGGTATCCAATAGATACTAAAGTGACCCACGCTTTTCTTTATAGTTATTTAAATAGTAGTCTATAATTTATTTTCTACTTTTTAGTGCATCATTACATAAAAGCTTGTTATTAAAACGTTTTTTATGAATTTTTTTAGGAAAGTTTACTTTCTCGTGTGTACGTCTGGTCATAAATAATGAAGCAATAACCGAGACATGTTTATATTACATTTGTTGAACAAATAAACCAAGAAAATGTAGCTTTGTTTTTCTTTGCCCGAGCTTCTGGATGAGTTAGGCATACAATTCAAGCCTAGATAATATAGTTTTAATATTGTATTGAGTTCTGGCCAAGAAAAATTTCCTGAAATTGGAAAGATGAGATCTGGAGGAAGAAAAAAATATGCACAGAAGTTAAGAATAAGATAATACAGATACTTGTATACTCTTACGTGTATACAAGTTAAATTTGATGAGATTACATATTGATCCTATTGTTGTAGAAAATAAACAAAAATTCATTGAAAATCACCCAACATAGTTCTAAGGAAAAGGCGGAGTTATTTTTTTAAAAAAATTTAAGTCAAAATTTATTTTACTAATAGGTAGGCCTACTAGATTCTATTTATAGAAATATTGAGGGACACTCTGGCATATGAAGATCAGGGGAATCACATATTGACCCCATGCTCTAATATATTGATTTTGAGCTTATTTAAACACGCATATTACTCAGCCTAACAAGCTTAAAGGTGTGAAAGCACCGCATGGGCCACACGTTGTTCTGTGAATGGGGAACTCAAGCAAAGCCCTCTTGTTCATATTGTTCTGTAACAGAAGTAGGCCTATATGTCGAGACAGAGAACCCAAACAGATCTACTACTGCACCTTCCACAGGCCATGCCTTGTAATTTGATCGATCTTTAGACGTAGTAATCGATTATTCACCATTGACATTAGTTACCGAAGCACATCGCGGGAGAGTTTTTCTTGCGAGAAGTGGAGCACAATGGTTTCTTTCGTTGTTATCGTGACAAGAGCCACACTTGACAAGTTCGAGTTTTCTATTTCAATACAACACGTGACAAGCCAACTGTCTGAAATATTGACACACACCAGAACTATAAAAATATATGCTAATCAGTGGCGTAGACATTAATATATCATGTGTGTGTGTGTGGGCGGGTGGGTGGGGTGTGGTGAGCTGTTTGTGAACAGCCGTCGCGAAAATTGAAGTAAAAATTACAATATTTAGAAAAATAAAAATATGAAACCTTCACTTTTTCAAAAAATTATACACATTAAAGTGAAAAAAAAACTGAATTGATTTAGACAGAACAAATATCTCTTAAAAGACTGAGTCAGAATGGATTAACCATAGCGCAATGATATGATTGTGAGGGTATAGTCGAATGGCGGGGCATATGACTGCTAATCCTGTAGTCTCGAGTTCGAATCCCAGGGTAGTATCCATAGAACGTACCTGAATCCACCTAGCTCTCATGGGTTCCAGTCTCACGTTAGGGAAATTAAAGGCGGCTGGACATAGTGCTGACTACAAAATACCCTTCATATGCCGAAGTAGGTGAAACAGGCAAACTCTATTTCACTCTCCCCATAGACCAATTATAAGCAAATTTCGCACCATAGAAAAGATAGGCAATCAAGAATATTTAAGAAAATATAAGAATGTATCCATAAGAAGATAAATGTGTTTAAAAGATCATAGAAATGTGTTATGTGAACAGTCTCCAGATCTTTAACTTTAAACTGAACACAAAGAAGTCCCGTATCTATTAAATGTGGACCCAAAATATAACGTTTTTCTGCAACACGCCATTATATTTTGGATATCATTAATCGTTTTTTGTGTGTGTAATAGGAACTTAAATATGAATCAATATGATAAGTTAAAAAACGGTTTCTATAAACCATTTTGTTCTTGTAGTGTTACATAGATCTTCTTCCCAAACCCACAGGTTATTGATTGGAGTGATTTCCTTCCTGAGCAGGTAGAGCTAATTAATTGCTGGGCTGGGTGATTGGAGTTTTGAGTTGATATTTATGTATTGTTGTGTGACGTGAATATAACACTAATCCTAATGTAGGGGTCGTGCACATATTACACACAAAGGGGTGGGGGGGGGGTCTCGTTTTATTTGTTATATAAAACAGGGGTGCTAGAGAACTGTGGTATATGACACTGTCTTTGATTACATTTTTAAAATTGATTATTGATTCGAAATTTCCGCTATTACGAATTGCTGTAATAAAAATACGACTCTTTCATTTAATAATAGTATAAAGCTTTGTCGCTGTTTCTCATGAACGTGTCACAAGAGTTTTGTGTTTGTAAAGTGGTTAAGAAAATTAAATTGA